CAGTCGGCCTCGTCGTCTGTCCCGCCCGCCGTCCTCTGCTTGCCCTCGTCCTCGGATTCGACGACCGCCTTGCACTTGGGGCCGTTCTGCCTGCCTTTGGGCGCGCTGCTTAGGGGTGGGCTCAGCTGCACGGGCTTCGACTCCGCGCCAGCCGATTCCCCCTCCGCCGCGGGCTCGGGCTCGTCCTCGCCCTCCGCGGCCGCGCCCACTTCCAGTGCAGCGATGCCGTCCGCCCCCGCCCACGCGGCCCCGTCCCCCGACTTGCCGTTGGCGGACGCGGGGCCGTCTTCTCTACGCGCGCCATCTGCGGCGGGCTTCGACTCCGCCGCCCTGAGCACGCCGTGCCACTTGTCGACGAGCACCCCCGCGCGCGCCCGGAACCTGAACTCGCCGTCGCGCGGCACCTTGTCGTCGCCGAGGGCGTGTATGTGGCGCATGACTTTGCCGATTTTCGAGAACTGGGGGCGGGGCAGATGGTCAGCCGCACTGCCAGACAGACGCACAACAAACGGCGATATGGGGCGAGAACCGCGCGGGAACGCAGCGTGCCACGCGTCGCCAGCAAAGCATGGCAGGGGGGAGCGGGGGCAGCAGCGCGAAACGCACCGTTAGGTACTCGATCCGCATGTTGTCGTAGGTTTCCACCAGCGTGAACAGCCGGTCGAGTGAGGGCATGTCCTGAATCCGCGGATGAGTCGTCGTGGATGGCAGCGATGCATGCAGCGCACTCACGTCCTCCTTGGGTGCTGCCTTGGTGTTCAAAAATGCCTTCTGGAGCTTGTGCCTCCATTCCCTGACTTTGAGAGCCTCGGGATCGACTATGAGAGGAGATGGGTGTTCGAGGTGCTCGTTACAGGACATTGTCTACAGGCAAGGATCGACGAAAAAGCGCAATCGGCGTCGTCGTCCTCATCACGATTCGCCTTCTTAGCCGGGGGAGGCGAGCGCCGCGTGCTGGGTCCCGACCCGTCCCGCGCGCCGTCCTCTGCGCCGCCTTGGACGACCGCCTTGGACGTGGGGCCGTTCTTCTCGCGCTTGGGCGCGCTCGCAGCGCGCTTCTCGGGGGTGTGCTCCGCTGCACCCTTCGGGTTCGCCTTCGGCGTGGCCTTGGGGGCGGCATCTGACGAGCGTGTCCTCTTCTTGGGCTTCTTCTGCTCCTCTTCGACGTCGGCTTTGAGCTGATCGACTTCCCTGCGTATCAAGCTGGGGCCAGTATGCCCAAGAGTATTGCATGAAAAACTTGTAGACGACGAAGAGGTGGGTGAAGAATGCAGCAACTTTAAGGGGACGTCTTCGTGCGAAGCAGTGTGCATTCCAACGCAACCGCAGCCACTTTGAGTTCTCCAGTCCTCGCGGTTCGCAGGCAGGACGAGCGCCCCATGCGATAGATTAGATCTGCAGTGTTGTCCGCACCATGGCGAGAAACACTACGGCACAAATCGTGAACCGAGACAGCACGCCAACGGTATGTCCCAAACGCGGAACCGCTCGGAAGAGCTGTTCGCGCGGATACTCGGCGAGCCCAGCTACATCAGAACGCCTCCGAGCGTGCTCTACTTGCCGCACCCCGAAATCCAGTCGTACCGCATCCGACAGAGCGTGCGAGAGACTGCACTCCACGAGGCGAACCGGCGCGCGCAGAAGCAGAGCGTAGCCGTCAGACCCGAGCGACACGGCACCCAGCTGAGCGCGACGGAAAGTAGCGCAGGCACCTTGCGCAGAGCAGCACAAGAGGTGCGTACACTTGCGACGGGTGAGCGTTGTGGCCGTAGGCGATAGTGATCGCGACGGAGGGCACCACACTTGGGCAGGGGAGGGGAGGAAGGGATATCGACGGCGATGGCAAGCAGGCGTATTTTCGGAGGCGGGGCATATACCCCATCCCCGACTAGGCTGTGGGTGCTGCCATGTTCGGACCCTGCGAGTAAACAAGCATTGGACGGATAGAGAATGAGATCGAGCGAAGATCGAGGCAGAGGTGAAGCCCGCAGAGCATAGAAGTATGTCGCCGAAGAAGCCGAGATGCTTGTTCCTATATCCTATTCCCAGCGTTTGCATGCGCTTCCTGCGCACGAGGGGGCGGGAGAGGGCGATGACCAGGATTCGCACGGCGCGTCCGTTCGGATTCTCCGGTTCTCGCGGTTCGCAGGCTGGCAGGACGAGCGCCCCACGCGATGGATCTGCAGAGTTTCGTCCGCACCATGGCGAGAAGCACTGCGTCACGGAGCGATCGTGCGTACAGCACGCCAGCCGTACATCCAAGAACCGAAATTGCTTGGAACAGCTGCTAGTGCGAGTGCTTCGCGAGCCCAGTCATACTCTGAGCGTCTCCGAACCTGCTCTGGTCGCCGACGAGCGTTCACCCCGCGGATCCAGTAATCCAAGCACGCCCAGGAATCCAGGTATATCGCTTCCAATCGGGAGTGTGAGTGACTATACTCCGTGGGTCGAGTTGGCGGGGGCAGAAACAGAGCAACATCAAGCCCGAGAGCGACGATAATCAGCTATGTGTGATCGCGAAGAGCAGGCACGTTGCGCAGAGCAGGGCAAGCAGATGCGTACACTGGATGATAGTGACCGCGACGGAGGGCGTCAGAGTAGGGGAGAGAAAGAGAGGAAGGGGCGGATATGACGGCGATGGCAAGCAAGTGTACTTTCGAAATCAGCGCATATACTCTGTCCCGGGTAGGTTGCAGGTGCTGCCATGTTCGGAGTGAGCGAACAAGGATTATACGGATAGAGAACAAGACCGAGCGAAGATCGAGGCAGAGGTGATCATGAAGCCACAGAGCAAAGAATATCGCCGAAGAGCTCGAGCCACTTCGTAGAGAGGTTGTTGATATTTCTGTTTCCCGGAGTTTGCATGCTTTCCTGCGCACTAGGGGACCGGAGAGGGTATTCGTGAGCGCGTGCATGGATTGATCGAGTGCGTCGCGGCGGTCAGATTCGCACGGTGCGGAGACTTGCCATACGCTAGAACTAGAAACGAGCGGATCGCCATATTTCTCCAGGCGTTGCAGCGGAGTGGGAGACGGCGTGCGCGAGTGGGGGGCGCGGCGGGACTCGCAAGGCTGGCGGACTGATGACGACGTCCGAGAGAACCCTGCGGTCAGAGTGACGACGGCTGCACACGTGTCGTCTGCACAGCACTCGAGCGCGAGTACGGTCAACGCGCGAGCGCGTGCGGGGCGAAATGCGCGAGCTAGAGACCGTCGCGAGCAGACGGAGGAGAGAAGAGGCGAGTGACGGAGTGTGACGGGACGCGTCATTGGCGCCTAGCGTGGGCCGTCTCCGATCTTCTCGGCCTCTGCTCTCTCTTCACTAGCAAGACGACGACTCGCACGTTGCTCTCGCCCTGTACCGTCTACCCTCACCTCGGCTCGCTCCAATAGTCTGATACTGGCTAACCGTCACCCAAGCGCACTCGACTCCGCCCTTACCTAGCCCGCACTAGGCTCTCTGCACGCCCTTGCGCCCGCTCTCTTGGACTCCACCACTTTGCGCCGTACACAGGACCAAATATTATCGTCCGATGCTACGTAAGAAGAGTGTATGCGCTCGTACTCATTGGACTTTCAACGTTCCACTCTGACTAGCTCCCGTTTACGATCTCGAAAACGCGTTCACCTGCGTCTCTTCTAAACCCGCGCCTCTCGCGGCACTCGTCCAACGAAGATATCGAGAAGGTAAGCTGCAATTTTATGGCAACTACGGACTACAGTGGGCTAGGAGCCTATGAATCGCCCCATTCAGCGTCCGTCCAGCGTAGATGAAGCGGACGAAACGAGCGTGTTACGGGGTAGTTCGACTGGTCCCTGCTATGCGCTCCCACGTCCTATCTGCACCTTCCACGACCCAATAGGCTACAGCCGCTCCGGGCATGCGACAGCTCTCGCCCATACCTAACCCGCAATTGAGGTAGTCGATATTCATCTCCTCGTCTACGTCACCGCCGCCACGACCGTCGCTCCTAAACTGCGCCTGTCGCGCCAAAAACCGAGGTCAGCCACCGCCCACATTCAGCCGTATAGCGCACTTACTTCTCGACGTATGTACGCATAGTCGCCCGTATTGACAATCTTTGCGTCAACTCGCATACGGAAAGCCCGCCTCCCCGACACCAAGTTTTCTCCTGCCTACGTAACGCTCCACGGCCGCCGCGGTGTACACCCCCTCCACCCGGGTATCGACAGACCCTGTTTGCGCAAACCCCGTCAACACCCCGCTCAACCTGCGTGCACAGCAGAGAAGCACTCACCCAAGTGCATAGCGCCGTCTGGCCCACGCATGACGGAGTCCCAGAACGCTCCTCGCCCTTCGCAGTGTGCGCCTCTGACAGCGCGGGACGTCCCGGACCACCACCGTCACCATAGCTAGACACCACCGCTGGAAGCCTGGGCCCGTAAGCTGGCGGCATATGTGTGCGAAGGCGCGGCGGGTTCCCAGGGATAGAGGCTGCGGCTGGGTGACCGGTAGGGGCGTAGTAAAAGTTGAGAGGTTTATCTGTCCGACGGGCGGGATGTGTGGGGGTCCGTGTGGGCCGAGGGTCATCGAGCGGCATGTCCGCGATGAGTCGAGTTTGTCGATGGGTTGGTTCGTGAGTGGCGCGGGAGTCGGTGGAAGGTGAGTGAGTAGAGAGAAGATGGAGAGCCACCTCGCGTGCTGACGGGCCTTCTTATACTGCAGAGACGGCGCCGCATTGTCTCCGGTACCTCTCGCGGGCCTCTTTGTGCGCTACCAGCTCTTTTGCGTCGCCCTACCGGCCGATCGCCCGGCGCCGGCGCACACTCGCCGACGGTTATTCAACCCCACAAAGCCCTAAAAACTGTGGCCGCTCGCTCCATACTATGCCATACACGCGGATCATGGACAGTAGCCGTCATTGTCGACCGTGCCTGTAGAGATCCCTGCGCGCAGCGCCCTACCCATCTTTGGTCTTCGCGCGGTGTACCGCCCAGGTCCACACGCGGTCGTCCCCACTCTTCCCGCAGCGCCATATCGATTTGTACGTCGTATTCTTTCCCCCCGTCAACTGCCCCGTCTCACATATCTTGCACAGCTAAGACACGAAACCGCGGCCCGTCGACACCATGTACGGCCCTGAAATCGCCTGCATAGACCCGGCCATCGCGTACCCCACACAGATCGAAGCAGAGTGCCGCAGCCTGACAGCACGCACAGGCCCGGCCGCTTTGTGGACGCGAATTTGGCCCGTTCGTCAGGCTACGGTCGCGCCGTCACAGGGGCGCGCCACTCGGCACTATTGTCTCCAACCTGAACGCCCGGCCGTCGAGACGTTGGCTGGCCCCTACGTGGGCTTTGGTCGATACAGGCTCACTGGCGTACGTCGGAGCTCTGTCAACGCTCCGGCAGATGAGAGTCAATACGACCGCGCCGTCTAGTAGTAAGCACTCTTTTCTGGGTATCGAACCGTGGCCACTAACAGCTAACCACAGTCTTCTTTAGGTCCCCGCAAAATGCTATGTATGCCGCGTCCACCCCGCTCGCCCCTTGACACGACAAAGCACCGGCCACAGCACACGCACCCTACACCCTCCTGGTCAAAGGGGCCTCCATTCCGCCCGTCTCCGCCGACGCGTCAGCCCCCCCATAGCCCAAGCGTCGCCCCCGCAACCGTATAAATACCCTACCGCTGCCCGCAGAGACAGCCTCACCCGCTCCCCTCCCACTGTATCCCCTCACCACTCGCCCATCCCCACTCCGACTCCAAGCTCCCCAACCTCTCAGACCGACATGGGGACTCGACCGCCCCGACATCGCCGCCCACGACACGCCCGTCGGACAGATAAACCTCTCAACCAACTCTACCCCAGTCTACCAGCCAAGAAAGTACGTACCGCTGCCGTACCACAAACTTGCCGCGCCACTCACAGCCGCTCCAGGCTCCTGCCAGGAACGTCTTAGGCCGGATCTAGCCCGGCCAGCGGCCGCGCCGGTTGAGCACGTACGTCCTCCCTCATCTCTCCTCCGTCTCCGCACGTCTGACTGACGGCTGACGGGAATCGTGTGTGGTACAGCGCTGCGCGACATCGCGTATCGATTGGCGGATCTTCTACAGCGCGGATCGGTACGTCGCCTAAAACCGCGCGTCCCACTCGTCCCCGCTGACAACCTCGTGCAGAGCTGAGGTTCACGCCCACCTCAGGACAGTCGTACGGTCACCTCAGGACAGTCGTGTACGCCCCCTCCCTCCCACCCCCGCCCACTCCCCTCGCTAACACCCGTACCCTCCCACAGACCCAATCACGCAACAACGCGAGGGCCACGCAACCCCAGCGCACGCCCCACCCCAAGACACTCGCCTACACGCTCTGCTCCTCCCACAGACCCGGCGCACCAACCTGCACACAGCGACGCAACAATCTGGACACAGCGCCGGCGCAACCCGCGCACGCGTCCTGCACTCCGTCACACCGACCCGAGCGATGTCCAAAAGACGCGCGGTGCCCAGCATCATACGCGCAGCGCCGCGGCCGCTACGCACACGGGTGCGTCTCCTTCCCCGCGCTTCTGCGGACGATGTAACTGAAGAAGGCTCGGTGTAGTCGACCTCATCCACACGGAATGCCGCCGCCGGACATGCTGAGGGACGGAATGACGTAGGTTTGAAGTCTGTGATGCGGCCCGCTGCGGGACGGCATGACATCGGTGCCCGCGCGGTGGGCTCATCTGTGGGTACGTCTTCCTCGCCTCCGCCTCCGCATGGTCTGTTCCGTGTCCTGATCCGCGCCGTCCCCCGTTTAGAACTGGGTCGTAGTCAAGCCGGGCATTGACGCGCTGCACGACTCCGCTGAAGCAGAGGTAGACGACGCCGACACCGCGATACACCCCAGAGTGCCGACCGCCGTAAAATTGCGGATCCGTAGTACGCCCATAAATGATTTTAATTGATGATTTCTCTCTGCGTTGTGTTTGCGTTGCGACGTCGTGTTAAGTCCTGAGCCGATTGTCGGTGAGTAGAACATTGCCTGGGTGATAACGATCCGGTCTTCCCATGGGAGAGTCCGGGCGCCTACCCGAACTTCGTTCCTACCACGACGTTAATTGGGCCAATACGCCCACGGGCGAGTTTCCTGCCTGTTACCTGCACGTATGCGGACAGCGTAACTGACGAAAGGTAGTCGACCTCATCTATGCGCGGCAGCAGCCCGCGGATATACTGAGAGACGGAATGACATAGGTTCCTATGCGTGCCTCTACCGGCGAGCGGGGGTGAAGAAAAGACGCACTCAGACTGGGAGAGAATGGCCGGTTTGTTCCTCGTATTGATCAGAACCCTCCATCGTTTGGAACGGAAATAGTGGGTAAGCCCAGCAGTGATGTGGAGTACGACTCCGCTGCAACGGCGATGCCGAGACCGAAATACGCTCAACGTGTTGGGGTGCTGCCAACTGCAGGCCATAACATCGCGGATTTGTAGCACGACTACGAGTGTTTTAATCTATGATTTCTCTCCATGCTATGCTTGCGTTGCAACGTCGTGTTTGGTCTTGAGGTCATGGGGGTTAGTAAAACGTTGTCTAAAACGGGTAAGGACGATCCGGACAAACCTCACTCACTCACTCACTCGGTCTTCTGTATGGGGGAGCGTTGTGTCGGCGCCTACTCAACCTTCGTTCCTACCACGACGTCAACTTCGGGACACAACCCCAAACACTTGAACATTGCTATTCCTAACTATCTCAAACATAATAATTTCTAAATTCGACGTAACACGCCTCCTCCATATGCGCTCTGTAATCATTTTGAAGACCACGTCAGTGGCGCTAACACTTCTCTACAGTCTTTAAGTACTAGCATGATGCTCGTCCTCGTTCAGCGCGCCGTCCCAGGCACGGTCTCTGTTCTTCGACACATGTGGTACCCATCCTCCTTCCAAAGCATAGTAATCGCGCGTCGAAACAAGTCGACACGTCCCAGCGCTCCTCAGCTGCGCCGTACCGAACAGTCAGATGCGTCGACAACACCACTTTCCACCCCACCAAACTCCGTGGAATCCGGTCGTCGCCGTCATCGAAATCGCACACCGAGCCCTGGACCTCCCAAAATTTCCACGCTCGATCACACCCGTCTCACCTCGCGTGATTTTCTCATCATCAGCAATCAAACGATTGCTCCGCCTCTAATGTACCATTCCTCGGACTTTGAAGGGCGGCCAGACGAGGAGCCGCAGCTGTTCCGCGCATCACTACACCCCGCGGGCATGGACAACCTCTGAGTATTCCCCCCGAACATGCGCGGATTTCTTTACTATCACCTCGCGCCCAATGTGCCAGCCCTTTCCGGACAGGTGCGCCTCCGCATCACAGGTTCCAGCGACCCCGCGCTGGCCTCCTCTGGGGAGGACCTCCTCCGTACCGACCATCTCCCATGGAGGATCCCAGTTACCTCTTTGGTACACCGCAAACGCTACAAAGCGCTGTTCCGCCGCATGCTCGACGACGGGCTCCTGTCCGAGCATGTCTTGCGCGCCATCTCGAGCCTACCGCCCGGCACAACCCAGGTCAACGCCCGCTCCTCGCGCATATCCCACGCGCTCGGCCAGCCATTCCTCCTGCGATTTGGTGTGACCACCCAGCCCTTCAACTTCATCGGCGCAGACACCGTCTTGCGGGCAAACTCCATGCATGTGACCATGATCTCGAATGGCCACAGGAGTTTGTGCGCACCCACGATCAGAGGTGCGACCCCTGCGCATTATGTTCAGAGCACTGCTTCTGACTGCCTCGACGTCTTCCTAGGGTCCGCGCTCTGCCGCTTCGAGAAGTCGGCGCGCCCCGAGCACACGGGGCGCCGTATCGTGGTCTATCGTGTTGTGCGCATCGTAGAGCCGATGGAGCGCACCGCGTTGTGCAACATCGCGGATAGTCTCATGCCGCGCGAGGGAGAGCTGCTAAGTGCAGTTCTTGCGGCGAAGTCGGAGCGGGATAGAGAGTGGTCATTCGACGTGGACCGCTGCCTTTCCTTGGGTCCGGACACATCCCGCTACCAGTTTGCAGCGGGCCTCGCTCTCCTGTACGACAACGAGGCGCGCGCGCGGGGGCTGTGGGCTGGTGATACGTGTACACGTTTCTGCGAATGTATGGCAGGCTCCTCTACCAACGGTAGTACTCGTGGGCTTGGCTCGAATGGGTCGGAAGGCCCAAAAGGCTCGTTGACATATTGTGGATATTTTCCGAGATATCGTGTTTGGTGTAGGCAAGTGTGAGTGGTTGCAGTGGCGAGGAGACTCGGAACGTTGCTAGTGCCCAGAAAGCGCGAGCAGTGCGCGAGCGTCCGGCTCGGGCGCTTACTCTACCTGGTTTCGAACCACGTACACGCTTCGAGCCTCGGAGCGAGGACACCATCCCAGCTCTCAGCCCGCACTCAACTACTGCGATTTTAAGCTGAAATACTGAGTGCTACTGAGCTTCAAGGTGAAATGTCATTTCAATTATCCCGTATGCGCATTTCTTACTAAGTATAATATCAGCCACCCGACCGCTCACTGCCAGCGATGATCGTCCGACTCGTTCAGCACCCCGTTTCGTGTGCAGTTTCCGCTCTCCGACACACAGCTCGTGCTTCCGCGTTGAAGAATGTTGTAATCAGGCGTCGTACAGAGTCGACGCGCTCCGACACCCCACCAACGCCGTCGCCTCCCGCCGCGGCCTTACCAGACTCCACCGGTCCCCGCCGGCGCAAATCGATGCTAAATCGCTCGCCAGCCTCTCAACCTCCAACGATGTCTACGCTAAATCACACCCGGCTCACCTCGGACAACTTTCTCGTTCTCAGCGGTCTAATGGCTGCTAGAGCGCGAGCATACCGCCCCTTGGTTCCTGGACCAGGCAGCGAGCATTGGCGGTTCGTCACATTCCTACTTCCCACCGGCATGCATAACTTCTTTTTTCCTTCTCACTCCCGTGGATACCTCTACTATCACATCGCGCCAAATGCCCCGGCACTTTCCGGACAGGTGCGCTTCCGCGTTACAGGGATCAACGATCCCGCACTGTTCTCCTCTGGCGAGGACCTCCTCCGCGCCGACTACCTTCCATGGAGGATCCCGGTCATCTTTCTACCATTCAGGAACCTCTACACGGCGATGTTGCAGCGCCTGGTCGAGGACGGCCTCGTGTCAGAACACCTCTCACGAATCGCGTCCAGCCTATCCCCCGAGGCCAGGAGGATCAACATCGGCTCCACACGCATCGTCCACGCCTTTGGCCAGCCGTTCCTCCTCACCTTTGGCCTGTCCACCCAGCCCTTCTACTTCATAGGTGCAGACACCGTCCTGCATGTATTCTTCCCGCCCGTGGCAATAGCTCGTGATCTGAGGAGTACAGAAAGAAGACCCACCATCACAGGTGCGAGCGACACGTATTGTGTCCGAAGTTCTGTTTCTGATTGCCACAACATCTTCCTAGGGTCTGCGCTCTGCTGCTTCGAGAAGTCGACGCGCCCCGAGCACGCTGGGCGCCGCGTGGTCGTCTGCCGCGTCATACGCATCGTGAAGCCTATGAGGCTTACCGGGTTCCGCGCGGTCCCACAAAGTTCCATTCCGCGGGAAGGCGAGCTGTTACGCACGAATTCTCTCGGCGACTTGGAAGGCCCGGAGTGGGCATTCGACGTAGGCCACCGTAGCACTCAGCTCGCAGCGGGCCTCAGCCTCCTGTACGACAACGAGCTGCGCGCGGGAGGGCCTGTGGGCTGGTAACACGTATCTGTGCTGCTGTGAGTGTATGTGTTCTTCTCTTCATGGTGGTTGACTAGAAAAGCTAATCCGCATGGGCCAGGTTGCCCAGCGATCGGAGCGGCTCGTTCTGCAGCTGGCAGAGTCATACGTGCAAACCGTCGTTCTAGGTGACTGCTATTGTAATTGTTATAGCGGGTCATGCTGATAATCCGTACCTCAGCGATCACCAAGACTCTTGTGCCGCGCTACATCGCACACATCATGAGTGCCCTACGCCCCCACCACTCGTTATTGTCCTTCGCTCTGGCGGCGGTGCCCAAACTTGAACATGGCCACTGCGCAATCCGATTCATGTTCCAACTGCATGCACGCCGCTCGGCCACGCCTCGTACGCATATATCAGACAACGCCGCGGTTACGCAGCGGCCACACGCCTCAGTAACACGCGCGCGTCCACGGGTCAAAGCGTCCCCGCTGTCGAGTAGTATAAGTACCCCGTGCGGAGGATGTGGTCAACATCAACACCAACAGCCTGCCCCCCAGCACACTCTACTCGCACAACCGCCAGCATCCCCAATGGGCACCCCACCACCCCCGCGCCAACCGCTCTCTCGCACCGCGAGTCGTATGACAGACAAACCTCTCAACTCAAATCTTACCTTAAATCTTACCCCGCCCCACCCGCGCCCGCGTGACGGCACCCATTGACAAAGCCTTCATCCGGGTAAGCCGTCCTTGATTTTCGCAACATCTGCCAGCGTCGTTAACCGTGAACGTTTTCCAGGCCGCGTCGGCGGGACAGCCATCCCCGGCTTCAGCGCCTTATGGTCGTACAAAGGCTTGGCCATGCGTGATGCACCTCAAGGCTAGGCGTAGTGCACCTCAAGGCTACGCGTGGCGCACCTCAAGGCTACCGTGGTGCAACCTCAAGGCTACCGCACACCTCGAGGCTCAGCTATGCTAGCTTAATAGACCGCCATAACAATGCGATTTTATTTAATCATTAATTAGCAAACACGGAGTGCAGACGCTTCGTACGGCCCGTTTGTGCAGATCGGGTTCACTCCTTCTCTAGCTCAGGAATATTATCCAGTACACTTATGTCGTCGGTTACCGACGTCCTGTACGATAGAAACAGTGCCCCTCAACCACAGCATTCCATATTTTTCAGACACACGGAGCGGCGTCTGAGCTGTTCTTGGTATGTTCAGGCGCCGAGCTCAGGCGATCGGAGAGTTGACTTCGAGGAGCAAGTGAGGAGGCGCCCACGGCTGGAAGAGCGTTCAGACACCTGTGCGGACCCTCCGTCTTGACCACGACCACTCAACTGACGAAGTCTCGCTCATACCTCGATCGCTTCATCGTTTAACTCTAGTTCTGCAGCACACTTTCTATATCGCTATGTCGACGCCTGCGAAACTCCCGCCCAAAGCCGTCCACCCACTCCCGCTGAGCTCGACCTTGCACGACCTCGCCCTGCTCCGAGCCTCCGATCTCGACTTTGCAACGCTCCTCCCTCCGTCTACCTCGTCGAGAACGGAAAAAGACGACCCTGCAGTGGAGCAGAGCGTGCAGCGCTCGCTGGAGTTCTCGCGCGAGGCCCGCGCGGCACTGAAGCTGCTGCACACAGATGCTGTAGACAAGCAGGGCGCGCGGGTGGACGATGTGCGAGAGAAGCTAGAGGACGTTGTGCAGGGCTTAGAGGGGCGGGATTGACCATGCGTTCGTGATCCATGTCCTCGTACGGATACCCTGGTAAGTCGGGTTGTAGAAGCTGGCCGTAAGAGGTGTTCACGACGGTTTGTCCTCCCAGTATACCCTCGCATGAGCGATGCGTTGTACACCAGCCTGTACCCAGTATATTGAGTGCCGGCACTGTCTCCGGAGCCCTTCTACAACATCACGCAACTAGCGGCATATCTCAGTCCTCCGCACGCTATGCCGCCAATTCTCAACGCCGAAGCAACACCGGGTGTCGCTGTCCTCGATCTAGACTTCTTGCTTAGTTTCGCCAGCATGCGCAGCTGGCCTCCTTACTTCATTTCGGCACTATTCGAGCAAAGTATGCACCCCTTGCTCGTGACGTCACCGAGCCCAATGCAGTCTCCCGGGAGGTATCCACAAGTCGGGCGCACATAGATCTGGCGAGCTATAGCTAGCTAACCCTCACACAACCACCATGTTAAACTCCCGCATCTTATACGCGCTCTCCACCGTTCGCCCTTCCGCGCGAAGCCCGCTGCGAGCATACGCTACTGATCCAAATGGACAATCAAACGGTATGTCTCAGTACGCCATCTCTCAGTACACGACCATACGCTTATACGCACGTAGAGAACCGCGTTGTAGGGGGCTTGAAGGCCACCCTCTCCAACCCCGAACACTTCCCAGGCGGCCAAAGAGCACGCCTCGGAGCGCCTAGAGGAGTCCACTCATCATAAGAACCACGTTCTGGGAGGATACAAAGCCGCTCTAAACAGTGCGACCTCTTCTGCATATGCTTCGTTTAACCAGAATGTTAACCAAAGCAACAGGCTCGCGGACGAGCGAGGACGCGAAGAAGCACGCTCGCGAGATCCTCGAGGCGGCAGGTGTCCAATTCGACGCAGCTGAAGGCGCCGCCGCGGCGGAGCACGAGAAACGCGTCATCGCTGGATACAAGGCGGCTTTGCACAGTGAGTGCGATCATCCAGTGTTCATGACGGCTGTCCGTGACGTCTATGTGTGATCTAGACCCGCGCGTGTCCGAGGAGGCGAAACAGCACGCGAAGGAGTACTTGAAGGAGCATAACGTACGATGATGACGGCGACGTACTGTAGAACAAGGCCACCGGCCCTCGACGATCTGTATCATCAGCACAAGCTCCCTCTAGCCAGCCATTTCGCATTTCGAATCGCTCTGGAACATGAGTAGCGCATTGGAACCTGAACGTTGAACTTCACCTCCAGTCGGTCTCCGTTCTACCCGCGTCTTCGCCACTGAAGTCGATTGAATAGCCCCTATGACGCGCACGCATCATGATCTAGGCGTTGTGGGGCCATAACGTACGCCTGGAGAAGGCATCCCCGCCCGTTGTCGAAGGTCACCGCGCGAATCACGAAAAAGTGGTGCTTCGCGTCACCCCGACTACATTTTCCACACCCCCTACGACGTCGCCAAGGCTGAGACACCTCGCCTGAATAAACGGTGATGCAAGCCCCATTAATTGAGGAGCGTCCTTTGTGGCGTTTGGTGGTTTGTGGGCGCAGCGGAGGTGGGGCGGGCTGGAGGTTGGGGTCATCTCGCCTCCGCGCCTGACGTCACAACGCCTGCCTCGGAGTATAAAGGCGACCGCAATCCTGCATCCTTCTCCCAACCGACTTCCAACGTCTACACACACCTCTCACAACAACACACCACACTTCACCCAACCACCCCTACCCCCACACTCTATCAACATGTCCGGACACGACGGTCAGTGAACTCCCTCGACACGCCCACGTGACGCAGCCACTGACACGTCCCGCCCCCACAGAGAAGCGCGTCGCCGCTGGTCTCAAGGCCGCGATCCACAACCCCAACGTCTCCGAGGAGGCTAAGGAGCGCGCACAGGAGCGCCTCGAGACCATGGGTACCTCTGTCGAGACGACCTCGCGCGCCCCCGGCGGCAGCTACCCCGTCGGCAGCACCGACGAGGCCGGCCACGAGACTAACCGCGTCTTGGGCGGGTACAAGGCCACGCTGCACAGTGAGTCTCCTCTTCCCTTCTTCTTGAGACGGCGATGGCTGACAAGAGCGCAGACCCGAGGGCGAGTGACGAGGCCAAGGAGCACGCACGCGAGATCCTTAGTGCGGATGGTTACCAGTTCGAGCGCCCCGAGGGCGTGACGGAGGATGAGCACCAGATGCGCGTCAACGCGGGCTACAAGGCCGCGCTTAACAGTACGTTTAATTCGGTTGTTGTGGGATGTTCTTCAGATACTGACGAGGCTGTCGCTAGACCCACGCGTGTCGGACGAGGCCAAGCTGCACGCTGAGGAGTACCTCCAGCAGCACGGCGGCTTCTGAGCGCGTGCTACGTGTCGTTCCCATCTCATCTTGGACCGCGGACTCTTGTATCATAATGTAGGATCATCTAGTGAGAGTCGTCAACAGCAGTAGCTTTTACGCAGTGTACCAGTATCGATCGACGTCGATTTGCTTACAATTGTCGAGTGCACGAGCTCCAGACGAATGGACGATGATGGAGACCAGCACGATCTCAGCGTTGAAGGACGCTCTATCTCCCACTGAACGACGTACGCGTGCTCCGTCGCCTTGCATCGGGCTCGCGCGGCGACGACGTCTGCAGTAGGTAGAGAGGTAGCACGCGATCATGTGCGCGTGCTGTGAACGTAGCTTAACCTTGAAGCTACGTCGGCGAAGTCTCAAACACCTCGCCTTCGTGTGTGGAGGTCGCGCGATGGCTACTCGTCCTCTTCCTGACATGTGTAAATTAGGACTGAGCCTTTCCAACCAAAAAAGTGAGTAAATGATCCCATACACGCGAAGCGATACCGATGCACGTCACCAGCCCACAGGCCCTCCCCCACGCGCCTCGTTGTCGTACAGGAGATCGAGACCGGCCGCGAGCGGCCTGCGGAGCGCGTCTGGTCCCAACGAAAGGTGGCGGTCTACGTCGAACGCCCACTCCCCGTCGCCCAAGTCCGAGCCGGCGCCCATTATCGGGGGTCTTAACAACTCTCCTTCGCGCGGCATGAGATTCTCCGGGACGTTGCAGAACTCCGTGCGCTCCAAACGGCCTACAATGCGGACGACGCGGCAGACCACCACACGGCGCCCTGCGTGCTCGGGGCGCACCGACTTCTCAAAGCGGCACAGCGCGGACCCTAGAAAGACATCACGGTGGTCAGCAGCGACGCTCCTTCAACAATGCATATGGCGCGCACCTCTGACCGTAGGGGCACATATGGGGCGAGTCGCAGTGTCCTTCTTGCTGGCCACGGACACGAAGTCTTCCCGCAGGACGGTGTCGATGCCTATAAAGTAGAAGGACTGGCGGGTCTGGCCAAAGACGAGCAGGAACGGCTGGCCGAGCGCGTGGACTATGCGCGAGAAGCATGCGTTGAGCTGGGCGGTGCCAGGCGGCAGGCTCGAGATGGCGCGCACGACATGCTCGGACAGGAGCCCGTCGTCGCGGAGGCGGCGGAACAGCCCTGCGTAGTTTTTTCGAGTTGCTAATGAGATGAGCGGGAGCCTCCATGGGAAATGATCGGTACCGAGGAGGTCCTCGCCGGAGGAGAACAGCGCGGGATCGTTGGTCGGTGTGATGCGGAATCGCACCTGCCCGGAGAGGGCGGGGGCGTTGGGCGCGAGATGGTAGTAGAGATATCCATGGGTGTGCATGGGGAATCGTTTGTTGGGCATTCTGGCAGACGCTGGTAGGTATATGCGGTGCCCGTCAGCGACCGAGCGGCGGTATGCTTGTGCCTGCACAGCCGCTTTATCGCTGAGGATGAGGAAATTGTGCGAGGTGAGACGGGTGGGATCGAGTGTCGAAACTTTTGGAGGTCCATAGATTGGCGTGTGGTTTGGACGGTAGCGGCGGCCATTATTCTCCGCGGAGTTTGCTGGGGTGGATAGTGAGGATGTTGACGGCGACGCAGCTAACTGTTCGGTGCGACGCGGCTCGGGAGCACCGGAGCGCGTCGACTTTGTTCGATACCTGACCACTGCGCCTTTCGATGCGATAGCATGAATCGCGTTCCGCAGAGATGATCTGACCGCACAAGAGGCGGAGTACTGAACGCCGAGAACGGCCATTGACTAGGATTCCGGTGACTAACGCAGTCATCATGAGAAACAGCGGAAGCACTTACAGGAAGATGAGACGACACGTTACGAAGCTTCACAATCTCGTAGATACAGCCACGAGCTTCAGCGTAGGCAATTGTGTCCTTGCTCGAGTCGACGTGGTTTGAATCAAGGTCCAATAAGCGCCGGAACTACGCCCGTGATTCCATTTCGGGTAACGTTAACCTACTTACTTGGTAACCGCCACCAACGGCCGACTCACTCAAGACGAAACACAGCATCATGATGCTACTGTAAACACCGCAAGTATACACGGATAAATCCGAACAGTCGCTCTACGGGTTCAAAGTCCAGATCTGCCATCGAAAGTCAACGACTTTCCGTCGACGAATGTCGGTGTCCGAGTCGGCATCGCTCAGTGCATTCTTGCACAACCACAAACGCGCTGAATCCCTATGTCAAAAGACACCGAATCCTGACTGGCCTGTCCAACAAAGAGCAGGGCCAGCTTGCATCGGTGCGAGACCCAGAGCCCTGACAGGACCCCCGATAATCCCTACTGAGGCCTTTTCCCGGCGGACCCCTTTTGGGTCCGTTTGGTCCGGACAGCTTGGCGACCCTCCATGGACCATTTTGGTCCGGATTGTGCTCAAGGCCTCCCGAACGGCCCTCCGGTGGTCCGGACAGCGTACAAAGCCTCGAAAAATCCCCGAAAATGGTAATAAATTTCCAAAAAATTCCCAGGGGCCCGTTTTTGCTCTGATACGCGGAACGCGCCCGGGGGCATTTGTTTTCAGCAAGTCGTCGTTTAAAAGCGGTCACTTACATCACTTTGTATGCTAAGCGCTGATAAGCGCTAAGCTTCCGCCGCCATCTGTCCGGACCACGACCGCATAAGGCCTCCTCCGGGGCCCCCCAGTGGTCCGGACACTGTATATAGCCTGTCCGGCCCCGGAGGCCCTTTTTGGTCCGGATTGTACAAGGCATACCCCCGCTGGGACCCCCATTTTGGTCCGGACAGGTGAAAAGGCCTCAGTAGGGATTATCGGGGGTCCTGCCCTGACAAAAATGTGAGCTTTTGTTCCGCTCAGGAGTGGCACACTGGCTGGTGCTATTGACGTATGACATCACCTTCATTCTCTCGTGCAATGCATTCAGTATGGGCACAATAGCCTGACAATACGCGCGTCGGATCCTGTTCCCGCATGGGGGTCACAGATATATATAAGCAGCCCTGAAGCCCTTCCACCAACATCATCCAGCTTTCCTCCATCACCCCCGCTGTTGTTCGTGACGCCTCACACATCAGCCTTGACGAGCGCATGCCCACCCCACCGCATACCTCTCGTATGGCGGACAAACCTCTCACTTCGATGCTCATACTCTTGAACCCCGTCCCAACTATGGGCGGAAGCATGCCACACATCCCGGAACTACACACCACGCGTAAGGCCCCCTCGCCGTCCGACCACACATCCGCGTGCTCACGCTGACACTCAACCCCGCAGCATCGCTCCGCTACGTACGCGATCACTCGACACGCTGCCTTTGCTAGCGGGAAGCGGTTATGTGCGCCAACATCCTCGACGAGTTACGCGCCGCGCTACCGTCTCTGTCTACCCTTGCACGCATGCGCCACTCCACCGCCACTTACGCCAGCGTGTGCTTATGGGACGCGGGGGTACTTTTCGACGCAATCGGTCGACACCCTCGTAAGGCTCCAAGTCGTTCTGGCTAGGGTATGCGGCCAGAGACTCGCCCCCAGCTCAATGTGAGTGCTTACCTGTTTCTGTTCCTGCTGTGTCTCGTCTAGAGAGCTGACCGGGTCGGGTCTTCCAGGACGATGTACCGCTCGAAGAGGAGAAAGCTTGTATCGAGAGCGGAAGGAGCGTCCATAAGGGCGGGCGTACTTGGGTGCAGCGGCATGACGTGTTCGCACACGGAATGACATAACCCAGATATAACCTGTAACTCTGTTACGCTGGAATGTAAAAGTCGTTCAGTGCAATGAGACAGAACGAACATACAAAGGCTGCGCACGCAGATGAGGGTGCGGAGAAGAAGCGGAGATATCGGCGTCTAATAAGGTTGAAGGTTAACGTTAGCCGTTTTGACTGACCCCGCGATCGCGATTACGTTCTGTGCAAACACCCACACCCCCAAGTCCACAACCTCCGTCCTCTTCCTCTCCACCACCATCCTCCATCCCATTTCCGCTCTCCATCGTCCTCGACGCTGTGCGCACGGCGCACTCCTCGTGTTGGAACACCAGTAAGCAGTGACGCAGCGGCCCGGCGCCCTCTTCTGATGGTGGCGCGGATAAGTAGTAGTATGCGGCGGCGGCGCGACCTCGCTCAAGCACCCGCCTCGTGTCTGCGTCCGTCTGTGGCCTCTCAACGACGCGCACGCCCGCTCGTTGCGGCGTTCGATGTTCGCTCTCATTGGCCTCCTTGCGGGAGGCCCGTGGGGAATGGCGTGCTGGCCAATGGTGGGCCATCATTTGGCTCGGGTAGCGACGGGTGATTGGACGCGACGCCCCAGGCCTCTGTGGTCTTGATCCTATGAAAGATAAGTAATGTATCGGCGACCACTCGGGAGGTGTATGTGTTCCTTTTTCGGAGTACGAAGCTCGGTGAAGAGGCCGTTGTGCCCATGGCGCTAGGCCCAAACCAGACAGCACGGTACGTGTCCTTTCAATTGTCCCCCAAAAGCCACGATGCTTCCGTGGAGGATGTGGTCCAGTTGCGCGGGACGATCGCATCGCGGTGAAGCGTAGCGACGGTATTCCAATGCTCTGATGTTCTGCGCTGGGTTCGAGCGGGCTCGCTGACTTTCATACCGTTCTGTTAGTACTCTCCCGCTCCGAAGGCTAAACGCGCACTCTGTACACAAGTGGGGTGCGCGACGTTCTCCGCCGTGTAGGCCGGGGCAGGAACACAGGAACAGGAACAGCCCATTATGTCGCCGACGCAAGCTGCGTATCAGTCGGACGTGAACGGCCTCTGGGGCGGCGCAGACCAAACGCGGCGAGGGAGGAAGAAGGCCCGGCGTCCAAGGAAGCATTCCATCTGCGATCGATCTACCGCGCCTGCCTTCTGGATGGATGAGATCGGGCTCCCGCGATCGCCCTCTCCCATCCTCCAGAATATATTCCCTCTAACACGAGCCGCCGCCGCTCCTCCCTTTCCTGTCCCCCTCCTCCCTCTCCCATCCCCTCCTACACGCCCACGAACGCCCGTATACCCGCCGGATTGCCCCGCAAGACGCTCCGCATACAGCCACCTGTACACACAACCCATCTGTAACTAGCCGAAATGGTGAGTGCGCGCGATAGTATTACGCGCGGCAATACATACGAGGTTGACAAAGTTCCTCCCACCTGGCCAGCGCACCCCGGACTTCATGCAAATCGAGTTCCTCATCGTGGGCGGTGCCATCACCGGTCTCTCCGCTGCTATCGCGCTCAGCAGAGTCGGCCACAAGGTGACCGTGCTCGACACCTTGCCCTCGTTCAGCGAAGTGAGTACGCGATCCAGGGAGGTACGTGTGTTTACTGATTAGTTGCAGACGCCTATGGGTGCAGGATGTCGTATACCGCCAAATGCGACCAAGCTCTTCTACCGCTGGGGGATGGAGGAGCGTCTGCGGGCATCCTCGGTCAAGTCAAGAGGCGTCGTCTTCGCCCGATGCAGTTAGTGTTTCCTCTCGTGCCATATACGGTCTAGGTACTCATGCATGTGCATCAACAGATGACTCCGGTTCGGTCGTCGGCCAGCATGAATGGGAGGAGGAGATGCTCGAAGAGACAGGCGGAGACTTTCTCCTCATACACGTACGTATCCACTATCCTCAGTCCACCACGTCCACCAACGATCGCGACTCCTGCCTGCCTCAACCCCACCCACTCGCGGACAGTACACCGACCTCCGACGAATTCTCGCAGAGTCTGCGGTAGAGCACGGCGCAACGCTACGCTCTGGCTGCTACGTCGTCGACGTCCACGCGGACCCGCAGAGACCAACCGTGACGCTCGAATCGGGCGAGGTGCTCACCGCGGACGTAGTTGTCGGTGCGGACGGATCGCACGTGGGCCCACATTGCACGCGGCGCACGATCCTCAAAGCGATCGACCAGGAGGACGTCGAGAAGCACAGCGGCATGGAGCTCTTCAAGTGCGTCTAGATTCGCGTGCTGTCCCCGATCCTTGATGTGAATGCTAACATCGCGGCGCGTGTTCAGCGCGATCATTCCCGGGACGGCTCTGGACAAGCTAGAGGATCCGGAGTTCGTGAAGCAGCTACGAAAGCCGGTAAGCACCAGTCGGACACTTCTCATACGCACGCGATCACTAAAACATTTCATAGGGCACGGTATTCACATGGTTCGGGCCCGGGCACGGCGCCCTCGGTTTCCCCATCGTAGGTTGCCAATTAAGGTTCTGAGGCATCTTGATGTTCATTCGAACTCTAGAAGGAACCGAAGACCGGCAATCTGCTCTTCACCATCTACATCTACGCGCCGAGCGACGACACGAATTTCCAGGTGCGGATGATTGACAAAGAGCGGATGCTCAAGAAGCTCGAGGGGCGCGATCCACGGTGCGTCGCACGTAGCCCATAGTCGCGCGCCCAATACTGACGTGGTATCACAGACTCGTCGCGCTAGCGCAACACGTTAGCGATGTCAGCTTGGTACCGATGGTAGAAAGACCATACCTCGAGGAATGGGTCCATCCAGAAGGGCGCGTCATCGCACTCGGCGAGTCCGCACACCCCATCCCCGTAAGTCCAACCCGCCCCGCTTCATTTAGACTTCCCTCACCCACGCACCCGCGCACAGGTCGGCTCGCTATACTCTGTCGGCATGAGCGCCGGGGACGGCGCCGTCATCGGCCGCCTCTTTGCACACCTGCACCGGCCTGACCAGATCAGCAGCTTCCTGAACGCAGTCCCCGAGATCCGCGCGCCGCGCGTCGAGCGCGTCATCCGCGCCGCGACAGGCAACATCTTCGCAGTCTCCCTGCCCCCCGGGGTCGCGGAGGCGCGCGACCGCGACCTGCGCGAGCACGCAGAGCGCGGGATCCAGGAGATCACTGGGACGGGCCGGATGGGGCGACAGACGAGCGAGGAGATGATGAGCGCGATCGAGAACATCTTCGCGTACGACCCGGAGGACTCCGCGGACGACTGGTGGGTGCAGTGGGGGCTCATGCAGGAGCGCGCGTCGCGGACGGTCGTGTCGGACGCGGTGCTGTCGGTGCATGTCGCGGAGGACTGCACGCGCAAGCGGGAGTAACGGGGCGAGGTCGTGTGCTTCGTTTTCTGGATGCCCCCCTCGGTGCGCTCTTCCTTCGTTCCTCTCTTTCTCGAAGGGCGCTGCTTGTATCCTTCTTCTCTTGGGACCATTCTGCGTAGACTGTTGTGCTTACACCTTCATGCCCTTCCACGACCGCCGCTTGTACTTTAGATTTGTGTTCCGCACGCACACCCGCATCGTCTCCCTCCATGCATCCACCGCCTCTCTCACTGCATCACTACAACCACATCACCCAAAACACCACCCGCATATTTATACACCGTGTCGTTGTCACTCATATGTAGGTTACAGTACGCCGCCGCCGTTGTTGTTGCCATCCCCCCATCACACGCCCTTACGATTCTTTCGACCCGGAATCGAGGCTCGGACCGTGTACCGTGGACCTTTGTGTTCCACTTGTGCCCTGGACGTGTGCGCCGTTATGGATACCCAGCCCCGGATACCCACCCTAGGTTCGACACAAACCCCGAACACTAAAACATCGTGTACGGGCCCATCTACCCCACTCACCCCTGGTCCTGGTCCATCTCCACGAAGCACGATGACGCCGCCGAAGACTGAGACCGCCACAAGTGCTGGTCGTCATAGATCTCTCGAACTCTTCTCTCTCGTTTCTGATAGCGCGCGGCCCCGCCCCATTACGGTGTCTCCCCGCCGCCCGGGACTAGCAACCCCCGGACGCCTCCCCACGCCCCCGGCGTCGCGCCCACCAACGAGGCGGACTGGCGGGCCTAGGCGCCGCCGCCACAGACGTGGCCCAAGGCGGCCGTGGTACCTCGCCGTCGATGCAGCAGCACGCGGACCGAGCGGACGTAGATTCTCGTCGATCGGCGCGCATCTGGGGTACAGATCCCCAGCCGATGTGGCGGTAGAACCTGAAGGCACGAGGCAGGCGTCGCGGCGGGACGGGATGGGTAGGACGGGCGTCGGTGCCGCGGCCCAGGCGGTCGGCGCGTGTAAACTGGCCGCCGGGCCCGAGAGGCGCTTGGTAGCCTCGAGGCGGGCGATGAGTACAGGATGCATCGCGGGAGGCGGCGGGAAGTTGGGATAGATCGAGCGAGCGATGCCTGTCGGTACAAGTGCTAGTGGTACCCGCGGGATCGCAGATGCATTACTGAGAATAGTAGTCTAGGTCGAGAAAAAATTCTGCGGTGTACAGTGAGTGCTGTGACCATTGACCCACCGTACAAACATTTGGGGGCTGTTCAAGCAAGAGTTTTCTCGTCGACCCGAAATACCTCGTGCAGTATACCCACTCACTCACGCCCCTCAAACACGCATGCAACACGAGAAAGGGTACATCAATTTATTAGTTTCGTACTATTTGTGATCGCGAATTTATGGGCGATCGGGTTAGGTCCAGGTGGAGGTACCGCCGGTTAGCCCACCGTCGTGCAGCCTCCAAGCGGGTGACTGGGCCATCTACATAACTTGGCGAGTGGGCTTGACTTGTCATGCATAGCGGATGGTCTCCAGTGCTCGTATCGCGGCGATAAAGGAGGTGCCCGTACACCGTCCCATCCTCGTGTGTGCGTTGGGGGCGAGACCCTCTTTTGGACATCGCTCGGGCGAGTAAGGGAGGCCGCGAGAGCCGCATGCTCCTCTACCGGTTTCAGATATTCGAGGCGTTCCGCCGCCTGGTCATCGCAAGGTTGACATCAAGGAGGAATGTCAGCATTTTTTAAGACAGCGGCAGGGCTCAAGAAAACTTACAGTTCCGTCGCAAGCCGATCTCTAAAAGAAAATGCATCCCGCTACTAAAAAAAAAAAGTGACGCACAGGCGATGAGTATGGCGCGCTGGACAGGCCAGAGAGAAGTGGGCAGACTCACGGTGCTACTTCCCGCACGTCTCCGCGGTGGCGAATAAAGTCCAGGAAGTCCGAAACCATGAGGTGATGTGCTTCGGGTGCAGAGCCTCAGGTTGATGGGGTGGAGGGCCCGACGACGACTTGCTGAACGAAACGCCTACAAAGCTAGGTCGCGTGCGAATGAGTGTGAGCAAGCCGGAGCGGTGTGCAGGGAAGGACAAAGAGTTGTGCGACTTACCTCACAGCGGCGGCACTAGTTCTGCGCCGGGCGTGATTGTCCAGCGGGGTCCTTGTAGACCCACATTTCTAGCGGCTGCAAAACCCAGCAGGCACACGTAAGCACGACGCACTGCGACGGCTTGTAAGCGGATCGGACGAAAGCATTACTCACTTCCGCCAGCAGTAAGTTTCGGTAAAGTTGGTTGAGAGGTTTGTCTGCCATACGAGAGGGTTGAGGTAGAGGGGGTTGGGGAGGCCGGGTTGGCTCCATGTCGCTCGGGAGGTAGTAAGGCGTTGAGAGGCGTTCGAGAGCAGGGATGGGGGAATGTTGTTGCTTCTTGGGTCGCTCTCGCTCAGGTACTTATACTTTTTCGGAGGGGGTCCTTGATCAGGGACCTGCTGACGCGTCAGCGATTGACGTTGAAGGGTGATTTGGATATCCATGGGACTGTCACGGCTTGCTTTCACCCTGTGGGGGGGCCAGGCGTCGACCAAGCAGTGAAACAACAATGCGTCCAGGGGACATGTTGGGAAATATCCGGACCATGGGTAGATCATCGAACGAGGCCTGTTAGAAACCCTAGTGCGTCAGCCAGGTAAAAGACAATATAAAAACGGATTGACTTCAATCGGCCCCGTACAAGCTAGCATCTTTTCTCCAGCCAGGCGGGCCCAAGCACACACCCGGCCGTACGGCAAAACTACCAGTGACAGTTCAGCCGGTACGATGTCGAGACCAAGTCCGCAGGTGGTTGCGCAGGAGATAAACCGCCCTCGCCTAACGCGCAGAGGCCGAAGCAGGATGAACAGCCAATGCTCGGGCGAAATGGCGGAGGCGTCGAATGAGAGGCCAGCAGCCGTCGACATGAAGCGATTGCACGACACAGATTCCCGCGTGAGACACAATAGTGAGTGGCGCGCCGCTACCAGTGGCGTCCTGTCAGCGGGCGGACAACAATATAAGCGACGACGCATGAACCGAGGAGCGTGGACCAACTCTTCCCTGCCGATAATGTGTCAATACAAAATCAGTAATCAGACGATATGATGGACGCTCAGATGAAGGACACTCACCGTCTGCCTGTTAACAGTATAGTAGCATAGGGGACGACGGATCGTCGCTGCATTAGTAGTGAAAGTATTTACCGAGTAGAAGGCGTCGATGTGTATGGCGTAGTGACCAGCGTGGCCCGGAAGTTCGAAGAGCACATGTCATAGCTGTCTAGTGGCGACAGGACGGAGGGACTACACAAACGAGCGTATTAGCAATAATTACAGATGTCGGGGCCCGAGATGGAGCGATGCATAACATTAAGCACGAACGGGGAGGGCAGGACGGGGAGGGCGAGCTTGAGGTATGGGGCGAGAGGCGATAATGTGAATGATGGGAAGAGACGTAAATGTGGGAGCTGGAGCGAGCGTTCTATTACTAAACAAGTCGTGGAGGGAAGAAATTACGATGAGCAGGGAGAGGGTCCGTCATGAGTAGGCGATGAGATCCGGGATAGTACACAAAGCAACGACATGCATCCATAGCAGACATCAACAACCTGTGCCCGCCGTATTAGCTGCCGCGTCAACAAATAAGTAGAGGAGGATGGACTTACGACGATAGGCGGGCAGACGGAGACTGTGTCATGACGCGGTGCCATTAGTAGCACGGTCCTGATCGAACAAGCCGACTTGCAGGTACGCCAGCACCGGCGGGATCGAGCTGTTCTGCCGACACACCGTCTCGAGATCGTGTAGGCTCCATATCCGCCCGTGCGACGGCGTTGACGACTCCGCGCCGCGCTCGTCCTCGTCGTCGAGCTCCGACTCCATCTTCCCCGGCCCATGCCGCCGGTAGAGCTGGCTGCGGGACTTGGAGCGCACATGCGCAGAGGGGCCGTCAGGACGACTCCGGCGTTGAGGGCCGGTGTTGCCGAAAGAGCTGGACACGCTGCCACTCCTGCTCCTGCTCGCACCGTTGAGGCGTGCCAGAGCCTGATCGACCGGGGAAGGATAAGACGGGGCATATGACGAGCCGCTGTCTTCGGGACTGATCAGCGTCTCCTGCAGAACCTTGAATGCTAATGCCTCCGCGGCACGACTCGTGGGCAGCCCGAGGTGCGACGCCGCCTCCGACGCTGCGCTCGCGATGCTGATCTGGTGCTTCAGTGATTGCAACCACTGGTGGCGCATGAGGGCCTCATCGGTGCTGAACATGTACCGGCGCTTGAGTCCAGTATGGTTCACGAACGCGATCTGGAACGTGTTGCGCATGAACGAGCGCTCAACGGCGACGGGGCTGCTCAGCGGCAGCCCGTAGTACGCGAGGGCGTTTGGCCCGGAGCGCCACATAATGATCGTCTTGTTCCCCAACTGCGTGCCGGTCACACGGAACGACACCTCGGACGACTTGGCGAAGTTGAGCACGGACGGCTCGAAAACGAGGTCCTGACCGAAAAGCTGGATCGTGAGGTGGGGGTCGGGCTGCGGTATTCGGAGGATGACGGGCTCGGACTGCATGCGGTAGGTGAGGCGAGGGGGAAGGGGACGCTTGACGTTGATGACGATATCAGGCTGGCTCGCCAGACTGGACGGATGCCGAGCCTGTGCGAGCCTCTCCCGGCGAACGGACGTGTAAATCTTGTCGAGCAGCTCGTCCGAGACGAGGACGCGTGTGTCGAAACGCTTGAACGCCTCCACGAAATCGCGAGTGATCACGTTCCGTTTGGGGTACGGTGTAGGTCCGGGCTCCTGTGCGATCCCGCCGTGCATGACATCGTTGAGCTGCGCGATGGCGCGCACGAGCCGGATAGCGAGGTCCTTGTCGTACGCCACGATCGCGGCGTTGGCCTCGTACCACCTGCTCGCGAACGAGTCAAGGAGGTAGTCGAGCGGACTCGAGTGTCCAGCAGGTGCCTTCGCGGGAACGTGTATGCTCTGGAGGAACACGCGGAGCGCCTTGTCGATACGTAGCCCCGTGAGACCGAAGCTGTCGACATACGCCTTCAGCGCGACCTTGGACGAGCGCCGCGCCAAGAACTCCCCGAGACGCGCCCTATCAAGGTCAAGGGTACGGAAGAGCAGCTGCCCCACCGCAATGTCGTCCCGCGCACCAGCTTTGCCAACGAGCGTCGAAATCGCATGGTCGGGGTCCGTCGCGAACTGGCGAACAAACGTCTGGATGACGGGGTGCCGAGACGGGTTCGCGGTCGCTGCTGTCTTCGTGCGCGCATCGTCGCGGTCGTTGCTGAGCCGGAGCTCCTTGAGCTGTACGACGCTCTTGATGACGAACTTCCTGTCCGTCGGGTCGGGCCGCGTCGCATCCAAAAGCGTGTCGTGCTCTCGAAGGATGAGCTTCGCGATGATCAGGATGTCCGTGAACAAGAAGAGGAAGCGGTCCTTGACCGTGTTCGCGTTCGCGACCTGTAGCACTGGAGAAGACAGCACGAGCTTGCGTGGCGGGTCGTCAATGGCCGCCGGCCATAGAGAGCTCTTGGAGCCGCGCCCGAGCACGCTCTCGAAGCGCTCCATGATTATCGCACCCGCGGAGTGCTCGTGCACGGGTGGATCAGGGGAGTGCTGCGAAGACGACATCGTGGACGAGAAAGACTCCGACGTGGACCGCGTGGGAAAGTCATCCAACGAAGACTGCGGGTCAGGCGTGGTAGACGAAGGCGGGTCAGGTGGCGAGGACGGGAAGCCCGGAGACGAGTGGTCCGACAAAACGTAGTGAGGCGAAGCGGCTCCACTCGTTCCGGCGCTCATTTCTGCAGCCTCCGTGCGCGGGGAGCGTGGCAGCTCGCGGTCCCTGTCGTACTGAGCGTCAGCTACGTACTGTTGCTGCGCGGCTTCCTGTGGTTGGGACTGGGGCTGAGGCTGGAGCTGCGCCATTCGCTGGTTGCCGACGAGGTTCGTTGGCGTACGCGACTTGTCACTGACCGTGCTGTCCCAACTCTGCGTCGATAGCTCGCTGTTCTCCCGCGCGATCATCAAGTCAGAGAGCGACGGCTTCTGTGCCAGCTGCGGATGAGGTTCCACTGCGTGTGTTGGCTGTACGGTCGGCGTAGACGGAGTGGAGGATTGCGACTTGAAGCGACTGAGCCACTTCTTAACACCGTCGCGGGTCGTCGGCAGCTTGCCCAATGATCCAGACGTGCTTGTCGTGGGAGAAATGACGGGAGGCTGAATGTTGAAGTAGTCCGGATGCGACGATGACGACGGCGCGGACGCAAGTGGCTGCGAAAACTTCGACCACAGCCGGCTATCCGATGCCTGGTGCGAGAGCTTGCGCTCCCGCGCGCCCTCCGCGAACTTCGTTGTCGTCGCGCCTGAAGAGCTGGATGAGCTCGGCATCATCTCCATCGGGAACCCGTTCGTCGGCGAGAGCACGTCGGGCGATGACGCAGAGGGCGTCATCGCGCGTGCACGATTCCGCTGCTCCTCGAGCTGCTTGAGCGCGGGGAATGGGAATAGCTTCGAGTCGGCATACTTGAGGTAGTCTGCGGAAGACGCTGGGGGTACGGGCGACACGCCGCCAGGGGGGGCGGATTGAGGCGCGAGGGAAAGCATCGAGGTCGACGACGAGGTCGACTGCATGACGGGCGCCTGAGCCTGCTGCATCGCGAAGACGCCGTTGCTGGGGCCTGGGGACGCGTCCAGTTTCTCGACCTTGCCGCTATTCAAACTCGCACCGCTCTCCCGACTTACGCTCGAGTCCGTGTTGTACCGACGCTCGCGCGCACTCACGCTATTTGTCCGTGATCGCCGTCCGTTGGTCGAATTAGAGCGTGTGAACGCGTTCTTCATCCAGGTGCCTATCGACCCGCCTTCTCCGCCACGTTTCGGGGTTGATTCCGCCTTGGACTCGTCCCAGTCCGTCGCATAGTCTGCCGCAGATGGGGACCGGTCGAGATGACCGGGAGCAGCAACCGAGAGGCGCATGGGGTACGTCTGGGGGGACGGTAGCACCTCCGGTGCCGGAATGGGTTCTGGGATAGACAACACGAGGGGTGAAGCGGGCGAAGGAGGTACGTTATCCGCATAAAACTCCGGCGAAGTCTCGACGTCGACGACCAGAGGATTGGGTGCTGTGGGGCGCTCACTCGTCGGCGAGAACTCCCGCGACGATCGCGGGTCGGTACCGTCTGGATAGGATTCCTCGCCAGGCAATTCCCCCGTAGGCTCCTCATTCTCGTCTTCGTCTTCATCGTCGTCATCGTCGTCATCATTGACAAGCGGACGCTCTTGCACTATACGCATTGATCAGCTCTGCGCTCATGCAAGCGCGTACATATGCTTACCGAGCTCAGCGACCCAGCTGATCTCACTCCCTCGTTCGAAGTTCGTCGCTTGAGCAAGCCGGCTCCGGCTTCGCGGCTCTTGGTACATCGAATGCATGCCCTCTTCATCCGGAAATACATGCTCCTTCAGCGGTGTCTGGAACGGACTCGCAGGGAACATATCTCTGCTGTTCGGGTTGCTGGACATGAACATCGGCACCGCCACCGCGGATCCCGGCGCTGAGTCGGTTGACGCATTTGACGGCGCATCGGACGTGTGGGGTATACGCAGCCCCGCGAGTCGGTGGTTGCGCGCAGGTGTAGTGGGGAGGTTGGGTATACGTTGAGGAGAGGCGTGATCCGGGAGGTCGTCTTCGTCTTCAATGACTGGCCCGCGGTGTCCCAGCGGAATCTCGATGCCATAAGGGATACCCAGGCGCGGCGAACCTCGCTCCGCGTCGCTATTTGCGAACCGACTCGCGGAAGACGACGAGCGGGGAGGCTCGGGGGTCGCGCGGAACAGGGGTAGGAGCGGCGACTGAGGGGGAAGGGGTAGCGGCGTGTTCCTAGCTGATGCTGAGAGTAGCTCTCGATCTTCTCGATCATCTACCACCGTCGACGCCCGCGAGGAACTCCTGCGCCGTCTCCGGTTCTTCTTCTTGGGCGCGGTAGGGGGCGGAGCTTCCTCGCCACCGCTGGTTTGCTCGCCATCTGTCTGGTTGATGCGGTTGCCGAGTCGATGGAGGAGCTGATTCCGCGCGATCATGCGTTCGCCTCCCGACACGGTGTTATTCCGCATGAGCTTCGCGCCAACACCCGATGTGGACGCCTGCGACATAAACGTTACATCGAAGGGCTCACCCGTCAGCTTCGACATGGCCATGGCGCGGGCTGCCCCCGCACTATTTGACCGGAAGAGACCCGCCCCAACACTTCTCTGGATATCATCAAGGGTCGGAAGGGGTGTAGACGGCGTAGTACCAGGGTAGCGTAGCGGCGTGGGTGATATAGGGGAGCGAAGGAATTGCGACGCGGCGAAAGCAGGAATGTGATATGGGATGGGGGAGACGAGTGGTGGTGGTGGCGACGGTGGCGGATCCTCGCTAAGCGCAGATGCGTAGTACTCGTCGGCGGAGGACTCGTTTGTCTGACTCGCGGAACCTGCTTGAGCGGCCTGTTTCGCTTTGCCCTTCATGTCGCGGGAGCCCCGCGAGCGCGTCCGAGATCTTGAGCGGCGTTTGCGTGTGGGTGTTCCGTCTGTGGGTGCCTGAGATTTGACGGCATCCTCGACGATAGCGTGGCCGTTAGAGACAGCTTCTCGGCCCTCGCTGTCTGCCCTTGGGTCGCTGTGGTGTTGCGTGTCCATATCCGCATCTTCCTCATCCGCCTCGGCCGCCGCCTCCTCCTCCGGTGACGGAGTGGGTTCAACATGTGTGTCGTTTGCGTACCCATTCGTTTCCGCAATCCCGTTCTGCTCTTCGTCCTCCATTCGCTCCCCGCTCTGTGACCTCTCGCCCTCACTGACGGCTTCGACGTGCATGGGCGGCCTCCGCCCATCCTTCATGCGCGGGAGGGATGCTGCGCGTTTCAGCTTTGCGACAGCTGTCGCGCGCTGCTCTGCGGCGGTTGAGGATTCCATTGAAGTTCTGGCTCAGGTGCTGAATGGGACTCGAATGCACCTCGGAGTCTGTGCGAAGGCTTCAATTACGATGTGCGTGGCACAGCCGATTTGCGGACAAACCTTGGGTAGATTAGCTTGCCCGGGAGCTGCGCGGACAGCGTAAGACGTTGTACTCGATGAGGGGCTAAAGCTGGGTACATACCGAGCAAGACATAAAGATTGCGCGGGGAGATGGTGGTGGTAGGAGGAGAAGAGTGAGGAGAAGAAGGTCGAGCGGGGAAGCGGCGACGAGCGCCAAGTCCGTAAGGGGCAATTTCGGAAACCGGCAAAGGCAAAAAACTCTACTCTCCTCTCCTCGACCCGCTGCAGCGCGCTCCTTGCCTCATGTCCTCCGCCCGCTCGCCCTCAATCACATTCCACACTATACAGACATCTTGCTCACGACCATCTCCGTCTTGGGGCTATGCATTCCAAGTGCCACGCATCTCCAGCACTCCCCTTGTATTCTGTCGACTCGCGCGCTCTCACCGGTCACCTCCCTGCTGCGCGTCATGTTTGCGGCCCAGAAAGCCTCTTGGACAGAAGCTACTTGCTGCGTACCGCCTTTGTGGCTGATCGCTGCCTCTTGTGGTCCCCTATCGCCTTCCGCGTTCACAGGACGAGCATCTTCAGGGGATCGGGGTGCCTATCGTGCTGGGACTTCCCACTGGAATCGATCCGAGCCTCACTCGTATCCCGGCCTCCGGCCCCGAGACGCAAAATACCTCTTGTGATAGGGTCGGGTGACGGGTACGTCCGTCTCTTCATTCCTACGTAGACGCGCCATTGCCGAGCGCGAATTTCGAAGAACTGTGAGTGAAAGTCATAGGACTGCGCCCAAAATGACAATGCCGTTATGCCACTTCCAGTCCCTCCGACTCGAAATCGACACCAAGAGAGCGCAATTTTACGACTTCCCGCGACTCTCTCCGACCTCCGGCTCATCAGGCCATATGAACGCGAAGTTCATGAGCCTCTTCACCCGCTCTCTTCTCATCCCGATGAAGTGCAGCCAACGCCTGCCGGCAATTTGATTGACATGTCATTCGAACGCGTCTATGAAAGGCACCGATATGGTGGTTCGACCAGGCCATAAGTACCCATCTAAACGCCGCACTCAATCAATGGAGGGGAGTGGTGCAATAGGGATGCGGTGTATTAACGTCCGTGGTAGAGTATTACTTTTAGCTCTAAGAATATAATGGTTATGCCGATGTAGGGGTGGAGGACCGAGGCTTGCTCTTCTGGACAGGTGCAGGCGCAGCTGCGGAGTCGGCCTCGGGCGAAGGAGACGCTGCCTGCGTCGGGATCTCAGCCGTGTCTGCACTAGGCGCAGCGTCCGACAACGGCGGGAGATCCTCGTCGTCGTCATCGTTCATGATGTCTATCAAGCGCGAACGCGAGGCATATAGTCAGTGTCCGACTCACCCACGCAGACCTCATCGCACTTACCGTCGCCGTACACATCTGGGTGCTCCCTGAAGCACTCCTGCATCATCTTGAACTTCTCCACGCAGTCGATGCCCTTGGGCTCTGCCTCCGAAAAGACGAAGCACGAGAACGCCTCCCGGAACTGAAGCCCACACGGCCCGTGCGCCATCCCGCCCAAGCATGGGCAGTCCCAGTTGATCTCGCCCGTCTCTGGGTTGAACGCGCCGCCGGCACCGCTGCCGCCGCTCTCACCCTCCTCCGCCTCACCAGCGGGAGCGGGCGTAGCTTCGCCCTCTTCCGGTGCATGTTCTTCCACAAACTCAGAGGGAGGTGAGTCGGGTAGTGAGGGCGAATGCTCGGTCGCGGTAGAGGGCGAATGCGAGATGGCCTTCGGAGAGGCGGAGGCCTTCGATGTCAGCGGAGCCTGCTTGGATGCTACGTATGCACACGCTGTTTAGACACGCAGGCCTCATATCTTTAGAGAATACGAGGCTTACATGAAGACGGTGCATCCAACGCTATCCTGTCGCCGTTCCATGAGCTCCAGACGAAGTACGAAGCCGCCACCGCAGAGGCTCCCAGAGCAGCGCGCAACCGCGCAGGACGCGCTGGCGCAGCCGCACGCGTCGAGGTGTGCAGCGTGCGCCGCAATGAAGTGTTGGCAAGTGTCCTGAACATCGTAGGGCGGGCAGGGGACGAGGAAGAAGAGGTCGGGCAACGGAAAGCTCAGAGAACGCAGTCAGGTAAGCACAGTGCTAGACGCCCAAAGGACGCGCGGGGAAAATTCGCTGACGCACTCGAATCGGCATGCCCAATCCGGAGGTCGGCAAATGACAAACAGCCACATGGGGCGTGGGAAGCCGACACATGCCCTTATCGGGGAATGGGCGGGATGCGCACCACGGCTTGCACTCTTCGTCAAACTTTCCCTTTTGCTTCTTTACACCGTTTTACACGACTACTTGAGCCACTCGACCTACCGCGGCTGAATCATGCGTTCTGTATCAGGAGAGCCTTCCACGATAACCTTGATGCCGACACCTGCAGGTACGCTTCCTTCTCCGAGTGCCTCCTCCAACGCTACCTTTGCAGCGAAGCCAGTGCAGTGCATGGGGAGCACATATGTGGGCGAAGGCCGCATCTTGTTTGCAAGGTAATCCACTGTAGGTGGTATGCGTTCTACGAGCTCCGTCCCTGCGAGATGGAGACCGCCGATGATCTACGGCAACGGTGGGTACACATTCACATGCAGACACCAGCGGGACGACAACGTACCATGTATACAGGGCGATTGAATGTCTCGATGGCGCCCTTTACAACATTCACGATGCCGGCATGAGAGCACCTATAATATAGTATGTCAGGCACGGCTCGTACCAAAGCTAGGGATACGTGCAGCACTCACGCTGAGAATATGACCAGGCCCTTTCCAATGACATCAATCGCGGCGTACCGCTCGTCCGTAATATCCTGGCCAAATTCACAACAGTCAATACGGCCTAGATGCATCATGGCCAAGCAGGCCAGACTCACCTCCTCCTTCGTCCACCCACCCTGCCCGCCCGTCTCCACCCACCGAACGCCACTCGGCAGTCCACCCTCGAAATGCGTCACCCGCGGTATCTCCCCACTCACCCACACCGTGCCGCCCGCGACCGCATGCCCCTCCGCGTGCTTCTCCACCACCCCGCCCGCAGCCTCGATCTGCGCAAACGTCGGGTCGGGAGGAAGTCGCCCAACGACAATCCCGCTGCCTCGCGCAGCTATACCGCGCGCGATCGGCCGGTCCGGGTGGAGGTCGAGCACGCACGCCGGGGTGTCCGTTGCCTGCGATGCGCGCTCATGGCGGTGCCGGAGGAAGGCGAGCATTCCGCCGCTGTGGTCGGCATGCCAGTGCGAGAGGATGACGCGCTCGATGCGCTCGACGGGCACCTGGAGGGCCTCGATGTTGCGAATGATCGCGCGCGAGTCGGGCCCGGTGTCGAAGAGTGTCAGGTGAGGCTCCGCACCCTCCACTTCCGTTTCCTATCGCATAATGAGATATGCACGTCGAAGTGCCACGCTCATGAGCTTACGATGAGCGCAGAGAAACCATGAGCTCCTGTGATTTGCATATGAATTCAGCAAAGGGGAATCCCGCACAGACAAACATTGACCCACCGCAGCAGTAGTTCTCGAGATCGACGAACGGCACTCCTGTGAGGGGATCCAACGGCACGTCAGGACGCGATAAGTGCTGCGGCACCTCCAGGATGAAGCCTGGAGGCAACTTGGTCATCCTGTCGCATTAATACACCACGTCGGTGAGCGAAGGCCTGGCAGATGTATAGCGGATCCCACTGACCATTCTATGCAGTTGTCGACCACGAATGTTATCGTCAGTTTGTGTACGGATTTGATTTTCTGGTCGCTCATCTCGGACACGCAAGCTGCAACATAGTTCCAGTTCGATCGAATCTCCATCAGTTCCCGTTGAAGACCCACAAACGTCGTACGTACTACTAGTACTATCGCGGTGAGGTCTTGTTGGAGCCTGTATATATTAAACGTCGGGAGAGTGTGATATGGCTATATCACCACCGAGCGTAAAGGACGCTGTTGGGTGCAGGATCGACCGTGCCGACTCGAGATTGATGTGTGTGAGTCCGAGCTCGAGTCCCGATGGTAGCGCTGCGCAGACCTTTACATACTACGTGTAACCCCGCGCTGGGGTTACGCCGCGTCTGGTTGTGTTTCCGTGGTCTGACGTTGTTCGGATCGCCTGGTGGCAATCCGAACGTTGTGCTTTGTTTGTACCGACTACTATATGAACCCGTCCCCGGTCGCCTTCGTTCCCGTTAGCTTACACTGACGGTAACGAAGGTACGTCTACGTACTCCCCCGCTTGTACCCCGTAGCTTACACTGACGGTAACGAAGCTCGTTCCCGTTTAGCTCCTCCTTGCGTGCTGTACTAGTGAAGCCGTGCACCGGCTTACACTTTTTTTTAAACGTCAAACGCGCTTCATTACTGGAGTACGTACAACTGTCGCTTCGCGAAGGACGTCTTGACGCCCTTCCCACCGTCTGTCGACTTCGCGGATCTATCCGTGGTCACATATACCGTCCACCGTCGCCGAAACGAACCACCTTCTTTTGCCCCCACCACCGTCCTACCACCGTCCGCCCATCCGTCCGTTCTCCCCCTCCGTTTCCCCCCCTTCGTAACCCGCCGTCTGCGACTTTCCGAACGGCCTCGTCGACGTTACCGTGCGATCGACGTTTCCCCGCATCGACACAGCCACCCCCGCGCCGATCAGGGCGCATATACCCACCCTGTCCTCTCGCTCGTTAATCCCGTCTCCTGTAGTCCCCGCAGGACGACGACCTCGGCAGCGCCGTATTCCAAGCACACCACCGCTGCGAACGAGATCGCGAGGCTTAGCCAACGTGGAGCCTCATCGTGTTCCACTGCCGGCCTCCACGCCTGGGTCCACTCACACGTCGCCTCTGTCCACTCCTCCCTCATCTCCATCTTCCTCCTCCGATTCCGACTCTGACTGTTTCATCTCTGCGGCTCCCATGGCGTCTCACTCATCCGCGGACGCCGCTGTCATTCACACCAATTTGAAATGCGTGCCGGTTCTCACTGCCGGTCGCGTAACTCCGGCTGCTCTCTTCACCTGGGAGGGAGGTTGTCGTCAATACTTCCGCCACAAGAATGTTGCCGAGTCGAAGCAAGTTGCCTTCGCTTCCGGAGGACTTCAAGACCCGCGCATCATGGACTGGTGGATGACGGAGGGCGACGAGCTGGAGAAACTATCATTCGCTGAGTTCATGGCTCGCTTCCGTCTGCACTGGCTTCCGCCTAACTGGTCTGACGCCATCGTGACTTCCATCTTCGCTTCCCGCCAACGTGACGACCAATCCCTCGACGCCTGGATCACCGGACTCGAGAAGCAGAACGTCTACCTCCGTGACACACCCCAGAAGCTGGACGACTCTGCCATTCGTGCTCTGGTGTCTGCAAACGCTGTCGAGGAGATCCGACTGCTTACTCTGCGCGGCGACGTTCGTACTATCGAGAACTACCACAGCTGGAAGGCTACTCTGCTGGCGTTCGACGTCGAACGACTCGCGCAACGCTCCCGTCGCTTCCGGGAGTACGAACAGTTCGCTAAGGCTGCTAGGGTCTCGTCGACGAACTACAACTCTGGCAAAGCTAAGACCAACACCTCCGCTTCCTCTTCTGCCGCTGCAAAGCCTGCTGGTCACCTTGGCCGTCTCACGGATGACGACAAGAAGTTGCTCCGCGACAACGACGGCTGCTATAAGTGCCGCCGTATCAACGCGGGCCACACCTCTCAAAACTGCCCGAACGGATTCCCCGTGGCAGGTTCCTACCGCACACCGGCTGAACAGCTGTCGGGAAAGAACACGAAGAAGGACGTCAAGAAGATCGCCGCGGTAACACTCGACTCCGACGGAGAACAGGACGCCAACGAACGCACGATTACCGTCGCCGCCGTCGGCCCCGTCTCCGCGGTCGAGCCCAACTCGCCCCTCGCGCGATGCAGTGGAGTGTTGTCCTCAGACGATGGTTCGGACGATGATTCCGTACGTGCTTCTCCTGTCTCTTCCCCCCACCTCACGTGGAATGTCCGCGTGGAGGGCCCCGAGCAGCACAGTCCCGTCGTCGCATTGATTGACACTGGCTCCCCGCTAGTTCTGATTCGCGACGACACAGTCGCGCGGCTGAAGCTTCGGCGCCGCCGACTGCCTAAAGCCATTCCTCTCGGAAACGCCTTCGATGAAGGGGGCGTCGAAGCGACGGAATGGGTGAAGTTAACGGTGTCTACACCGAGCAATGATTGGTCCTCTGTTTCTGTCCGGGCTGTGATAGTGTCGTCCCTGTGTTCCCCCATAATTCTCGGGACTCCTTTTCTCGAACGCAACCGTATCCTCGTAGACCTCTATAATAAAGCGTTGTGGCATCCGCCCACGAACCGTGATCTAACTAAACCTTCCCCGAGCTCCCGCTCGCCAGCTCCCCTGCCCATGAAAGAGCGTCGCGCTTTGAAAGAGGAAGAACGCGAACTCAAAGACGAGATCGACTTCCTCAATGCGCGACTGCAGTTGTCTCGCGCCCGCGACGTGGTGCGCGAGATTCGCGAGAAGGTCCCGACACACGACCCGACACCTGTCGAACACATCACCCCTCCCCCCGCGACACCCGCTCCCCCTGCGACACCTCCCGACCGCCTTTCCGAAACGATTGCCGCCATCCGAGAACGCGTCGAAACTCTGGCTTACCAGGAGACTCTCGAGCGTGAGGACGTGGCTATGAAGAAAGAATTCGCTGACCTTTTTCCCAGTGACATACCTCACCTCGACGAGTTGCCCACTTCCGTGTACCACGAAATCAACCTCAAGGACGCCAACATGACGATCGTGCGCAGGCAATACGACTGCCCAAAGAAATATCGCGAGGCGTGGAAGATTCTACTCGAACAACACATTCTCGCAGGCCGCCTTCGCGCGTCGTCTAGCCCATACGCTTCCCCCTGCTTCTTAGTTCCTAAATCTGACCCTACCGCTCTGCCCAGATGGGTTAACGACTACCGGGTGTTAAACGACAACACCATACCCGACGTTCACCCTCTACCGTCCATCCAAGACATCCTCTCCGACTGCGGTAAGGGGAAGATCTGGGCGAAACTCGACATGACGAACTCCTTTTTTCAAACACCCGTCAAACCCGAGCACATCAAATATACGGCTGTCACTACGCCTTTCGGACTGTACGAGTGGACGGTCATGCCGCAAGGCGCCCGCAACGCGCCGAGCACGCATCAGCGGCGCATGTACATGGCGCTACGTCCTCTCATCGGCTCTATTTGCCACGTATATCTCGATGACATTATTATTTGGTCACAGAACCTCGCGGAACACAAACGCAACGTCCGCACGGTACTCGAAGCTCTGCGCAAGGCGCGCCTCTTCTGTTCGTTGAAGAAGACGCAATTGTTCTGTTCAAGCCTGCGCTTCCTCGGGCACAAGATCTCGTGCGCCGGAATCGAACCCGACGGCGAGAAGATCGAGAAGATCACCCAGTGGCCGACGCCGAAATGCGCGAGCGACGTGCGCGCGTTCCTTGGACTCGTGCGATACGTCGCAAACTTTCTTCCTCGTCTCGCGCATTTGACCGGAATACTGAACCACTTGACTACAAAGGAAGCAGAGAAAGACTTCGTGTGGACGAGCGAGCACGACAACGCCTTCGACGCTATCAAGGCGCTCGTCCTCGGCCACGAATGTCTAACTGTCATCGACCACTGCAACATGGGCGACAACTGCATCTTCGTGTCTACCGACGCGAGCGACTTTTGCACCGGAGCTGTCTTGATGTATGGCCCCACGCTGGAGACCGCGCGCCCCGTCGCGTTCGACTCGTGCCAGCTCAAGGCAGCGGAACTCAACTACCCGGTGCACGAAAAGGAGCTCCTCGCCATCGTGCGCGCCCTCAAGAAGTGGCGCGTCGATCTTTTAGGTGTGCCGTTCACTGTTTTCACGGACCATCGTACCTTGGAAAATTTCGGGACGCAGAAGCACTTGTCCAGACGCCAGGCGCGCTGGCAAGAGTTTCTCGGCCAGTACGACTTTAAGATCGCCTACATTAAGGGCGAGTTGAACACCGCCGCGGACGCACTGTCCCGACTCTCTTGCCCCGTCGTTGACCCTGCTTCGCACTCGCCCGCCACTGTTGCCGCCGTACGCGTCCTCGATGGCGCGCTTCTCGGGCTCCTGCAGGCTGAGCGCGCACATGTGACCGTGAGAACCGCATGTGCCGCGGTACCTGCACAATCCTTGCGCGTATCGTCAGACCCCGCGTGGCTTGCGCAAATTCGCGCGGGCTACGCGGAAGACCGCTGGTGCATACGCCTCATCAACATGATTGCGGATCATGACACCGACACTCTGAAACAACTGGCCGCGGGCGCTTTGAACGGCAGGAGCAACGCTGGCGTCTGTGTTCGCGATGGTCTGCTGTTCGTCGGCGAACGTCTATGTATTCCCCGCGTGGCGGACCTGCGCGAGGGTATCTTCCGACTCGCACATGATAGTCTCGGGCACTTCGGGTTTGATAAGTCATATGAGACCATTCGCCACTCGTATTTCTGGCCTAAGATGCGCACGGACCTGGAGAACTTATATATTCCGTCCTGCGATGCCTGTCAGCGTAATAAGGCTTCCACTCGCCGCCCGGCGGGCCCATTACATCCGCTCCCAGTGCCGGACGCGCGATGCGACAGTGTGGCCATCGATTTTATCGGCCCACTGCCAGAGGACAGCGGTTTCAACTACATCGCGACCATGACCGATCGATTGGGTTCTGAGTTCCGCTTCGTCCCCTGCCGTTCTGACATCAGTGCTGAGGACTTCGCTGGGCTTTTCTTCGAGCATTGGTATTGCGAGAATGGCCTGCCACTGAATATCGTGTCAGACAGGGACAAGCTTTTTGTTGGCAAGTTCTGGAAGGCGCTCCACCGCCTGATCGGCGTCAAGCTGAATATGTCAACCGCTTTCCACCCCGAAAGCGACGGCTCGAGCGAGCGGTCCAACAAGACGGTCATTCAAATGCTGCGTTATCACGTCGCGCGAAACCAGACCGGCTGGGTGCGCGCATTGCCTCTCATCCGCTTTCAGCTGATGAGCACCGTCAACGCGTCCACAGGTTTCACCCCTTTTCACCTGCGCCTCGGTCGCTCGCCGCGCGTGATTCCTCCTATCACCTCCGAGGCTGGAGACGCTGCCGTGGTTGACTTTGGTCCCACGGACACCGAGAACGCTCTGGACTTGCTCCGACGCATGGAAACCGACGTAATGGAAGCTCAGGACACTCTGCTCCTGGCCAAGGCAAACCAGGCTCTGCACGCCAATGTCTCTCGCGGCGCCGACCACCGCTTCTCTGTTGGGGACCGCGTCCTGTTGTCTACGTTCCACCGCCGCCGCGAATACATGCAACGCGGGTCAAATCGCGTGGCTAAATTCATGGTGCGCTACGACGGGCCTTTCACCATCTCTCGGGCACACCCAGACTCCTCCACGTACACCCTCGACCTGCCCGCCTCCATGCGTGTATTCCCCACTTTCCATTCTTCCCTCTTGCGACCGTACCTCGACAACGACGACGCGCTCTTCCCCGGTCGCGCGAACCCCGAGCCCGGTCCTGTCGTGACCGAGAACGGCGAAGAGGAATTCTTCGTGGAGAAGATCCTTGACCGCCGCCGCGTGGGACGCGGCTGGCAATACCTCGTCCGCTGGCTCGGCTATGGTGTGGGCTCCGACTCATGGCTCCCTGGGCGCGAGGTGGCGGACCTTGCCGCGCTGGACGTGTTCTTCCGCGAGAACGGCATCGACGCTTAGGCACGTCATTTTCCTGTTTTGGTTTTTTTTACGCTATTGCTGTCGTCCTCCGTTACTCGCAGTTCGCGCCCGCGCCGGTCGCGCCGATTGTCCTGCGAGGCCCATGCTGAAGTCTGCCGACCCCGCGTCGCCCCGCTCGAAAGCCTCCGCGAGGAGCATTCATTTTTCCCTCCTTTCCTTTCCCCCCCTCTCGGCACCGTCAAGATTAGTTTTGGAGGATGGGGAGGAGTGTAACCCCGCGCTGGGGTTACGCCGCGTCTGGTTGTGTTTCCGTGGTCTGACGTTGTTCGGATCGCCTGGTGGCAATCCGAACGTTGTGCTTTGTTTGTACCGACTACTATATGAACCCGTCCCCGGTCGCCTTCGTTCCCGTTAGCTTACACTGACGGTAACGAAGGTACGTCTACGTACTCCCCCGCTTGTACCCCGTAGCTTACACTGACGGTAACGAAGCTCGTTCCCGTTTAGCTCCTCCTTGCGTGCTGTACTAGTGAAGCCGTGCACCGGCTTACACTACGTCATGAAAGGCCGCCCGGTATAGCCGGGCCGCAGGCTCTGTGAGGTGCGACTTGCGTTTGTTCGAATCGCGGAATATAAGGCCTGGGTCGGCTGCCCGTGATCTGGGGATCACAGGTGATATGATCAATGCCCGACATGCCCGGGCAGCTCACGTTCACACCGTAACGCGGCGTCACACGCCATACCGCTCGTAATTATCGCGGCGCGTGGGCGCTTATTAGATCGATCACATCTTCCTCATCGACCATGACCCGTATCGCGTCCAGTACCACTGCTGCTACCTGCTCTCTCTTGCAATTGTCTATGGCGAGCCGGTCACTCTCGTCGTTTTCTAACTCATCCTTTCATGGGCTCCTTTCTTCTGTACCACCATCTCGGTCGGTTTTCCCACGCTCGAGTCTTGGAGCGGCTCGACGTGGGGGCAATCCATGCTGCCATATACATGTTGATATACTGTGGAGGCTCCATACGGACGAGTAATCGAGAAGACTGAAAGGCCAACAGCAAGCGGGCGAGAGCTGGTGCTGCATGACATGGTCTGCAAGCACGAGGCCGTGATACACGGCTGTTACGCCCCTAGTGGCTCACGGGAGCGATGTGAGCAATGTGCCACACCACCGTAATACCTGCAGGGGAAACCCTAGCCCATAGAAACGATTGGACCGCTGCTCGCTGGCGCAGATGGTGCGCGAGGGCTGGCCCGCGATGAGCTGGCGCGCCGCTGCCGTGGATGGTCTTGGCGGCTGCCGGGCGCCCTGGCTGTTATGACCGGGCGCTGTCCTGCGCGAGCGCTCCGACGGTGACGTCGGTGCGAGTTCCGTCCCGAGATCTGTTCCGCGTTAGGCATACGGTGCCCTCCGCTGGGCCGGAGCTGGTGCGTTTGTGTACATCCTGCTGCCTTTTGAGCGGAACACGCTGCACATACGTACCAAGAGTGACGGCCTGCATGCTGCAAACCGAAGAGTAAGCAGGGAAGCCAGAGCGGACCTTAGAAAATGATACGCGATTATATTAACGAATAAACGGAGTGCAGGCGAATGCGCCTCGACCCTCGCCTAGAGTGTGGTGAAGGGTGTGCTCTCCCCATGGCCCACTCTCCCACAAAAATTGCCTGCATCCGCACTGGAGCTCTGCTTGCGTGTCGCCTAAAACCCGCTAAGCAAGCGAAGTGCGCCTCTTGAATTTTGCTGAAAGCCCTATAAATATTGAGCTCTCTCTCCCTACACGCTCACTACCCACCTACCATGTCTCCCACCTACACCACCCTCTTTGTCTGTGAAGACTGTGAAGTTGCACCGCCAGAGGCCACCTCGACGGCCAAATTCCAGCTCCTAGTCTGCCCCTCCCGCCCGCTCGAACTGGGCACGGCCGTCCATCTCTTCCTCATTTTTGACCCGCCAGAGCTGGTTCCCTTCTTCCCGGTCGCCACCCGCGCCCCCTTTACGGCTCTCCGCCTCGACATATGGGGAGCGGTCGTCGGAGTCAAGTCGCAGGACAGGCGGAGGATTGAGTTCGAGGTAGAGAACTGGAACGAGGAGGCGCCAATCCAACGCGCGAGCATAGTGGTGCCCTGGCTGCCCGGCCTGACGGCGGGCCGCGACCTCCGGGGCTCCCCCGAGTCCGAGGTGCCCGAGCTGCCCGAGCTGCCCGAACGGGATGAGAACGTACGTCGAGTTTGAACAAGCGCTCTCCTAGCGCGCATATCTCGTGCTTGCGCTCACACCTCGCGCTTACACTATAGGCCCAGCCTTTCCCGGCCGAATCGCACCAGGAAGGCGCACGCACGACAGCCCAATGGCGGGACGAGGATGACGAAACCCACGAGGGGCGCGGCTGGAACGGAGATTACGCACAAGAGTACTCCGACGCGGGATATCCCGGCGAGCAGGCTGGCAAACGGGTGGGCGTGCAGCAAACCGCTGGCTGCTGCGCTCGGACCTGTCCCGCTTGCCCCCCATGCTGCTCTGACTATTGGTTGTAATACGCGCGTATGTAATCTGAATGAACCGAGCTACACCCACCACCCTGGCACGCTGAAGAACAGCACGCGCGCGACATAAGTTGATCACTCGCTACGAACAAGCTCCCGGCCGGCCGAAGTACGCGAGGGCACTGCTCGCAGCCGCTCCCGGATTAAGCACTTGTGTGCTACCAGGTCTGTCTAGATGTTGAGTTGTTCAAACCGAGTACGGGCGTTGACGACTCTAGGCTGTGGACGACAAGTATGCGAGCAGCCGTATACGTGACGAAGGCCGCGAGAACCTGGCGCGTCGCTGGCAACCAATCGCATTGCAGTCAACAGACAGACGAACACATAATCGAAACGACGGCGAGCTGCGCTGAAGACGTGAAGAGGGCCCACCGCGCGGAGATGGACGGTGGGGAGGGGGCGGCGGCGACCAGGATAAATACTGGAGCTCGCGAACAACGAAGAGCGTCGCCTTTCGTGCACAACCCCAGCTCCACAGCCCTACTCGCCTCGCAGACTACTGTTCAGATGCCCCATCGTCGCGCAGCCCCTCCCCCTCGCTCCGTGTCACCGATCGACCTGAACATGTCGTCGCCGACGATGCAGTCGGGCACCCAGTCTGGCGGTGTGCCGCAAGGCGGACCCCTTCACTCGACCCCGCCATCCAGAACGTACGCACAGGTTGCGTCGTCGCCCCCGACGAGCCCGCGGATGGCCGCTATGCAGGTGCACGCCCCGGGACCGCCCGGCCTTACCGGAGTCAATGGCTCTGTATTGACGGTACGGGCTGCGCTACTCTCTGACGGCCGGCTCGCCTGACTGTATTATAGGGCCCAGGGGTAGCACCGGGCAACATCTCCGGCGCGCGCGAGCTCCCCGCGAGTCAGCACGACCGCGGATCTCCGAGCCAGGCGTCGGTACGCATACCACGCCGTCCAAATGTCCAGATACTTTGGGACTAACCGAGTATCATAGGCTACTACTACCGCCGCGGCGGGCGCTGGGTCGAGCGAAGGCGGGGGCAGCAAGTCAAAGGACAAGGGCAAGGGCCGAGGGCCGCCTGGCCCTCCGAGCCCGCGCGCCCCGCCGGCGACTCTGTCTGTCCCCTCGTCTCCGTCTCCGTCGTCTCCCTCCCTCCCGTCCTACCCGGATGATCTAGAAGTCTATGGCACCCGCTACGTGTGCGCGGAGGACCTGCAGTGCGGAATCGCAGAAGGCATCATGGCTGGTGCGAAGTACGACGACTACATCACCGACGGGATCGGGCGCGACGGTCGCCCGCTGCCGGGGCAGGTGCCTGACTATGAGCAGCGGAAGCGGAAGCGCGCGCGTTTCCACACTCCGTCCCCGGAGTGTGAAGAAGCAGTTGTCTTCTACGGTCGAGCGCTGCCAGGTGAGGCCCCCCGTCCGTCTACGCCGCACCCAGCAACTATCACGACGGCGAGACACCTCCTCAACGAGCAACAGAAGGAGGGGCTGGATCTCCTGCCGCCCTCGCCGAGCCGGACGTCGCTGGTGCCACCTCCCTCGACCCAACCGCGCCAGCCTTCGCGACTAGTGCATGGTGCGCTGCGGCCGGCTCGGAGCCGCAAATCTCTGCCGTCCTCCCAACCGCCCTCCCAACCATCTTCCCAGAACGCCCCGACGTCCACGGTCCCGATGGACGTCGACTCCGCCCCCCCAGCCCTGCCGCGCGTTACGAGCATCTCCTCGGCCGCTGGCTCTCGCTCGCAACAAGGAGCCGGCTTGCAGCTCTGCCCAACTATCCTCGCAAGAACGACAGCCGGGCTGCCCGCGCGGGCGGCGTCTGCGACTGCTCGAGCGCGCTCGGGCGGCGCGCCACCGCATGCAAGCTCGTCGACGGCGACCTGGGCGGGGGGCAACAGGAGTTGGAGCGTCCAGTCGACGGGTAGACGTGTGGATACGCCGCGCCCTCCGCCGTTGCCTGAACCGTTCTGCCCGGACAACATGAGCCACCGGCCGCCAAATTACAGGACGCCGATCCCGTACCCGACTTTTGAGGACGACTCTTTTCACCTCCCTCCTCGGTCCATGCGTGAAGAAGCGCCGTCGGGCTCAAACCTGTTGCCCTCGCAGCTCGGACCGCAGAATGGGCGCACGCCGGGCGCCACCCCTCTGGTGCCGGCGAACAGGCGCACGCACACGTACATCGCGCAAATGGCGACCTTGCAAGCGTACGAGCCGCAAGGCTTCGTTTTCACGCCCCCGCCGAACGGCGGCTTCGGAACGCACGACTTCCCCGATCCTGAACACCTCATCCATGGCATGGCGAGCGCGCGCGTTGCGGAGATATGGAGGGCGAACGGACGAACGACTCTCTTCGTGGAGATCTACGGGATCCGGCACCCCAGCCCGCAACAGATCAGGACGCTGACCGGCGTCGTCACGGCGGCGTTCTCCGCGATGACCCACGCCACGGGCTTCCGCGTGATTGCGCCTGAAGCTGCGCACCCGGCCCACCGGCGTAACAGTGCGTCGACTTTCACCTTCACCAACGTCCCCGAAGACATCGTCGACATGGTCGTGAACCAGCGAGTCTGGTCGTCGACTCTGCTCACGCTCCAGGCCTATCGGAGGGTGATTACTCTCCCCGACTTCCTCTGCCGTCTCGTTGATCTCACCCAGGACCCCGAGCTCGACGTCGCCCGCATGGTGTGGGAGGCCTTCAACGGCCCGTTTATTCTCCCCACCCTCCTCCGCTTCGTCCGCACCAACCCACAGTACAACGGCATGGCCCACGAGGAGGCAGCCAATGTAATCCTGAGCTCGCTCAGGGTCCACGTGACCCACCTCGACGACAACAGCCTCGTGGCGGCCGTGTACTGTACCTCGCCCGCGGCGACTGTGCGCGAGTGGCGCGAGTGGCGCGACACGGTCCGCCGCGCCTCTTTCCAGTCCGAGACGCAGGTGGCCACGGTCGCGCAGCCGACGCTCTGCGACGGCTGCCATAGCGCGGCCCATTCTACTGATTTGTGCCCCTACCCCAGCGTCCCCGGATGGAACGCTCCGCCGCCGCGCCCTCGCCCTCAGCCTCGACATGACGTCGCCGACCTCGGCCCCAGCAGCCTGACGCAGCAGGGCGACATGGCCGGCCCGTCCACGTACAACCGGGCGACGCGCGGACGCGGGATGTCGGGCTCCGGGCGTGGGGGTAGGCAGAACAACCAAGGGCGCCGCGGCGGTAACGGCAATGGGAGAGGCAACGGCAACGGCAACGGGCACAGGAACGGGGACGGAAGTAAGCGCGACCGCGACTCGTACGACGGGGCGGCTGGAGGCCAGTACGACCATGATCACGATGCGTACCTGTAGAGCACATGTACGTACTGTAGTATCCCTGGTCCGCGCGGCGCACTTTCCGCGCGCGCTCAGGCGCGCGCGCCGCGCGCACCTCCCGCACCTCCCTCGCACCCCTCCCCTCCCCTTTCTTCCCCTTCCCTTCCTCTCCCCGCGCGGCCGTCGATGCTCGGCGCGCGTGCGCACGCGCGCCGCGCACGATAGCCTACAATCGCGCACGCGCGTCCCCGCACCGACACCGCCCCTACATGTCTCCCTTTTCATCTAGCATCCAACTCTCTCCATAAATGATACATTCGGTTATGACTCCCCGGAGGCTGATTTACCACTTGAGGGTGGAACGCCGCACTGGCCAGCAGCGGCTTATTTAAGCTGGCAGCGCTGCTCTAGTCGCGCGCTGGGCCTCAACCTGGCGCGTCTGCCGCCTGGATAACAGGCATAGTTATCGCCTCCGAGACGACATGGTCGAACGCTCGGAGGGCTAAATCGACTGCGAACTTAACACACGAACAATTAAACCCTACTCCGGCCCCTCAAACTTATCATGGCTCATTACGCCCTGCTCTGCCCCGACGGGGCCTCAGTCCTTCCGCCGACGAGGCTCTGAGTGACGGGCTGAATGGGATTGGTGGCGGATCGTCCGAGATCATCGGGCGACAAACGAACTTGGCCTCGACGAGCACCCCTTCCGCTGAACGGAGACACACGCGCACACGATCGCGGCTGCGCGTTGGAACTCTGAATATTAAAGGCTTTGGAGCTCCGGCAGCGGGAGGGGCGCCTGAGATGTGGATGTATATAAACCAGGTCATACGAGACCAAAATCTGGGCGTACTAGCAGTACAGGAAGCCCACCTGACGCCCGAACGCCTGGACAGCTTAAATGCCCTCTTCGCTACGACACTCGAGATACATTGCTCCCCTGACCCGGACAACGGCGCTGGTGCACGGGGCGTGGCTTTTGTTGTAAATAAGCGTAAGCTAGCGGAGAGAAAGTGCACAATGAACGTGCTCGTCCCCGGACGAGCTATTCAGCTAGAATACCCCTGGGCGGCTGAGAAAACAATTAGCATACTGAACGTGTACGCCCCGAACGCGGCGAGCGAAAACGCAGGATTCTGGGAGTGCCTGAGGGAAAACTGGACGGCAAGAGCAGGCACCAAGCCTGATATCGTGCTCGGAGATTTTAATGTTGTTGAAAGTGCGCTAGACCGCTTTCCTGCTCATCCAGATCCTGCGCCGGCAACAGAAGCGTTGTCTGCACTTCTGAGGCAGCTGAATGCATGCGACTCATGGCGCATAGCGCACCCCACGGAACGTTTGTTCACCTTCCGCCAGTCCGGATCTGATAGACAGTCTCGACTGGACAGAATATATGTAAAAAAGTCAGCACTACCTATGATCGCGGATTGGGCGACGGTGGGGCCCGGTCGTCTGTCCGACCATCAGCTTGTCCTATGCTCCATTGCTAACTACCATGCGCCTACGGTCGGCAAGGGTAGGTGGTCCGCCCCTTTGTCACTGCTAGACGATACAAAATTTGTCAACATCATGAAAACGATGGGAAGTGACCTCGAGCACGAGCTCACTAGTATGGCTCCTAGAACTGAGTCGGAAAACCCGCAGACCATTTTCCAGAACTTCAAAACGGCCTTGGCGTCTGCGGCGCGCAAGAGAATTAAAGAATGGGCTCCGAAACTGGATAAAAAGATTGCGGACCTGAAAAATCATATCCTCTCCCTCCAGAGCTCCCCCAAACCGATAGAAAGCGACCCGGCGGGTGCGGAGACGGCGGCGCTGCTCCAGGAACGCGTACAAAAACTAGAGACTAACCGTTTTGGGTACCGGCGTGCGGCAGTCCACGCCAAAGACTGGCAGAACGGAGAGAAGGTGGGCCGCTACTGGACGCGGCAGAACGCGCCACCAAAGCCGGACAACATCATGTATGAACTGAAGAGGTCGTCAGAAGGTGCTGGGTATGCAAACAGTACGAAAGAAATGTGCGAAATTGCTCGCGCGTTCTACAATGACCTCCAAAGCACAGACCCCCCCCCGCCGGAGCCGCAGCACGCCCAGCTAATTGTAGAAGCCCTAGAATGTGCGGAGGCTCGACTGACCGGGGCGCAGAAAGCTGTAATGGCGGCGCGCCTCACGACTGATCATGTACGGATGGCACTCAAACACTCGGGGCGGCACAAAGCCGCGGGGCGCGATGGCATTCCGACTGAATTCTGGCTTGCTTACCTTCAATGGCACGAAAAAGGTGCGGGCACGCCAGGAGGACGCCCTATGCTCAATATTGCGGCGGCCCTAAAATGCGTGTTCAATGATGTTGAAAAGCACGGTATAGCGGCCGGCGTCCCCTTTGCGGAGGGCTGGGTGTGCCCTATCTACAAGAAAAAGGACCCACGAGAAATAACGAACTTCCGCCCGATCACGGTGTTAAATGCGGACTATAAGATTATGACCAAAGCGCTTACCGCTAAGTTGTCCTCTTGCGCGCCGGACGTCATCCATCCGGACCAGGCTGGATTTATTCCCGGGCGCAGTATATTCAATCATATCAAACTTGCGTCGCTGCTCATCGATTACGCTGAGGCGGAGGAGCAAAATGGTGTCATTGTTGCGCTTGATCAGGAAAAAGCATACGATAGAATCGATCATGCATACCTATGGGCGGTGCTCCGACACATGAACTTCCCGGAAGTATTTATTACTACCGTGCGTGCACTGTATGCGGGCGCGTCGAGCACTGTGATGGTCAACGGTACTCTAAGCCGCTCCTTCTCGATTACAAGAGGAGTACGTCAAGGCGACCCCCTCTCGTGTCTCCTGTTCGATCTGGCGATCGAGCCTCTTGCAGCTGCTCTGAGGTCGTCGTCCATCCGTGGGTTCTCGGTCCCGGGCGCTGCTGAACGGCTTGTCTCGGCGCTTTTCGCGGACGACACAACGGCCTTCCTCGGGGAGGGAGACTCCTTTGGAGACCTAATGGCAATTCTTAGTAAGTGGTGCGCGGCGTCCCGTGCCAAATTTAACGACGATAAGACCGAGGTCATCCCGATTGGCTCTCAGGTCTATCGAGACTCGGTCGTCAGAACGAGGCAGCTCACGCCGGGGAGCCCGCCGCTCCCGCTTGGGGTGAGAATCGTCCCCGACCACCAGCCTGTCCGCGTTCTCGGTGCATGGATTGGGAACCAGGTGGACCAGGCCGCCGTGTGGGGACCGATGATGGACACGGTGCGCAGGAACCTTGAACGCTGGGGTCTTCGTAACCCGTCAATGTACGGCCGCAAGCTCATAGTCGGTATGGAAATAGGCGGACGCACCCAGTTCCTGGCCAGAGCGCAGGGCATGCCTGCGGCAATCGAACAGGCGCTAGAGCGAACAATTTCGAACTTCGTATGGAGGAACGGAGGGCGCCCGATGGTGAATATGTCAGTCCTACAGGACCCTGTTGCCTGTGGGGGGCTCAACCTGCTGGATGTCAAGGCCAGAAACGACGCCATTGACCTAATATGGCTGCGTTCGTACATGGATACCTCGAATTCTCGTCCAACGTGGGCCCTGCTGGCGGACGTCCTATTGGCTAACGCCGTCAAGTCCTCAGACCGGAAACTGGAGAAGCGCGCGCGAGTAAACACATTCCTACAGAGCTGGGAAGTAAATACTACACATACCGGCAAGCTCCCGCGCGACCTATGTCGCATGGTCAAGACTGCACGCCGATATGGCGTCCAGCTCTCCGCCCTCAACCCCTCTGAGGCGCTAAAAGCCGCCCTCCCGGCCTGGTCCCACGCTGCTCTGGCCCATAGCCACCTCCAAACGAACTCGCCAACCGCGAAGTGTCTGCGCGCCCGGCACCTAGTCCAAACTGTTGCGGACTGCGTACGGGTCGCGCGGCGTGTGCGACCCCCTGTGCATGGCGCGGCGCCGCACGTCAACAATGCACGGTGCGTGTGCGAGGACTGTACCGCGGACCGCGTCGACCTTGGCTGCCCGAATCCGCATCGATGCGCCGCCCTCGCGGATGCCATGGTGCGGCAGATTAGTAAGAAATGGAGGCCGGCCGAAGGAGCGCCCGCGGCGGGTGGCGAAAGAGGGGATGGCGAGCGCGCGGGTGCGCGCGAACCCGTTGAGCGCGAAGCGCGCCGGGTGTGCAGGCCGGAGACCGACCTCCCCCTGGCCAATGCAGTGCGAGTCTTCGTGCGTCGCGATGGCGTTGACGAAGTGGGCGAACCGCACAGTGTCCCCGGCGACCCGGAGACAGTGACGGTCGCCTACACGGATGGCTCCTGCGTGACGGCGAGTGACGGCAACGCGGCGGCAGGGAGTGGTGTGTGGTTCGGTCACGGCGACGGGCGCAACACCGCAGCGCGTGTACCGGGAAATGTGCAGACCAACAACACTGCAGAAGTCCATGCTGTTGCGCTGGCGGCAATGCTGTCCCCTGCTAACGGCCTGCTGGCGGTTAAATCGGACTCCAAGCTTGTTGTAGATGGGCTCACCGCGCACCTGGACGCGTGGGAGGACCGCGGCTGGATCGGTGTCTCCAACGCAGCGAACATCCGTGACGCCGTGGCGCGCCTGCGTGCGCGCGAAGGTGCTACGACGCTTGAATGGGTTAAAGGGCACGCGGGAACAGAAGGAAATGAGATGGCGGACGCGCTGGCGGGGAAGGGGAGCAGCATGGACCCAAACGCGAGTCCCGCACTCCCGCCACCTCCCCCGGGGCAGCTTGAGGAAGGGGTTCGCCTCCCCGTGCTAACGCAGAAGCTGGCGTATCTAGGAGTACGTCAATGGAGGCCGCGGCAGGACCGGCGCAAGACAGCACTCACGATCGGTCGAGTAATCGAGACGGTGGCGGCGGACTGGTCGCTGTCTCTCAGCGCTGCGCAGTTGTGGAAAGCACTCCGCCGAGATGATGTCCGTAGGACCCTCCGCGATTTCTGGTGGAAAGCCCTGCACGGCGCTCTCCGAGTAGGAGCGTACTGGGATAAAATCCCAGGGTATGAGCAGCGGGCGTCATGCTCGCACTGCGGTGTGAGTGAGTCGCTCGAGCATATCCTGGTGGACTGTGACGCTCCGGGCCAGCGAGAAATCTGGCAATCTGTCAATGCGATGCTCGACGCTAGAGCCATCCGCGTGCCACAACTTACCTACGGATCGATACTGGCAGCTCCGGCGCTGCTGGCTCCGGGAAAGAACAGCACGGCTCGCGCTGGAGAAACTAGATTCCTCCGTATCCTCCTTACCGAATCTTGTCACTTGGTGTGGAAGCTGAGATGTGAAAGAGTTATCGGGAGGGAAGGAGACCCGGAAAAGTACCACTCTGTGTCGGAAATCAGGCGCCGGTGGTTAAACGCTATGCAACAAAGGCTAGATCTGGATCGGGCGCTGGCTAAACCAGCATACAAAAAGGGCTCGATAAGTAAGAAACTTATCTTGAGTACGTGGGCGGGGACCCTGCGAGATGAAGGGGCCTTGCCATCGGACTGGATATATTACAAGGGGGTTTTAGTGGGTAAGCCGTCGCACTGGGATTCTCATGGATAGCATTGAGACCGTGCCTAGATGTGCAGCCCCACACTACAACTGGTAAGTTAAGTTGTGTGCGTAAATGCATTTCCTCCGGCACGGTGCTTAGGTTGCTTCCGCAGGGAATATTCTGGAGCAATCACCATGAGGCGGAAGCGTCGCTTAACCACCCCAAAAATGCGCTCAACAACATTCCGAGCAGAAGCATGGCGCAAATTGTAAAGCTCCTGGTGGTTGCGTGGCCTGCAGGGGAATAAATTAGAAAATGTCAGAATGCACTTCTGAGAGGAGGTCGCCCATTCACGGAGGTGATACCGCACACCACGGTACGGGACCAAGAGCGAGTTGCACATCGGGAAACCAGCATCCGCAAGGTAACAAACTCCCTCCCCAACAGCGAAGTCGCTTCTCCGTGCATCCTCAAAAATGCGAGAGTCTGCAGCACTCCCCTCCCAGCCTGGAAGCACGTATAGGAACCGCATGTCGAATGAGCACGCCGTGAGGACGTTCTGGCTGATGCGACCTTTGCGGTCACGGTAGCGGGCGAGTGCATCGGCAGGGACCCAAGCGTCGAGATGAGTGCAGTCGAGGGCACCACGGACAGAACGAAAGTAGGGGTAGAAGCGCGGGTTCTGCCGTATCTCGGGTGGTGTGTGATCGTGTCGGGGAAGCTTGACATAGCGCCGGTAGAACCGGGGCGAAGTGAGGTGCTCCAGTATACGATTGAATGTTCTGTCAAATACACACATTGGACAACCAGGATTGCAGCACAAGCATGTACACGTACAATGAGACCGTCTCTGGTGAACGTTGAAACCTCTCCCGAGCCTCTCGCTGTCCGAGGCCTGTCCGAGCAAGACGGAGAAAGATTGCAACCTGCTCTTCCTCCGAGAGGTATTTTGTCCGCTCAAGTCCAGCGTACTCATGAAGCTCCCGAACAAGGGCTCGAAAGACGTGCTTGTGGACCCCGAGGGTGTCGTGAATGTGATCGGGATGTGCATGAAGTAGCTCTTGTATATAGTCCTCGCCCGTCTGCGCAGAGTTGTACATGGGAGTTTTTATGACGTGAGGAGCAATATAGGTCGTAACGGCACCCCCAGCTAGTGTAGCCATGACCGCTGCAGAGCGTAGTGTCCGCCGCAAGCGTGCACTGTAGGACTCGAGTCGAGCAGCAGTGGTACTTTTTTTTTTTTTTTTTTTTTTTTTGCGGTGCAACATAGGTCGGACTTTGAAAGTACGCTTTCTATGCCTTATGCAGGTTTACAGGGAGTTACACGCTCGAATTGTACATGCTCTTTGCGTCCTCCACAACTTCATCCGTGTTCATGATCCTGATGATCTTGATACCACCGTAGAGGAGGAGCTCACTCGCATCCCTGAACCACCTGAACAGGGCGACTTTGGCGGCAGCATCTCAGCAGCAGAGAAGGAGGCGGCAACAAGCCGAAGGGATGATATTGCTAAACGAATGTGGGCAGATTATGTAGAGTATCTAGAAACACGACATTGACGATTAAAACGGCTGTATTAAATATCTAAAAAGCCTCAGACTCGAGAAGATCAGTAAGGAATGAATTGCGCAGGTCAGCATCTTTAATTGCAAGGTAACTATCGCAAACCGCAATGTCCTTGGTGAAGAGTTTCATCGCACGCAGTCGGATGGGAATCGAGAGTGTCTTGTCAGCGGACACCATTTGAACGGCACGCTGCCGGCGAGTCGGAGTTGCGATCTCCATCGCAGTTGAGCCGAAGGTGGCCGCAACTTGGGACATGGCACCTGCCACGTTGTTGACCGCAACAGGACCGGTGATACGCTGGCGTTTAGTTGAGGCCGAAGCCTTGGGCGACTGAGAAAGCGAACGACGGGGAGAGGGCGATGAGGAGGCCTTCGTACGCTTGGTGCGTCTGCGACGAGGGGAACGAGAGCCGCTGTCACTGCTGCTGTGGCCGGATTGATGGCCGGATGCTGGCGAGCGGGTCAAAGAGCGGCCACGGCCATGCTTGGGGGTTTGCGGCACTGGTGGAGGACTTGGGCTCTGCATGTGAACGTGAGTACAAAGGCGACTAGGCGAAGGCAGGCCGCAGCCGTAGACAACGTACCCAAGTGATCGCACGCTCCTGGGAGGACGTGGTGGCTTGTGACTGACGGCGACTGCCCTTGGAAGCTGACGGTGTGGCGGTACTTGGACGCGAGGTCGACGTGACATTCTCGATACGTAGTGCCTGCTCACCGGTCGCCTGCTTGCCTTCAACCAGGGCAGCGATGCGATCATACAGCGGGAACCCACGGGTCCGATACTTGGTGACTTTTGTGTGCTTCTGCAAGACGGTCAGAGCAGCATTGGGTGCATGAGAATGAGATGTACCTTCAGGAAGTCGTCCCAAACATCGTCTGTCGCCGTAACCTTCTTGAGATCCTCATCCCACCCAAAACCTGACACCTGTGTGACGAGCCAATGGACGGTGTTGTATTCCTTCAGAAGCTATGAAGCCAAATGTCAGAACACAGGAGTTACAAATATGAATCTAGAGCTCACTGTACGCCACCGATCTTGGCAGCTCTTCACCGTTTTGACGCCTCCCGGGCCCCCTTGGAGTTCGCGCGAGACCTCCGTCCAGACACCGGGTTTCCAGCCGGAGTCGGCTTGCCGGCCCTCGGTCTTGTTCTTCTCCAGAATGGAGACCATGGTCTCATCGTTCGCGTTGGACCAACGCGCTGCAACACGCCGTTTCGTGCCGGTAGCACCGTGCTTCGGGGGCTCATTGTCGGAGCCAACTGGATCTTCCGCGGCCAAACCAGTCGCCGCAGAGTCGCCTTCAGCAGGCATTAGGGTGATATTAAGTGGAAAAGAAGCTCAGATAGTGTATGCTGTGCGCGCGCGCAGTGAGGGAGGAGAAGAGAACAGGGCACCGCGCGATCGCGCGACGCGCCGACGCGACGGTCCCGCAGTGTGACGGGCTAAGCGCCCACGATCGCATGTTCGCCGAACGTTCTTTGTGGTTCCGTTTTCAAAATCATCGCGACTGCGATCCCCTGGTCACCGTGATCAGATTTTGGCTGGGCGTGATCTCCAGATCACGGGCAGCCGACCAGAGCCTAACGCTCACCGCCGTGATTCTGGGAGATACTGCAAAATTGGAGAGCTCAGGGGCAAGCGTTCAGATACTAGATATCAAGGTCTGATACCATCGAGCAAGGTCCCCCCGGCGAAGATGTTATGTCGTGATATGAAAGTAAACGTCGGACTCGTGTATGCTAGACACGTAGATGAGAGTATGAGAGTAGCGTACGGGGACGAGGGCCCAGGAGGCTAGGCGACAAGTGTGTAGGGATAGTAGGAATGTGATGAATGTCCGGATGGCGGCGTGCCGCTGATGTGATCTCCTGTGTTCTGGTATTGTCCAAGTCCGCGGCGAGGTGATCTACCTGGTCAACTCTGGAGACCGACGGGGTTCGTACGCCGGCAAAGGCTCCGCCAAGTCAACGCTTTCCCGTCTCTGCCTTCCCGCCGACGCGCTTCTGAGAAAGGCTAGAAACCGCTCCTCAAGAGACGCCGGGAGCACGACAACTCCGCGCCCGTGCTCAATCGCGGTTGAGGCCGTCGGCGCATGGTCAATGACGACACGAGTCTCGCGAGTGGAGAGGGAGGAATCCGGGCGAGGGACACGGGGATTTGACGAGAGTGCCGTCTTGGGAGGACGTGGATGGGGTGCCACGGTCGAAGACACGTAAGAGACAGCCGAAGGGACAAGGGGGCTCGGGCCTCTGGAGCTCCTAGGACCGCTGACATAGTCAGGGAGGTCGGTCGAAACGTCATACGGGGAACCGGGGCTGCTATACTGAGCGTACGTGCTCTGAAGCGACGAGAAGGGGCGATTTTGAGATGCATATGATGAGGTGTCGGCAAGTGAGGGGAAGTTTGGGGAGACAGCGCGGATGTTCGTACCGGAGTGGAGTGCCGCACCACTACTGCCGCCGATAGCGAATTCTACACCCGTAAGCTTCATACCCTTGCGTGTGCCCGGCAGTAGAGGCGGAGCGCGAAGGTCCAGTGGGACGATTGGTTTGCCGCCGACTCGGAAACGTCTCCGTCGACTGGAAGCGAAGACAGCAGTGACAATACCCAGAAGGACAAAAACGATGGGAAGAGCGATTATAAGGGCCTTAGATGGGGGATGAGATGAGCTTGAAGGGCGCCCCTTGACTTCGAACCACCACTATCTACGTTTTTCCCACGCTCTGCCCCGGCGTGAGGAAGGCGAAAAACACACAAACTATGAAGGTATAGTACCACCGTACGCTAAAAAGAGAGCCAAACCGAGAAGGACACTGGCATGCCCCGAGCTGATACCACCCATAATGGGGATACGTGCAACGCGGGGATGCCAGGGATGACGTGTAAGCCCGGCATGGCGCCGATGCCTAGCCTACGCTAGATGCCTGCCACTGGCGGATGCCCGCAGAAACAACGGATGCCTGCATGAGCAGATGAGTCCACCACGGGACATCCAAGAAATTAGAGAAAGCAACACCTGGCGCAAGCACCGCGGAACGCGTCATGACGATGGGCTGAACGCGCGTACAGCCAGACGAGAGCTGATAAGATAAGATAAGATACACTACCCAATACGGGAGGAACCAACGAGCTGTACGAAGCGCCGATCCAAGCAGAGGACGCCTGAGCCAAGCGACAGGATCCTGAATGTCCTAGCCGGCCCTACGTATCTCACTAGTCTAAATAAAGTGCCTGACCCCCCCTCGCACCATACACATCTCCCCCAAATGCCCGCACGTGCCTCTCTCAAGCTCCAGGCCACTCCAACTAGACACACTAGAATAGCAAAGACCCATGTGCCTACCTCGATCGGCCTAAAACCCGACCACCTGCTGAGGTACGCGCACAGACTCAGAACGTCGTCCCACGCTCTGCGAGTGTGCAAGGGCCTTGCGCGGGCGACACACTCCCGCTCTGCATCTGCCCGCAAGTAGGAAGTCCTCCCAACCCCCCCAAGCCATGTAACCCCGCATTCTCTCGGAGACCGGGCACCTGGCGAGGCTGGTAAAAGGCACGAAGGCACTGGGATCCTGGGCCCGCATGATTACGACCGCAACCCTAAACTCGGGCGGAAATTGAAGCATGACGGTAGACTCATAATTGATGTGGGACGGACTCGTCTCACCGCCTCCGCTCCTATCCGGACCAAGGACCCGCAGGGGTACCCTACTAGGGACGAGCAAAACAGGGAGTCGAGACTGACAACGCACCGCACAGAAAACAGAAGGACGCATGGCGTGCACATAGCACCCACATCTTACCCTCAGTGGACACATGCCCCTCAAGGAACGTCCTAATCCATGTCTCTAAGCCTGAGTAATAATAATCGCATGATAGCAAGCGAGTAATGCTACAACAAAGCTGGGCGGCCGTATATAAAATGCAAAGTCACCCGCGTCTAGATACACTGCTTCTTCAACAACGCCATCACCTTGCCTGCTGCTCCCAACCCACATACACTCCCCACCCAGATGCCACCCACCCTAAACATTTGTGCTGTCGAAAGGGGAAGAGCTCCGTCCTGCCTCCCGCGGAGGGCTCGCCTCCCGCAGATTGCCTTCTTCGACGTTGTAATACAGCCACCCAACCCTCTGCATGTCGGACAACACGTCAGAGTCCACGACCTGACGGAGACCGAAGACCTGACGGGCGGAAGAGCGGATGGACGAGGGCAAACGTGGTACACGTCTAAGCCTGCAGATGTGGAGGGCAAGATAATCGGCATCAGGGTCATGGAGCTGGCGGTAACCGAGTTCATCCTCCTCAACGAGGTGAAACAGTCGCTGGTCGAGCATGCGTACCTCACCGTCCAACACGTTCAAGGCGTAACCGTCGCCCTGAGCCTCTGGCACCGAATTACCCGCACGCTCTCCCTTCCCATCCTCGCCCACACGCAACACGTCCCCATCGAGCACGATGCAGTCGTTATTCAGGCAGTAGAGCCAGAGTAACTGCACCCCACCGCCCTACACCACCCGCACGCTCCTCTATACACCCACGCTGGCCAACACGCTGCCTGGGAAGCACAGAACGGGACGTGGAAATGGAGGAAAGGGCGGGAGCCTCCTCGAGGCGCGAATGGGAGAGAAGCAGTGGACGAACGGGGGCGCGAGGGACAGCGAGAAACGGGGCAGAACGCGAGCAGAGAGTAGAGGAGGTGGAACTTGTTCTCGATCTCGGAATGACGGACGAAAGACAGTGTAGCTCTTAAAGTCCTGGATAAACTGGCCGCAACCAAACACCGCCCTGAGGCAGAGAAATACAATCGAACCATGGCGGCGATGGTGACCGCCGGTGGGCTCTCGCCCGTGGGTCTCCCGGCTGAGTAGCCACCTGACAGAGACCACCACGACAGCCACACACCTCGAACGAACGTGGACTCGCACGCGATAGCAAGACGCATAAAGATAAGGACACGAGAACCGTCCTATATCTCTACCGCTCGAACACACGCGCACGCGCAACGCACTACGCGGAACGGAACTCCGTGCCGATAACTTGGCGGGCGAGCGCACGCACCTGACCCAAAACAAAGCTGGCGCACAAATCCGGCACGCATTTAGGCGAGATCCGCATGATCTTGCAGATAGCAAGCACGTGAAAGAGTGGGCCACCGGACGGCCGCGCAGAGATAGAGCGCAATAACACGCTGCCTCTGTGCACTGGCATGTTGAGTAAAATGGAATGAGACAGATGGGCACCCGGGAACATACGATCTCGCCATATCACCGCAGCCTGCGCCCGCTATCCAAAAAGCACTAGGCCTAGAATGGACCCAAAATGACTTAGCATCAGGCGAATCAACGCCAAAGCACACGCACCGGAGTGTGAATCGCTCCCGAGTCGACTGGAGGACTCACCGGCCTGCAGAGGGCCTGGATAGCGCGAACCTGTGAACACACCGGCTGTTAAGACGACACCTTCGAGGGTCGTGGTAACGTTCCGGTGCAAGGGCCTAGCAGGCAGGAGAGGAGACTCGAGTTCAGGGGTGAAGGTGATAGATAACCAGGTCGAGCTGAGGACCATCCTCAGCTCTCCAGGGGTCCTAATATACATAGAAGCCAGGCCGAAACGGTACGTACTAGGGGAGGCAAGCCTGCTGCCTACGGGACCGTAACAATGAGGCGCTGCCTCATGGTGTCCATACTGTAGCTGTACCGTATCCGCGTGTAGTCCATCCACATCAGTAACATGAGGCGTAGGTGAGGCATAGGCGAGGTGCGATCAAAGTCCATGTCCGAGACGCCCGGACCGTTGTAACACCGGCCACACTCGGACACACCAGGGACAAACAACGGGAGAACACGCGCCCGGCCCGAAGCGCGATCTGTCCTCGAGCCGCGCACACGTCGCACAGCGGGAGACGGCCAGCACGTTGGCGATGTCGAAGGGCAAACCTGAAAGTTTCTGTCAAACTGCAGACAGCGTGCCTGAGCGTGAGGAGCAGAGTAGGCCATCACGGTGTCAACCGCTGGGCAGCCTGTCACTCGGCGTGCTGAACGGGATGAGGGCATCCCCATTTTGGACATGCGCCAGCCAAAAATGGCCGCGGACGGCCGGGGGGCGACCGAGGGAGAAATGGAAGCGAGAGCGGGAAGAATCTAAAAGCTAGCCAAGCGCGGGCGGCAATCCCGCCCCTCCACTCCCCTATCCCCTCCTCCCCCAAATCGCTGACCCACGCTGCACGCGCAATGGACGACGAGGCTCCCCTCCCGAGCACTGTTGTTAGCATCCCCGATGTATTCGGCGGTACGGCGTACATACAACTCAACGGAGTTAGCAGCATTGAAGCTGAGGAAGGCGGTGACGTGAGTGACGGCGGCGAAGAGCATGAAATGATCGGAAGCACGTACACTCTGGTATGCGCTAAAATGATCACCTTCTCCCGCTCGCTCCTTACCGACCTATGCATAAGGCCAATTTAGAACACTTTGGAACGCCGAGTGTCGCGGGAGAACATCAGCTTGCCTCTCTGATGAGATCTGCTGACCGCACGCCCACCCCGGCACCGCGAGGGGCCGGCTATCTGGGCCACCAGATGCCGCACCCCCAGGGCGATACGGCAGCGGCTCCGACGGAGAGTGAGGGAGTCGAGGCCTACCTAGTGGATGACGGCCCGACCACGCCGATCTCATGCAACACGGCTCAACCCTCCAGACCGCTCAAGAGACACCGGTCAGACTCCCCGCCCCTCCCCATTGTCTCGATCAAGAAGCACACCCTCCCCGGCCCGTCTGTCAAGGGAAAGGAGGTAGCGGGGAGACCCGCGAAGACCCCTGCCCTGCAAAACCCGATCACCCAGCTCCCCATCGCGGGTGGCTCCGGACACGCCGCGTCCGCACGGGAATGGACAGCTCCTACCGCACCCCAGCTGACTGTCGCGCCTGCGGGTATCCCTCTGTACGCTGCTGCGCCTACACCCGCGCCCGCGCCCGCCCAAGTGCTTGCAAGTGCGCCTGCGATCGCGCCCACGCCCGCGCCCGCGCCTGAGCACGCGCGCGTGCCCGCGTCCGCGCCCACGCCTGCGACCGCGCCCGCACTCGCCCTTGCACCTGCACCCGCACTCGCCCTCGCGCCCGTGCGCCCGCCTGCGCCTGCGCCTGAGCATGCTGGACCCGCTGAAGTCGTGGCAGGCCTGACTTTCGTGCCCACGCCGGCCATGGCGCTCACACTCACCTCGACGTCCGCGCAGGCAGCTCAGGCGCGCGCCGGCGCGACACACAGAGATCAGAACGCGATGGCGCTCGGGGTGATGCGCGCAGCTCTCCAGGGCAAAGGGCTACACGGATACGTGTCAAACGCGCCCGCGATCGCGAGTGCCGCCGCCACCAACCCCTCTGCCCTTCCCACTCTTCGCGACTCTATCCATGCCGTTAGAACCTCAGCAACGCCCACCTCCTCAACCCAACACGCTGCTCTCCGCGCGTTGGCGGAGAGCGACGCTGGGGCCCTCTACAAGTGGCAATCTGAGCAAGTGCAGCAGTATCTCCTCAACGCGGGCTACACCGCGACCTTCCACGTAACGCCAAACGACGCATCTACCTGCACCGGCCCGCCCGCTGTCACACTATCGGTCCATCCAATCACCCTCCCCCACGCAGCACAGCTCACGGCGCTGCCCAACGCCAATGTGCTCCAGCATGCGGCCGCGCGGGACAGGCCCCCGAGTTCGGCAAACGGAGGTCGAGCAGAGAACAGCGAGGTGAGCACCGCGCCCCTCACTGGAGCTGCTGCTAGCGATCTAGAACGCGCACGCGAGGCCATCCACACGCAAAGGGAGCAAGCGACGGCGCTGGCGATCCAAATGCAACAAGAGCAGTCGCTCCTGGATAGCCTAGTGCTCAACGGCTCATGTGGCGAGCAGATGGACGTTGACGGCCCATCTCTCGGCGCGACATGGCAGCCGGAGCTAAGCACGAGCGGGCTAGTGTCCCAAGGTGCCCCCCCTGCCTACGCTGCGCCCTCGGCGGACGCGAACGGTTCAGGGTGGACCCTACCGGCGAAGGCCTCTGGCGCTGAACGTCCCTCCACTCTCCCCCGCCTACGCGTCCACGAGCTGCTTGCGATGGGGGTGTGTGTCCTCCCCGCCCCGCTCGGCGACTTCCCTCCGAACCACAAGCGAGACCCGCTGGATCTCGTACGAGGCGTCCAGAGTACGCTCCTCACGCGTCTGGAGGAGCAGAGCGACACCGCCTTTGGTTTTGAAGTGAACATGCAAACCGACCTCGGGGAGGACGACGATCTAGCGGACGCGCTCGAGTCCCTCGTCATGAACACCATGACCCTCATCGCCGGCCACTCGAACTTCAAGATCGTCCGACCGCAGAAGCCTAAGAATCGAGTAGTAACTATCGATTTCACCACACTCTGGCTCGCGTACAACATGACCCCGGACACGAAGAATCGTTTCTTCGAGCAACGCGTCTGGCCTTTCTCGTTCCTCACCCTGCACATGCACGAACTACGCCAGACCCCCGGGCGTTTCCTCGCCACTTACCGGGGCTTCCCCAAGGTCAGCGACGATATCATCAAGCAGCTCGTTCTCCAGCATCTCAAATCTAGCACGTTGATTGCGCTCACGGCGGAGGCGATCGTGTCGGACTGGGAGAGCTCGGGCGAGGTCGACGCGATGGAAGTTGCGAACCGCCTCATGGACAGCGCCGACGTTGTCGTTCGGATCATTGCTGACAAAAGCGAGACGGTACGCTCTGCTACAGTCTACTGCGATCCTCCGACAACTCGATGCGAGAAGTGGATGGATTGGAGGGACGCAATGGCGCTCATACCCTTCCTGGGGAACCCGGATAGCAAGGTGACCGTCCTCAGACCGATCCGCTGCATCGGGTGCCACGCAGGCGACCACCACCTCGTCAACTGCCCTTTCCCCGTGCTCGTCCCGGGCTGGAACGGCACCATAGACCTTGGGGATCTCGCGGTGAAGGCGAAGAAGACCAAGACCGGCGCGAAGAAGGCGGCGACCGCGCATGCGTCGGCATCGGGCCTCACCAAAGGTACCCCGCGCAAGGACCGCGCTGCGTCGTCGTCCACGACCGCGTCTGCAACAACGCGCGACGACCAGACGCAGTCGGAGGATGACGCGAGAGGGGACGACGGACCTGCGCGTCCACGGGGCCGCGGGCCCAAAACGCGCGACCGTACGACGGAGCCTCCCCAACACCCGCGTGATTCGCACGCGCCCTCGAAGCGTGAGCGAGAGCGCGACCGTGACGCGCACCTGCCTCGCCACGCGGGACCTCCTCCTGTGCAGGCAAGGCAGGGGCAGGAGTCTTACCCCACACCTGAGGACAGCGCAAACGGGTATGGCTACTCGCGAGGAGGATACGGCCCGCCCATGACCATGGGATATGACCAACCGGGTCGAGACTATGGCCCTCCACCGTCGTACAACGCCCTCGACGCCCCGCGCTTCGACATGGCGGCGAACCAGTGGGCGCAACAGCCGCGCTACGGCCCCGCGGGCTATGTCCCGCCCGCGCAGCCGAGACAGTACGCGCAGCAACCGCTGCAGCATCAGCCGCAGATGCAGGCGCACTGGGTGTCGCAGGCGGGCCAGTACGCCGACATGGAGCAAGCTGGGGAGAACGGCGGGGGCTACCACGGCCACCAGGGCGCCCCCCCTCAGCATCAGCCATACGACGCGGGACGCGGCCGCGGGGGCGGCCCGTACCGCGGAGGGGGAGGACGGGGTGGACGCAAACACAGCCGGTCGCAGGGGTACCCCCAAAACGGCCCAAAGTAAGGCCCCTCTCTTGATATCTCGCTCTCTTGTCGCGCTATGTCCGTCTTGAACCCGCACTCGCCCGTATATTCTATATCTGCCCGGTGCGACCCGCGCTAAAGTACCACTGCCCCTCCCCGTCCTGCTGAACTGCAACGTACATACCCTACGGTTCCGATACTGTCTTGCACTGCGCGCGCGACTTACGCGCTGCGCTGTTTCTTTGCCGTACTAGCCACTAATCATCACGACTCTGTACATCTCTGCCCCAAGGCGACCGCGACGGAGAACGCGTGCGGCGCGCGGCCTCTGGAAGCGGGACGTGTTCGACATCCACTGCCATAAGCTCTCCAAGCACACTGCGCAGCGCCGCTACACTGCGGACACACTCTGCAACGAGAACCGCAGCTACGCGCCCCCGTGAGCAACGTGTGCGCGACTTGCGGCACACAAACGAGGCGGAGGGGTGGTAAAGACCCGCATGGCGTATGCATGAGACGTCGTACGTGACACACGAGCGTAAGCATGGCTGAGGCACACACTCGCAATATGCTATGCAGCTAGCACACGCGGGTGGCGGGCGACCGGTGGCCTGAACGGCGCCCGCCCTCCGGCAGCGCGAGATGCACCATTGATGGGTCCCCGCGCAAAGAGCGCGCTCCCTGTACCACCTTTCAGGCCTACCCGCGGCGCCGCCCACGGTAAATGCACGCCAATGTGGAAGCTCAACACCTGCACCCAAGCACGAGAGCAATGAGTTAATGCGGTGTGTACTGGGGAACGCAAGTCGCCGCCATGAATGGCACGCCCGCGCGGCGCTGCAACGCCCATGGCGTGCATGCGCGGCGGGACTCCAGCATGAGCATGAAGCGTAGCCTGCGGCGCTCCCCGGAGTGCCTCATCGGCCGCGCGAACGTAGCGCAGGCGGCGGAGAGCATGGGATAGTGCGCATGCTCGCTGCACGGGCCCGGCGCACGCCCGGCGCACCCTGGATGTACATGAAAATGGCTCCAAGGAGCGCATCCCATTGCCCAGCGCGGCGCGTGAACATATTGAAAAGCCCGTGGCGCACTGGACGCGTGATGCGTCCTGCCTACCCCACTGAGTATTACTAACCATGCGCAGCTAGTTACAGACCTACAAGTGATCAAGAGCGTACCCGGCTTGACCGACCGGACATGCATACAAGTCCCACTGGAGTGGCGTACCTGTGTGTGTGCGGCACCCCCCCGCAGCGGCGCATACGCGGGTATGAGGTCCTCGCAGCGCCCAAATATACTGGCTCCCTGAGCTCAGGAAAGCCTGCGTGTGTCTCTTAAACGGCGACCTATTTAGGTCTCGGTGTGCCGTGCTGAGAAGCTGAAGCCGGCTGGTTAAGACTGACAATCGCGGGTGTCAGGCCCTGACCCGAGTGCATAACCGACCGCGAGGACCGGTATAAGTCCCCTTACCGTGCGTGTTGGTTGAAGCGACACGGGACACCTACCAACCACGAACACCACCCACCTACCAAACCACCCAAACCACGCGGAATACAGTACGGCATCGGCCTCGAGCCTCGGAGCGGCGCGAGTCTCTGCGAGCCCTTCTGCCAACCGCGGAGTCGATGACCGTTGCACCGAGTACGGCGGCAGCTCCCATGCGTCAGCCTCAACCTCAAACCCTGCGCTTTCTCCGCCAGGTGCGGGCCCAAGGGCAGAGCAAGTGGATGAGGCTGAAGCGGCGGAGACGGGGCGGGGGTCGACGGAGGCGAGTGAGAACCCAGGGCGGCAGGACCGCCCACGCAAGAAGGTGCGAACACGCGCTAGGATTAAGATAGCGTCCCTCAACATGAAAGGATACGGGGAAGAACACGCCCTAAACGGATCGAGCAAATGGCTCCTAGTGAACCAGGCCATGCGAGACCAGAGGATCGCAGTCTTGGCACTGCAGGAAGCACACCTCAACGAGGAGCGCGTATCCTCCCTGCGCCAGATTTTCGGCCGCCACCTACACATAGAGTACTCGCCGGATCCAAGCAACAGCACTGGCGCAAGGGGTGTCACCGCGGTCCTAAACAAGCAAATCCTGAAAAACTGCACACCGACCACGCGTTGCGTGATCCCGGGTCGTGCTATCCTCCTGTCTGTCCCCTGGTCAGAAGACCGCGTACTGACTATACTAACGGTATACGCACCCAACGACCGGAATGAAAACGCGGCTTTCTGGGAAAGACTACGCGCTGAGAATCTTGGGAGAATCGACCTGCTGCTGGGGGACTTCAACGTCGTGGAGGAGGCGGCGGACAGATTCCCCCCCAAATCCGATGCGGCGCGTCAATGTGAAGCGCTAAGGGAGCTCTGCCAGGGGCTTTCGGTGTGTGATGGATGGAGGGCGGCGAACCCGGCCTCCAAGCAGTTTACCTACCTCCATGAAACGTCTGGGGCGCAATCGCGGCTTGACCGTATCTATGTGCGCAGGGCGATGATGGGGGACTGTGACGAGTGGACGATCACAGAGCCGGGCATCCCAACCGACCACCTCCTTGTCACCGTTGAAGTTGCGAACTATAAGGCGCCCTTTGTGGGCAGAGGGAGGTGGGTGATGCCCACGCACCTGCTAACAGATACGGACACAGTCAAACAAATGAAGGGGCTCGCCATGAAACTCGTTGCAGACATAGCGGCAATCCGGACCAGGACGTGCGAGCGGAACCCGCAACTGCTGTATGAGAAGTTCAAAGCAGACCTGACCGCCCTCCTGAGAGCGAGGGCGAAGGTCAGAGTGCCCAAAATACAGAAGGAAATCGATGCGCTCAAAGCAGAGCTTGTTGCGACTACCAATACCGCAGAAAGCGGCGGGGAAGCTTCCCAGCCGAGCGCTGAGACGGTGCAGCACGCAGCAAAATTGCAGGCGCAACTGACCGCCCTCGAGCGCAAGCGTTTCGGATGGAGAAGAAAGGATGTTGAGACCAGGCACTGGGCACAAGCGGAGACGATCAGCAGGTACTGGACACGCGCGAACGCGACACCTCTCACCTCGGAAGTCATGTGCGTGATGCGCGAACCCTCTGAGGGACCACCGCGGTACACGAATCACTCGAAAACGATGGCCCGCATAGCATCGAGTTTCTATGACAGCCTCCAGGATGACGACGCTCTGGGGGAAGGGGATGATCACGATGCGTACGTCGAGGAGGCACTGAAGCACACGGACGCTGTCTTGGAGCCGGGACACAGGGCCGACCTTGGAAGAAGTATCAGCAGGGAAGAAGTTGTCGAGGCCATTAAGGCGGCCGCGCGCAACAAATCCCCGGGCCTAGACGGCATACCCACAGAGACCTGGAAGGAGTACCACCGCTGGTTCGAAATGGACTCGAAACGCGGCAAGCCAGGCGCGGACATCGCGAGTGCCCTCACGGCGGTCTTCAACGACGTGGCGGCGTATGGCGTCTGTGCTGAGTCAACCTTTCTGCAAGGGTGGATCTGCCCTATATACAAACTCAAGAAGGACAAGCGGGAGATTGGAAATTACCGACCGATCACACTCCTGAATACGGACTACAAGCTGATGTCCAAGGTCATCGCGGCGAGGCTGGCGGATGTGGCTGGGCTACTGATACACCCAGACCAAGCGGGCTTTGTCCCCGGACGAAGGATTTTCGACCACATCCGCCTGTCGCAAATGATGATTGATTATGCGGAGGCGGAGGAGGTCAACGGTGCCATTATCGCGCTTGATCAAGAGAAAGCCTACGACAAGATAGATCACCATTACCTCTGGAGCACCCTGGCACACCTGAACTTCCCGGTCGAGCTCATCCGCACCGTGCAGAACATGTACCGGGGGGCGGAGAGCTGCGTGATTGTAAACGGTATAAAGAGTGCCCTTTTCAGTATCAGACGAGGGGTTCGACAGGGCGACCCCATGTCCTGCCTCCTCTTCAACCTCGCTATCGAGCCTCTGGCCTGCGCCCTCCGTAAGTCTACCCTGAGGGGCCTCCCCATACCTGGCGTTGCGGAGCGACTTGTCGTGAAGCTCTTCGCGGACGACACCACCGTGTTCTTGAGCGAGGATGATGACTACGAGGATGTCCAGGAGATATGCTCGACCTGGTGCAGAGCGTCGAGAGCCCGTTTCAACGTGGAGAAGACGGAAATCTTACCGATCGGAACGGCGGAATACAGGGCGGGGGTGATTGCGACGCGCAAACTGCGCCCCGACGCCTCGCAGATCTCGCGCGGGGTTAACATAGTCAAGGACGGCGCGTCGATACGCTCCCTGGGGGCGTGGATTGGCAACGGCGCAAATCAGAGCACGCCGTGGCGCCCCATACTGGAGAAGATCAAATCAAACCTCGAGAAGTGGAGCAGAGGCAGGCCCTCCCTAAATGGGAGACGGCTCATCGTCAACATGGAGGTGGGGGGACGCTCACAATTCCTGACGATGGCACAAGGCATGCCGGAGAGCATATGTAAAAGTGTTGTGAGCACTGTGGCCCGTTTTGTGTGGGGCGGGGACGCCCACCCGAGGATCTCGAGGGAACAGCTGTACGAGCCCGTCTCGAGGGGGGGACTGAACCTACTTGATGTCCGCGCGAGAAACGACGCGATCGAGCTGATGTGGCTGAAGTCCTACCTCAAACTCGACGCCGACCGACCTCTCTGGGCTTTCGTCGCGGATGTCCTGATGTCGAAAGCGGTGGCGGCAGCCTCGAAGGGATCACAGCCGAATGCGAGGGTGAATACCTTCCTACAGACCTGGAAGGTCAGCACGAGGATCTCGGCGGGTCTCCCGGATAGCCTGAGACGCATGGTAAAGGCAGCGGAGAAGTATGGGGCGCGATGCGCGGTCCGCAACCCGACGACGCTGCTCAGGCAGGCCCTCCCCATCTGGTACCACATAGGCAAGACGGATGGGCGATGTGCGGCGAACTCGGCGGCGGCGAAATGCCTCCGCCTAAACCACGGGGTGATAACAACGGCACAATGTCAGACTGTGGCGAGCAGAGTAACGAGAGAGGGATCTGAGCACCTCGCACGCACCTCTTGCGAATGCGCTGAGTGTGTCGAGGACAGGACTGTCCGCTCCTGCGCGAACCCGCACCGGTGTGCTGCTGCCGCGGCCAGACTAGTGGAAAAGCTGAAGGACCTGTGGAGGCCCAACCGGCCTGCGAACGCGGACGGTCTGACCTTGACTAGGAGACGTATCCGCCAGAATCAGACCGCACGCGCGGCGCATGATCGAATCGCCTTCAACCCGTCTGTTGCAAACGGAACGCCACTGGCAACGGCTTTCCGGGTCTTCGTACGCGGTGGGGAAACGGGTACCCCCCCCGCGCTAAGGCCTCCTAGGCCCTACCAAGTGCAGGGGGAGGAGGTCGAAGTCTTCACGGACGGCTCCTGCGTGAAGAACGGATCCGCGGATGCCGCGGCGGGAAGCGGCGTCTGGTTCGGTGACGGGGACCGGAGAAACGAGGGTGTCCGTGTGCCCTACGACGAGCAATCGAACCAGGTTGCTGAAATGTACGCTGTCGCGGTGGCGCACCGTAAGGTGCCGCCGTTCACCCCCATGCACGTCGTAAGTGACTCGACGTATGTCGTTGACGGGCTGACGAAGCACCTGCACAACTGGGAACGGGACGGATGGATAGGTGTTGCAAACGCACCAGTCATCAAGGAAGTAGTTGCCTTGCTGCGCTCGAGGTCCGCAGTCACCACCTTCCGCTGGGTTAAAGGCCACGCGAAGACGAAAGGAAACAACGAGGCTGATCGCCTTGCGGGTGCGGGTGCGCTGCTGGAGAGACAGCTCCGGCCGGTGCATCTGCCCCCTCCCCAGAAGTACAGCGTGGAGGGCGCGTACCTACCGACTCTTACCCAAAAGCTAGCCTACAAGGGAATCAGAGGGTGGAAGCCTGCGGGGGAGCGCCGGGCGACTGTAAGGGTAACTGAGCAAGTCTTGGCAGCACTGAGAGATGCAGCGGGACTCACGCCGACACCTTCCGCGCTCTGGACCTTGCTGAGAAGTCATGTCATCGCGAAAAAGGTCCGAGACTTCCTGTGGAAGGTCTTGCATGACTCGTTGAGGATCGGCAACTACTGGACGAACATACCTGGGTATGAGGACCGTGCAACTTGCTCGGCTTGCGGGGTTGTTGAGACGTCTGACCATATACTGTCAGAGTGCTCTGCGGCTGGCCAAGGAGCTGCCTGGCGAGCGGCGGCCGCCCTGCTTCGGGGCCGTGGCCTGGAGATCCTCCCCATAACCCGAGCGCACACGCACGGGGGCCATGCGTACACTGTAACTGACGAGAACGGAGACTTGTGTCCTGGAGCGACAAGACTCGCGAGAATCGTCCTGACGGAGACAGCGTACCTAGTGTGGGTGCTCCGATGCGAGCGTGTCATCGGAAGAGCGGGGCAGGGGGAGGACCGCGTCACGGATGACATGGTACGAGCCCGCTGGCTGTGGACGATCAACAAGCGCTTCTGCATGGACCGGGCGCTCATGTCCAAGGCGAGGGCGGGTAGAATGCACGTACCACCGGAGACGGTGGTAGACACCTGGACTGGCACGCTGAAGAATGAGTCGAAGCTTCCTACTGACTGGATAGACATACCGGAGGTTTTAGTGGGTATGCCGCCTACCGACTAACGACTGTCAGCACAGCGCTGCAGGCGCTAGGTAGGCGGAGAGTCCCACACTGGGGCGCCTGAGCACCGCCTGCGTGCGTAATGCATTTCCTGCCGGCGCGGTTGTCTCATAGCAAAGTGGACATGTCCCACGCAGCTCGCTTATCGTGCGGAAGGCTCCCAGAGAGCCGCACCGCACGAGCACCGCTAAAAAAAAAAAGAGATGAGCTTGAAACTGGTCTTGCACTGCCTTGAACGTCGCTGCTGGCAGAGAGGCTAGAGGATGCCACGGTAGTCTCCGGGGATATGTTGATAGCGAGAGAACTCGTAGCGGAATAAGAGTTTGCGGTAGGTGTGAGAGTTGTAGAAGGTGCCATCGACGAGGATGTGGAGGGCGTAACGACAGAGGAGGTGGAAATGTCGGAGGTGAGGGCCAGTTCGTTTCCGAAAGTCCATGAGCCTTGGACCTCACCCAGGTCGAGATCTCCAGATAGTCGCTCGAACAGGCCGGAAGATAGATCGAGGTCTCCGGAGGGACATCCGGGACACTAAGTAGTGTCAGGGAATTAACAAAGTTTAGAAAGTGACAGAAGCTCCGAATCGCGCAATAAAACACATACCAATCCGGTAATCCGAGCAACAAAGGATGCCCCTTGGTACTGCAGGGTAACAGACGTATTGCACTGAGTACCCCCATTCCATTGCTGATGAACGATCGACTACAATTAGGTGTCGAGCGTAACATCGGGGAGTCTTGTAATAGCTCACCGATGGGCTCAATCGAACAATCTGCACTCACTGATCAGCCGAATGAACATACTCAGAGCGGCGTACTCACCAGGATATCATCCTGGTCAACCCCACCACAATAGTTGGGCCCCGTGTTGAAATATGTGAAGCGGACATTGTCGAACCGCTGAGTCTGCGTACGAACCACGGCCTCCCTCAGAAAAAAAGAATCCGCCTTGATGTGTCGGACGGCTCCAAGGTGTGCCTGTCCGAGAGTCGAATGAGCGGTAACGGCTGAGTTCGCAGACGTGCTGACAGTCAACATAACAAGGGGGGCGTGTAGAAAAGTGTGCGGCGGACAGACAGGAATGTACGGTTGCCACAGGCAGAAGTTCGGTGGACTCTGGTGAGGAGCAAAAGATGATCAGTAACACTGTCATGATGGAGCCCACTATTTGAACAGTATGGTCAATCAGTATGTTTGGCGTTTGCCATCTTTCTGTCGGAGAATATCACCCACACTGTGTACGGCGCCGCAGTCAATGGCAGATTAAACATGCGGCGTAACGTTTCACGTTACGAAGTTCTCCGATCAAGAACGGGGAGTTTATACTTCTTTGTAATGTCGTGTGTAGTGAATAGATCGATACTTACCTAGCCGCCGCTACACCTAGTAGAAGGCTTGTCCAACGGGTGCATCTTTGAAAATCGACGCCAGCCGTCCGGAACGTCATGGCCAGGTGCGCACAGTCATTGTTCGCTAGAGCACCATCTCAATGTGGCCGGTTTTGCATTGGGGTAGTTCACGTTCATTATGATCTGGGGATGCTGAAGCATAGCATCAGCGACAGTGCTATATCAGTGCATTGCACGGCGTGGCGGGCGGTCATGCCGACTCACCGGCGGAAGAGATGACTCGGAACCAAACTCTACTCGACGACAGGCTGTGACGCTGGACATGCACACCTCGGGGCTCTGCGGGGCTCTTCGGAGATGTTGAAGCCGAACGCCAATGTGTCTGTGTGTTGTATAAGTGTCCAGTGCAGCAAACACTAGTTACGCTTTTGTCGAGAATGGACTAAAATCAAAAGTTTGCCAGGTCGTCGGCAACCTGTTCGAGTGGCACCAGTTCGCGAAAAGGCCCACATACTGGACTTAAAAGGGTCGTCACTTGGAGTATGACCGTTTTCCGCCGCCGGAGAGATCATCGGCATGCACCTAGTGTCGACATGAGAGTCCATAGCAAGCCAGAGCAAGCCCGAGGCGGCGTAGACGCCTGTATTACCTTTTGAAGAAAGGCGTGACAGTCGGTTCCGGCGCTTCCGTAACATCCGTTTGTTGTGCCCCGACCTCGAAAATGCGGCCAGTGGAAGGTACAACATGGTGGTGGTACAGACCAACATCCGACCCTGACGTGCTCCAGCTGTAGGCGATAAGCAACCTTACTAAGAGCTCATCACAGCTGGACTCTCACGATGCAATACAGTCAGGCCCGCCCGCTGCCACTGCCGCGCACAGCAGGAACAAGAGACGACGGCGGTCAGTTGAGTCGGATACACCATCTAACGCCACCGTTGTAAGGTTTATCTGGTTTTTTTTGCTCGATCCATGACCAGGTGAGCAGACTGATGTTGTATGCCCATACCCTAGATTCGGCTGATCCGAGCAGTAGGATCTTGGGTCTGCCATGACTGTACATCATGGTAGACTGAGCCTCATTATTCGTCACTGGTTGTGCGTCATTCTTGACTTCGGTGTAATTATATTACACCATCGGGCTACTTCGGTGTTCGCCATCTCTTCATGGGCGTCATCAGACTGCTGAGCGTACTGAACTCTGAATACAGGTACCTGACATATAGCCTGTCCACGAGCAAACACCCGCTCGTGCCCTGCCTGGGCAGTACATCTATCGTCACCCGATATCAGTGAGTTTCCAATACCTGCGTAGTCCAGGTTCAATCCGACCGACGCCACCGAGTTTGTCTTTCAGATGCTATTGTGAAGTTGCCGTCATAGCGCACTCGGCATTCTCAGTTTCCTGGTAGCGTCAGTCCAATCTGTGTCCTGCTTTCTCTACATTGACGCAACCCCGCTAATTTTGTCGATGAGATGACAGGATCACCGACATTGCGACCTCATGTGCTGTTCACACGTTCCCCGAGTTCAACCGCCTATGGTCCCGAGACGGCCGAGGTAGGATAGTAAATAGACACCTGTGCACGGGTGCAGACGTCGTTATAAAAGCCAGCAGGAGCGAAAGGCACCCCAAGGGACCAACCGACCCGAGTACTTCGACAACCTCTCTATATTCGAGCTCATCACCGGCACGATGATTGGCATCCGCAACACCGGGTTTTACTCTCTTCTCTTCTATGTACTCACCGCCATGGTCGCTGTGAGCCCTCTTTGCCATACTCGACGACCCAGGTGCTTACTGATCGTCGTGTTAGACGTCCGCGAGGTCGACGGCGACAGGCATAGCGCAGTTCCAACAGGACGTGCTCGACAACGGCCCGGAGTACACGATGCGCATCACCCCAGACGAGGAAGACCGCATCGTTGAGCTCCTCGGGCCCGAGTATCTTGACGTCGGACTCGTTGCCACCAAGGTGACGGGCCCTCCGCGCCACTGCTCCGTCTGCGGGAAGCAGACAGAGTTTGTGGACTGGTAAGCGGCGTCTGCGACTGGGACGCGTCAAGTTCCGGCGATGGTACTGACGCGCTGCGTTGTACCAGGGTATTCACAGCGCTCGCGCGCGGCGTCCACTCGCCCGGATTCATCGTCGAGTCCCTCAAGCTGGGGAACTCTCCGAAGAAACTCGGCCACGACGTGTAAGGCTGCTCGCATTGCGGGCATCTCACTCACTTCCGGGACGCCACCGGCGCGGAGGGTGGCGCACCGTACATCGCCATTGCCCCTGTATGTTACCAACCTCCTGAATGCTACATACCGCAGTACTGATGGATGGACCGCCCTCGCTTTAGCCGTATGACCGTGCGGCCCGTACCTTTGCTCCGAGTATCTTCGCCAAGCGCGAGATCGAGGAAACCGAGGCCAGTTTCGCCGTATTGATATGTCTCATAGACGTACTGAAACTCCCGGTTTAGACGGACTCTTTGGACTCTGCGAGTACCGAGAAGGCCGATGGTGCTGAACCGGCAATTCTTCCCCCCGTCTGGCGTACGCTTTGGACCCGCAAGCGTGGTGAGGACGAGGTAGTAGACGCTCTTCTTCCTCCGGTCTGGCGCACGCTGTGGACTCGCAAACGCGGCGAGGACGACTCCGAAAATGGATGCGTGACTCCGCGCGATGCCGCTCTGGACGCCCGCTGCTTCTTCAAGTGGTGAGCCTGAGGAACTCGACTAGCTGAAAGGTGTTTGTATACCGTCCCCAGGTATGGAAACGTTTACTCCCGAATAGATTGATCCTTGTGCTCATGGCGTTACCCTAGGAAGCGTATGCATAGGAGGGATGCGTCGCATGCGCCATGTGCCAGCACCTGTATCCGCCGCCGCCGCCGGCGGTTTTCGTTGAATGAAAGAGATGTGATATAAAGTATCATCAAAGAATGTTTCAATCGAGTGTGTAAGAGTAGCATATATCTAAATGTATGAACATACTTAGCAGTATAGCCAATCCCCTACTATACCTACGGTATGCCACACACCGTTTGAGGAGGATTCCGAAAGATAGATAAAAAAATATCGCATTGTTATGGCTGTCTCATAGTACGCCGTGGCTCAGATAAGCTGCAATCGCTTCTTCCGGTAGCCTTGAGGTGCACCAGCGCGCCGCTTAACTATCGTACGTCCTTGCGTAAGCGCCGGAGGACCCTCTACCTAATACATGCAAGTCAACTTATTGGGCCAACCGCAAAGAAGGAGAAATCATACACTCGCGGCGGCATAAATTCGAGTTACCAGCCCACAGGCCCTCCCGCGCGCGCCTCGTTGTCGTAGAGCAGGTCAAGACCAGCCCCGAACTTGCCACCGCGCGTATCTGGCCTCAGCGCCAGGAGGCGGTCCACATCGAATGTCCATCCCCTGCTAAAATACCCGTCCGCAAAACACGTCCGTATGAGCTCGCCCTCGCGCGGAACAAGCTCGTCCGGGACAGGGGTGAGCCCGATCGCCTCCAACGGCTCCAGAATGCGTACGACGCGGCAGACCACGACACGGCGCCCGGCGTGCTCGGGGCGCGTCGACTTCTCGAAGCAGCAGAGCGCAGATCCTGAATAGTGTCAGAAATTCAGTCAGTAGCAGCGTAAGATATATGCCGGGGATCAACGCAGGGCGTACCTCTCATCAACGGCCTCCCTGGGACAAGACGCGAGATTGTAGGGCTCGCACGAATTATAGTACCCGCGCCCACCAGGTAGAAGTACTGGTTGGTCTGGCCAAAGTTGAGGAGGAACGGCTGGCCGAACGCGTGCACCATGCGCGTGGAGCCCACGTTGATCATCTTCGCGTCGGGCGGCAGGCTGGACGCGACGCGCAGCAAATCTTCTGACACGAGCCCGTCGTCGAGGAGGCGGCGCTGCAGCGCCTGGTAGGACTTCCGGAAGGATATGGGGACGATGGGAGTACGCCATGGGAGGTGGTCGGAGCGGAGGAGGTCCTCGCCGGAGGAGAACAGAGCGGGGTCGTTCTTCCCGGTCACGCGGAACCGCAGCTGTCCGGAAAGCGCCGGGCCGTTGGGCGGGAGGTAGTAGTAGAGGAATCCGCGAGCGTGCTCCGGGAAAATCAGGTAGTCCATGCCGGAGGGATGGAGGTTTAAGTGGGTATGATTGTTTGCAAACATCTCGGGGTATGCGCGAACGAGCCCAATCTTTCTGTTGCTCAGCACGAGGAAATCATCGCGGGTGAGGCGCGATTGAACAAGCGTGGATATCTTCAGTGGAGGCTCGTAAAGGCTTGCCCAGCGATCTCTACTGCCACGGCCGGTGTCCAAGTTCGAGTCTAGCGTGGAACTTGATGCCCTTGGGGTTTGTTCCAGGCTAGAGCGTGTCGATTTGGTCCGATGTTTGTGTATTCTGCTTCCCGTAGCGATAGCACGAGCTGTCTTTTGCAGAGCAGATGCCGTGCACGAGACGGTATGCCGAACGCCGAGGACGGTCATCAAGTCGTGAGGACGATAATCTGCCAGCGATGGACGTAGTTAGTAAATGATCTTAAGTACTGATTGCTTACAAGAACAATGGAATACCTATAAGACTGCAAGTGTTCAAAGGGGTCGGCCGAGTAGCTTGAGTGTCAGACGCGACGTTTTTGCTCAGAGTGACACTGGCACAGGTTGACGCCGTCAAGGTCCAACGTTGGGGAGAAGAGCGACTAAGCGCCCTCATCAAACGCACTCCGAGAACATCGGAACACACTCAATGTCCTTTGGGGGCAATATTTGCCTGACATTTGCCACAGGTCGAAAATACTCCCAGGATCTCTGAATCACAACGTCGTCACACAAGCACAATATTGGTCAAGAAAATGATCCATCAAATTGAAATTGTGCTACGAATCCGCAATTTTATGGCGGTGTAAACTTATTCTGCCAGCTTCGAACCGGAGTCAGAGGATGAACCTACCCTCCTCGGGCGCCTTCGCCATTGGTGCTGGGCCTATGACCTGTGGGTACGCATCAGTGAAGGAAAGCGCGCATATACGGGATAGGGTGCATACCGTGCCCAAGGTCGCACCCATGATGGCGCGGGCAGGTACCCGCATTCCTACAACGCCGTCGATCTTGAAGTGCGGATCCGTGCCCGGAGGCAGAGGGATCGGGAGGTGGACAATCGACGAGTCGGAAGCCGGAGCGTAGGCACCGGTCGCGTTGTGGTGTGACAGACGCAGTTGGAGTCGAGACGCGCGGGTGCGAGCGCCGTCGTTGTGCCGAGGGGTATGCGCGCATGTTCCCTGGGAGGGAGTTCCTCGACGGCAGCGCTGGGGCAATCACAGATCCCAGGCCTAACTGGGATTTCCCAAGCCTTGTCTTGGGGGACCCCCGCTTCCATCGAGATAGACGTCTGGTCCCTGCCACGTTACCCGATCTGGCTCGACGAGAAACATCGCCCCAAAGGTCGTAGCGGCCGTCCGACTGCAAACATGTATCAGCCCCGCCGTCTGCATTCGGAATCAAGCCACAGAACACTCACTGGTTACTTTCCACCTCCTGCATGGGTAGCACCTTCAGTTCGTTGCATCTGAGCGTCCCTACAGTCCCTCCGCCGCCACAGACGAGCGATGTGGTAGGTAGAGCCACGTATAAGCGGGATGGGCATCGGGGGGCAGACGGGGGCCGGACGCGCAGGATGGATCTCGCTCGAGCTCCGCGATGCTGCCACCTTGCCTTCCGGGTCACGTAGTATCTCTCCTTGTGTGTCCCGATCGCGGCGGGGGCTTTGACCGTTCTCCTCGTACTCCGCTAGGTAGGCGCGAGTGACCGCATCGTTCGCGCCGCTGATATCGCTACGCACCAACCTTGCTCGGGTGACGTCGGCGCTTGGTCCGGTATGAGGAGTCACCGCAGCCCTCGATCATGTCAGAGGTGGGGCCTTGACTGCAGGGACATGAGCCGGGATGAGCAGGCGAGAGAAGATAGCGTCAAGCCGCCAAGGTTGGTCCGTGATCTTGACAGTGCGGATGGGATGACCGGCGGCGCGGCGCAGTAGATAGACCGAGTGGTGCCGTCGAGTGGGTATGGCACGCGCTGTTGTTGTATTTCTATGTCGTTCCTGGCGGGACGCGGCGCAGAGCCTTCCTCGACTTCTTCCTTTGAGTGTTGCCCTTCAGCCAGTCCATGACCAGGGCCGCGCGGCCGGTCTCGCACATGCTGGCATCGATGGACGCATCACTGCCCCGCGTGTCACCAAGTTCTGCCCCGTCGAGGCCGATCCCGTCAGCAGTCTTGATGGGGAAACCACTGAGAAGGGGGTGCGGTTGAGGGGAGGCGTTATGCTGGAGCTTTGCCACCGGTACATAGGGCGTGTAAGGGATAAGCATAACGAATGAGTGAAGGAGATTGAAGGCCCGTCGGACGTCGGGTCACGCGCTCGCGCCGCCCATGGTCGAGAGCTCACCGCGCTCCGGTGGGCACACCGCGCCACCTGGTGCGAAAGCGGGGTTGGGGCGTTAGCCGTGAGTGACCCTGCAGGATGGCTGTCAGCACGCGGGGAGCAGGCGCGGTGCGAGGTCACTTACGGAGTGTCGCAGGCGTGCTACAGGTCCGCTGGCCGGAGTCGGAGGTGGGTGCGTTCGCACATAACGCGTCGACGAATTGCCGGTCGACATGTCTAGCGACGAGTATGTCGACGGGTCCGCGTCATAAGATGCGGGGTAGTTCATACCCAACGCCGCGTACCTGTGACGACACACAGTGAGCTCCTGGTGCAGGAGAAGGCGGAGGACAATAATCAGAAACTAACCATCTTGCCATACCATCGCCTTTCACGATGATTTCCAGCGCTGGAAGCGTCCAGAAGGCCCTAGCGTACTCGTCAGTATCACAACGGCACGGCTGAATGAAATTAGACTTACCTGTGGAGCCTGTAGATTGAGTAGTAAAGAGTTGAGAGGTTTATCTGTCCGACAAGCGAGTCGTGAGGGGGGCGGTAGGGGCGGTGAAGTCCCCATGTCGGCAGAGAGGTCGCTGAGATCAAGAGGCTGCTGAAGTGAGAGATGCTGGAGGGGATGTGTGATGATAGCTCTTACGGTGCGGTCGCTCGGGGTTATGTACCTCTCCGAGTGCGCCTCTCGGGCAAGAGCGCTGACGCGTCGGTCATTGATACCTGCGGAGTCGCTGTCGCGCTGGCCCGCCGGACCATGCAGTCGCGCGGGGGTCTCTGCGCAATGCTGGAGATGGAGCTAGTGCTTTGTGGGGGTGTCAATCGGCGCGTGCGGTGTAGACGCAGCAAAGCATTCCGTGGCGCCCTGCAAAAAAATCGCGATCAGCTGCCGATCGCCCCATGTCTATGGACACTCTTACCGGGTGAAAGACGGCCAGACCAAGGTGCACAGTTGCGGGAGCTTGGACGGAGCTCATGCAGGTGCCTGAGCCAGCGTAGGGTCCAGCAAAAATCTTGACGGGGCCGAGAGTCGGTAACAATCCTGAGTGGCGTGCCCCGGCTCGGCCCTGCCCTCGACTGGTGGATGGACCCGTCCCGCCTCCACAAGCAGCGAGACGTGTGTCAAATCGGACGGTGGGCTCTCCGCCCTCACATACGTTGGCATTTGCTGCCAGCGGTGGGGCCCGTGCACCTTAAGTTGTCGCAGCACATGGCTCAACCTGGTACCTTCCAGCGCAGTCGTAGAGGACAATTTCTGCCGCAGAGCATGATCCGTTAGCGGCTCGCGGCCCCTCGGCGCAACACCAACAATGCGGCCACGATTGCTCAGGCGTCCGAAGAGAATTGACCACGCGCACTTTGCGGAGCAGCGCGATCGGCTGACTTGAGTAATGCAAAGCGAAAGTGCTCGTATTTCATAACAGCGCCGCGCGGCCTGTACAGCGCACAATGCGCCCCAAGCTCTGTGCACTATAAAAAGGCGCGTCAGCACACTCGTCGACTCTCCATCCTACACCGTCCCACTCCTCACTCACCTTATCCCCCGCATCCCAGCCCCCAACCCCTCGAGCCCCATCCACCACCAGCCATGCGGCTCAAACACCCCCCAGACCGAACGCGCTCGCCTGACAGACAAACCTCTCAACTCTTCCTATACTCTCCCTATACTCTCCCTACCCAGGGACCGCTGCCCGTTACGCCGAGCAACTGTCCACTACGGGACATCTCGCTCGAGACTTACCGTCAGCGCGCCGATCGCATACGCCTTGCGAGGAGGCGGCCACCCCTCCCCGCACAGAGGCCCACTCGACTCATCAAGACGGTCGTTCACGGTCCCCCAGCCTCCGCGAGCTAGTCGCCCGGTCCAAGTGCGAGACGACGCGCACCGCGTTGCGAATGGGCGGCGTCTTGCCCCTTGACCCATCCGGGGTACCCGGAGTACGGTGCGCGACCTCGACCGTACAGCGCTTTCTGCGTGCATTACCGTCCAAGAGGCGGCCCGCGCAAGCATATAAACGTGCCGATGAACTGTTGGCGAAATGCCTCTTCCCGCGATCCCGCGACGCGTCCGAGTTCCCGTCCGCCCAATTACGCCCAGCCGTGGTTGTCTGACCGCACCGGGGCGCGTTGGCCGTCTCCCTGCGCCGCGCGCTATTACGGGTCTACCGGATGCCACACACGCCGCATATGCCTCCGCGCGATACCAAGACGATCCGTTGTGAGTGTTTCCGCACCGCTTGTTTTGGCTGAGCCCGAAGCTGACCGAGGAGCGATGATGTGCAGCGCGGAACGCCGATGGTCGCTCCCTCTACGCCGGAACCTCATCGCCTTACGGGACATGGAGGAGAAGGCGTTACACAGTGGCGCCCTTCCGGGCATGCGGGTCGGTGCGCGATTGCGACCGTCTGGCCCTCGCGTGAGTCCGCTACCTAGTGCACTGGCCGTGTGCGAGCGTAGGCTGACCTTGCTTCTTGGCGATATTACAGGCCCTAGCGCAGGTGTCGGTTCTGGCGCAGAGGCATGCTATTCGCCGACCATCCGAGATACAGCCGCACATGACGAGCGATCTGGACGTTGCGGTGTGGGTCCGTCGGAGGCCGAGGACACGAAGTCCGCCGTCCACCCTATGTATGGGACCGATGTCGCAGCTGGCTCTATGTAATATTCTATACTGTCAATAAAAATACAGTAATTCGTTCTGTTAATCACCCACCATTGCATAGTCTTGCCAAGTAAGCCAGAGGCGAGTAGAAGCACAAACGACAGACCCAACGATTCCTGAAAGTGACGGTGCGAACGAGAAGAGTAAACAGGCAGAGATATCTCCAAAAGGGGAGTGACGTGCGGGGATAAGGTGCAGGATAAATAGTTACATGCGCGCTAAATAGCGGGGCGCGGCTTGTCGTGGACCCACTTGCGGCGAAATATCCTGCGAAAATGGCGGGACGATCGGCGCACGTCCGGCTGATTTCTGCAACGCCCACCGTCTCCGAGAACAATAACGAGTCCCGTTCGAGCACCCTCGTCCCCGACCCAGCCTCCGCACGCGGCCGGAACAACACCATGCGCACTCCAGAACGCCGCCGGTCCTCCTCCCAAGGCGACGCCACGCCCCGCGCACCTGCCCATACCCTCTCCCACTCACCCGCCTCCGGAGAGAGTCCGCAGACACAAGGTGACCATCCCACCAAGCGGCTCGGCTTCTTCGGAGACATCCTGCTCTCCTCTGCCGGCTCCATCTCCATATCTTCCAGCGCCCAGCGCTCGTCGCCCATACCCCACTCCTTCCTCCCTGCCCGCACGCACTCGCGCGGAGAGTCTGCTCTAGCCCGCGACAACGCGTCCTCGCCTACCCCGAACATGGCGGCATCAGCGGGGCAGCCAGCGAAAGGGCATACGTCACCTTCGAAGGTATGTCCTCCTCGCGTCGCCTATCCATCCGACCTCTTCTCTTGCTTCCCTCCGACCTGCTGCCTTCGACCGAACCCGCCCAGAAAGTCCCGGCGGCAGCGAGACCTGTTCCGCAGACCACATTGACGTTCTGGCATATGCTCCGCGTTCTGGTGACTCGGTTAAGTGGCAGAGGTGATCAGCGGTGGGTCAATACCGTGCCGTGTATGGCATGGCGCTCTCTAGCACCTCAAACCCGCTACTCCCCGGTGTAACATCCAAGAACCTGGTAGTGGAGGACGTTACGCTGCATAACTATAGTTCAGCGATGCGCGAAGGCACTTCGATATTCCAGGATCTCCCAACTCGCATGCTTCGGCTATGAGATCTTTGTCACTCTGTCATCCGGAACGCAGAACATGTGTCGGATTACGTTCGGCGGAACACATCACGCAGCCCCGAGGATGTTCTTCACCCGCCTCGCCCTCGCCCAGCATGCCATTGACATAACACACCCCTGGAGTACTCTGCCCTTGTCCTCCCTGCCTGTTCTGCTCTCTTGACCCTGCAGATCTGCTTTCCGTTTCGATCGGATTCCCGTACTGCTTTATGATTGGAGGAAGTGGTGCCTGGACGCGCTGCTAGAATGATTGGGGAGGTCGAGGATCTCCGAGGGCCCGAAATGGCAGATTATCTGGCGAGTACACTACAGTGTCTATTTGAGATTTACACAGGCGTACATGAGCGTCCCTGACTCCGATATGTCGCGTTTTGGTCCGGGTCGTATCTGGAGCTTTGGTCCGCGCAGTGCATAAGGGAGCGGATCTCTTCGCGCGAACCCTCCGTCCTACGAAGGGCACGCGCGATGCGCCGTTGCAACACTCCAGAACTTCTGGGCTCGACAGCTCGCGCCGCACGCCGGGTTACCACCGAGCCTGGTGCACGGCGCGAACCACGTCAATGAAACTCCAAGATGCACCCACTCCCAGCTATATACGTGGAAGTATAAATCATCACCTCCTCCCAACGAGCCAGGTGTGCGCGCACCCATCGTTCAAATCAGCCCTGTGACACACGGCCATGATTGAGATGTTTAGAACGTGCTCCGTGCCTGCGTCCTTGTACAAAACAAGAGAGAGCTACGCATCCGCGCGCACAGACAAGGCACAGAGCTCCCGGAAGCCCTATTTTGGTCCGGGCACTGTGTTAGGTCCCTGAAAGGATTGCGAGAGGTCCTCGTACATGCCATTCCTGTTAAATGTTGCACATCACGTCATATTAACCTTATGCCAAAGGGGGACCTGCATGGGACCGAGGGATCTGTATTCCAGCGAGATTGATGATGCGCGCCACATGGCTGAGCAGTCAGTGCGGAGGAAGGTCGCCCTTGTCCCACACCGCCCTGGCTTTACATTGATCTGCCCTGCCCTGCTTCCTTTCCCTCGCCGCCCTTGATCTGCCTTGATCACACGCTGACCCTCCTTTTCCTCTTCCCCTCGCTTGTAGGCGTCGACCACGCGGACTTATGACTCTAAGCTCGTCTCGCGCGAGATGCATCGCCTCGGCACGCTCGCTCATCTCCCTTCTCTCGCTCTCGCCCCATCTCTCTCCGCGACACCCTCGAACATCGCCCTCGCCTCGCATATGGCGCCCCCGTCTGGAGCTGGACCCTCCGCGGCTGCTGCACTAGCGGCGGAGAGCCCATGGGCATCACTACATGTTCTCATTCTCCCGCTATTCAACGAGGAACCCTTACGCGTTCCAATGTAAGTCTCCCTCGAGTCTGCGGGCGTGGAAGGATGAGTAATGACGCGACGCATCACAGAGAGGATCTCAACCAGCTCGTGAGGCGCCATATCTCGACGGTAGTCTCCGCCGCGCCCGGCAAGGCTGTCGCGACGCTCGAACACGACACGCGCGACCTCATCTCGGCGGGGATGGTCACGCTCAACTCGAAGCTGGCAGGTGTCAGCGACGAAAACCTCGTCCCACGCGTCGTGGAGCTTTGGTCGTCATTCTGGACGCAGGTCCTCCCCTACCTGGAAGGCGTATGTCCCTCCCATCACCCTCCTGCTCCACCGCGCTAACCTTCACCCCGCCCGCAGGCTCTTCTCCCCCTGCAGACCGACCCGATCCTGTCCTCGCTGTACCGCCTTCCGAAGGCACAGCGCCCGTCATCGCCGACGTCTGCGCAGAACGGCAAAGGCATCGGCGGGAACGTCCTCCTTCCCTCCTCCGCGAGCACACAGCTCGGCGTGCGCGCGCTCGCGCTCGTCTCCTTCCGCGACCGCATCGTCCTGCCGCTTTTCCCTCGTCTTAACGCGCGCCTCACGCTCTTCAAGGACGAACATCCCTCGAGCGCAGAGCCCCACCAGCCGCGGCTGCAGCAGATGTGCGCCCTCCCTCTCCCTCTCCTTCTTCCCATACCCATATTAACATTCGTGAAGGCTGCTCGTGCTTGTCTCCCAGCGCTCCCAGCGTCTCGTCTCCCTCTCGCTCACCGCGCCCCCTCCGCAGCCCACCGCCGGCGAAGCAGCCATCACGCGCCTTCTGCGCGCTATGCACGCGCCCCTCGCCACGCTTGCGCGCGGCGGCCAGGCGCGCCCCACCACCGGCGCGCCCTCCTTCCTCTCCGCCGGGCTCCCGCGCGACCGTCGTGGGCGCATCGGCGCGCGTGGGTCGACCGCCACCAACGCCACTGCCACTGGCGCAGAGCTCGATGCGCGCGGGCGCTGGCGGCTACGCGAGGACGTGGAGGAGGGCGAGGACGAGGGTACGTGGGGTGCGGGGACGGTATACGCGGATACGCCGCGTGGGGGCGTGTCGTTTGCCGATCCAGAACGAGAGCGCGACAAGGAACTGTTGGAGAGCTTGAGGAGTCCGGACCCGGAGGGCGGCGCAGGCGCGGGGCGGGCGGGGATGGGCGGGTGGGGGCTTGGTGGGGAGGAAGACGAGTATGAGTACGAGTATGAGGACGACGATGAGTTCGTGGAGGAGCCGGAGGAGAACCTGGATTGGGACGCGGCGCAGGTACGTGGTTCGTGTCTACAGTTGTGTGGGGGTTCGGGCTGATATGGGTGTGCAGAGCATCGTGGAGCGGATGGTTGGGATCAAGAACGACTCGCTGCCGCCTACGCCGTCTGCACACCAGCAACAACAGCCTCCGCCGCCTCCGCCGCATCAGCAGCAGCCACAGCAAGATCCTCGACGGCGGATGATATGAGGGTCCGTCGACGGGTGATATAGCAGTTTCAATTCTGGATCTCGTGGTTGTTTTGTATTGATATAGTTTGGGTCGCAGCATGTCATCGCGACGACGTGCAAGTTACTCAGCGTGTGCAGTCCTGCTGGTGTGGTTCAGCGTGTACGCGAAATCTCGACTGTATAAGCACTCATATCACAGACTTTAGGTTCGCGCGAGGCAGAGAAGCCAGGCGGTGTGCGGCTGGACTTGAACGCAGCCTGCTTCTCACAACGCTGGCTCCGCGTTCTCACAGTGTCCTCTCGTCCGCACACCCACTCGCGTCATGCTACGCTTCGGCGCACAGATTCCATCGCGACTCGTCGTCAATGCGCGTCCTGCTTATGCCCGCGCGGGTCTACGCCTGCTCTCGACCGGTGCTCCGCCCAGCGGGTCCAACGGCGGCAATAGCGACGCTAGCGCTACGAGTAGGTCACTTCCCCTTTGCGTGTGCATAGTCACGAATCGCGAAGCACAACTTGCGCACAACGCGTAGAGCGTCCCCCCAAGCAAAATCGGAAGGCGATACCAGAGCCAACTGATAAGATGGTGCGTGCGCATGCGCATTCTCCGCGCCAACCTCAGCGGACCGCATCCCTTACTCATGCACACGCAGCAGGGGGGTATGAACACCGCCGGCACACTGCGAGAAAAGCTGGGGTTAGTCGCCGAGAGTCGCTCGGTCGTAAGCACCTTCGCTTTACCACTCGCATAGCTCGCGCGTACTCAGTAATACACCATAAGTCGGAGGAGGAAAAGCAGGCAAAGCGGGAAAAGCGGTGACTCAAACGGCAAAGGCAGAAAGAACGCAAGGCTGCTGGTCCCTCACAATTACTTGACGTGCTGAATAGTAAGCACTCTGTTCTACTTATATATTTCACAGTACGGATGTACCTGATCTGAGCAGGCATCATCAGGAAAAGCCAAAGCCTCCAGACGGAGACAGGCTCCGGGAAGGGCGCTGAGGGGGAGAAGTCACGCAGAACAGTGGCGCCCCTCCGAAGTTCGTCAAGTGAAGCGCACATATCGACGACTGCTAAGAACTTGAACAGCTGCGATGTTAGGGCAGATTTTGTCAAACAAGCTATGCATGGATTCAGATTCGTTTGGGGATTTATCGTCCCCGCGGGTGTGGTTTACACGTTTGTCCTAGATTTCCTCTCCCAGCGCCCCAGCTCCTACCAGTGTACATATCTACCCGCCTATGTGTTGGGCAGTTTGTGGATTTTCGACAGCCATAGTTGGTGCAAAGTAGTCTCGATATAGAGCACAACAGATGATTGCGACGAAGACCTAGTGTATAGGAGACGGAGCCGGGTCTGGCAGGAGGAAGGGCGCAAGGGCGCAAGTGCAACTCGGGGCTGTCCGGTTCGGTGGTTAAGCTGCGTGTGGGAAGCGCAGAGGGCCAGAGGGACAAGGCGAGAATGTATGGCTCGCGCGCCGGCACCTGGTTCAATGTTGCAGTCGAAGTCCTCCGGGTCGTTGTTCGGCGTGTATGGGTCATCCAAGCTCCTTCGTGCGAGCTCCTGGACGCTGCTGATCTCCGAGATATCGTACTTCACAAGGTCGTCGGATGGCGAGCGAAAGGAGGCGAAGACAAAGGGAAAAAGAGGAACGCAGAAACGAGGCAAGGCACCCGAGGCACCTTCCCGGCTTGAAACTGCATTCGACAACGACGGCCACAATTAATGTAAAGCACTGCAATTTTATGACAGTTATCACTGTACAGTCGACCGTGATCTACGCCCGTAGTACTCTTGGACCGTCGATTCCGTATTCAAAGAATGGTACCTCTTCTATACCCGCCGCTAGGTCTTCAGCAGTGTATTCTTCTACGCGGCCTGCCATGTTTCATTGTTTGGCAGGTTTTCGGATCCTGGGGCGGAATGAGCGTCGTGAGCGGGCTGCAGATAAACGGGAGAGACAAACATACATTATCATCATGTCCGCCATTGAAGAATCAGACTCGGATGGGTTGATGGGATGAGGGATGTGGGCAGTCGTACACCGGCGGGGTGATGGTGACGAGTCCAGAGTGGGTGGTACAAGACGGGAGAGGACGATGCGGCCGGTAGGTCTCATCGCATTCCTCTTGTACAGCTCATTCGAGTCCGGGTGCAGGTCGGAAAGTGAGTGACGTGGGCGTATGTCGTCCGAGGCAGAGCTGTATTTCCTCGCCGAGGTCGGGCGCAAGACGCGGCGGGCATCGAGTGGAGTGTGGGAGTGTTGGAGAACCGGTCACCCCGCATCCTCTATTGCGGAGAGCGTCAAGTGTAGTGCAGTGCTCGTTCACGAGCCGATGAAACGGGGGTATGTCGACCTTGACATGGCGGTTGGCTGGCGCAAGGCGGCTAGTCACAAGAGACAGTATAAGCCTATGATACGGGATAGGCGGGAGATCAGTACTCACTAGAGGTAAGTGCTCGTAAGCAACACCGCCCAGCCTCGTGTACAGCAGGGCGCAGGTGTACGAGTCCCCAGGACCCTCGTTGAGATGCTATGACACCCAGTACGCTGAGGGAGGGATCAGACATACGCTCGCGCTCGATACTATCGCATACATACCTTTGAACGTACGCGCTTGGCGTGAAGGTCCCGTCTTGCTCGATGTCCCATAAGGAGCACAGGCCAACACAGATATCCGTCGACCTAGCAGGTTGGTCTCCCCGGTTGAGATAGAGGAGTATGGCTCGATGGGAACCGGGCGCGCTTCACAGGTCCTGCACGCCTCGTACACCGAGTGGACACCCACGGATCGCGCTCGACACACCTGACACGCCGAGGAGGCGTCAGACGTGAAGGTGGGTGGGTTCAGAGGACGGGGCTAGAGGCGCAGTCTGGTCCATAGACGACACGTCTTCATCAGCGCTCTTAACGAGCCGTAGGCGCAGTGGACGCCTGTGAGCCATCGGGGGTATGTCCAGTGGATGCGTCGATGGATACTGGGCAACACGACGGGACGGTCGCCCAGAACGCACCCCGCATTGAAAGGCTCGGGGCCATGCGGTCCCGTCATACCCTGTTTGGGGGATGGCTCCCCAGCCACTGCGGTGTTCTAGCTGTGAGAGCCAGCGCGCTGTCAGCCTCTTGCGAACACACAATCGAGAGGATACCTGGCTACTCACACAAATCATGTGCACGTAGCGTGCGCGCTATGGTCAGAGTATCGAGAAGGATGAATGGTAGTAGGTGAAGTATGAGAGGTTTGTCTGCCAGACGAGGATTATGCGAGTGCCCTCGCGGTGGAGGGTCTGGAGGCATGTTGTCCGAGTTGGCGGCGGAGTGCAGATGGAGACGGAAAGTGGGCGAGGAACAAGGGGGCGATGTTGAGTCTGAGGAGCCCTGCGTCCCTTCTTATATAGTGCAGAGACACCGCTGCATTACCGTCGATGCAATGGGCGAGTGTCCATTATGTGAATAGACCCCTGCTTGGCTTCACCGGAGCATAATGCTGCCAGTGGAGTAAGGACAATACAGATCGAGTGTGTTATGAAAAGGCAGTGCTCATTGTCCCCGTCCTCGCGCCTTGACCCTCGGTGCCTCGCGGATACGTACAATGGATAGTCCACTGGATAGCGAACATGCATCATATGTCGCCTCTCCCGGCAAGACTTAGAGCCAAAATCTGAAGGCACGTACGCGGTCGAGCTACAATAAGGCAGCTCGAGCAGTTCAATCACGGCACCCATTATGCAGGGCGCACTACCGGACGCAAAATTGTCTCTGACGTCGATGAAGAATGGGTGGCGGGTGTATAGCCTGCGCAAAATGGCGCACTGGAAGGGAGTATGCACCGACGGAGATAACACGTCGCCTCTTGACAATGACAGGGCATGCTCACCTCGACGACAATTTAGCCTTGAGGCCTTGAGGAATGAAGACAGCTCTCCGAGACGCCTGCCAGGCATCGGGCTGTGTGCACAATCAGGTTCCTGATCCTCAAACGACGTGCCATCGCCTCCTCCCCGAGATGACAGAATGCTGATCGCTCGATACACTGGGCGCAGGGGCACTGAATCCGAGTCGAGTGCCTTTACGCCTGTACATGGTCTTGGAAGACCGCAAATGCAATGCTTTACCAAGCCCTACAAAAATGCAGTGAAATGCGTACATCATAGACGGCTATGATTACTCACTGGAGTTACTGCGGCACAACCGTCAAAATAACTCACTGTTATATGCAGTGCGCCTGACACACGTCACAGATGCGCCGACAAGCAGTGTGCACCGTGTCATCCCCGCAAGCCACCCCGTAACCATCACTCACCTCCGCCGGCGAGGCACGCCCACCTCCCGCCCCAAATCCGCACCCACCGCATCGCAGGAGAGTCCACCCGCTCGCAATGCGGCGTCTGTGAGAGTGAGAGAGCCCAAAATCCAGATAAAATACCCCGGCGGCGGCGTGCGCCCCCGCCGCCGGGCTCTCTATAATACAGCCCCTGGCGCCAACAAACAGATATGTCATTGGACCCGATCCAGCTACACAATATACAGCATGCCGCCGGCACCGCGCGCGCGCCCGGTAGCGGGCGCGGGAGTCGTGCGTCGTTGCATGAGTCCGCGACGGAGAAGAAGACGGAGGGCAGAGGGAGAACACGAGCGGGAGCAGCAGCAAAACGGACTGGATAATTGATAGCGGGAGAAAATCTAGGCGGCTTGCCTGTGGGGGAGCGCTGGGTCAGTACAGATCATGACACAAGATGGGGGGAGGGGACCTACGCCATTCCACCATACCCCATAGCTGCCCCTGACTCTGCGAGCTTGCGCTGTCTGAAAGCCTGTGACAGACATGATGAGCAACGGGACGACTGAGCCCAAATATAGCGGTGCTTACCTTGCGGTACTTCGTACGCTCATAGGTGACGAGACCAACAACGATAAGGGCAATAACCGAAATACCCGCGAACACACCCAAACCAATCGGGAGAACCGAGAGCTTCGTACCCGGGAGCTGGAACGACGCGGCCGGGCTCGACGACGCAGTGTCAGCAGCGGAGGAGGCCGAGGTCGGGTTGTTCGAGGCGTCACCGACGGCGGTGCCCGTAGCGGTGGCCGTCGCGCTTGCAGCCGCTGCGCTACCCGACGAGACCGCGGTCGCGGCGACCGTGGAGAAACCCTACACACGAGATAGCTTAGTTTAGACTCCCGAGCAACACGAGCCTATGTGAGAACGCACCCCTGCGGAGACAGCTCCTCCCCCAGCAGCCGCGGTACCGGTCGCCGAGGCTGCAGCAGACGTAGCGGTGGCAGTAGCCGCAGCGGAGTCAGTCGCGCCCGTGGAAAGAGCTGAGCCCGGGATTTCGGACGATCCCTAGAGTGACGTGCGATGAGACGGAGGAAAACACGCGTGCGAAGGACGATACACACATTCACACCAATGGCCCCAGTGGACGCCGCAGCGGCGGACGACGCACTATCTGTAGCGGTCGCTAGGCAAGGGTGAGGGCCAGAATATCGCAGAATAGACGCTGGAGCATACCTGACGCAGAGGCGTCCGTCGCAGTCGCGGTCGCGGAGGCGGAATCAGCACTGGAGGCGCTGTCCGTGGCCGAGGCACTGTCGCTCGAGCTAGCGCTTGATCCAGAAGAGCTGGACGAGTCCGTGCCAGACGAGCCGGACGCGTTGTTGCCGCTGCTCGTCATTGACAAGCTGCACGACTTGGTCTCGCGCACTTCAGGGTCTCCATTGTCTCCCGTGATCGGCTCGAGCAGGATCGTGCACGTCTGCAGCATGGGGCCGACCGCGCTGAGGACACAAATCGCGATCAGTTTCTAGCCCCACGGGGTGGGCAAAGGGTAGCCACTCACGTTTGGATCGTGTTCGTAGTCGTCACAGTGGTCGGCTGGGAGAGGTTCTCTCCATCGCGGGCGAGGCGCACGGAAGTGTTTAGGGTGCGCTTTTCCGTTGCCAACGGGGCAGCATGGACGACAGCGAGGAAAAGGAAGAGAAGAGCGACGGTGGTGGACTTGGAGATACGGCCGAGCATGGTTGGAAACCGAGCGGAGGTAGAGCACTAGGCTTTCAAGTTGAGCTGCAGAGATGGATGTACAGAGGCGAATCTTGCGAGAACCAGCTCCCTGAGGTCGACGACACGTACAACGTTGACGAAGGTGGAAGAGAAAAGGAATGGAATAGCCCCCAGGGCGGACAAGCAGCGACGACCCGACGAGGAGGATGGGGGAAAAGGTGAAAGGCGGTCACACACGATTCGCGCTTTGGCCTAAGTGTCCTTTCCCGTAAAGGTCTGGATGCGCCTCCGCAGCCACATCAATCACGGGCAGTTTTGACTCTCCGAAAGGATAGGGTCATCGGAGAACAAAGTCCTCTAACCAAAGCTTCCACCTCCGATAGCCCAATCTCCGGCACGACGCCCGCCAGCAACGATCAGGGGAGGAGGTTTGCTGTGGCAACGCGCTTTCCAGACGCACCGCACCCCTCGACTCCGATCATCGACCTCAGATTCCGCGGTCCCGTCGTCGAACCAGGCCCACGCACTTGGTAACCACCTCGGCGCGCGCTATACACGTCCACTCCGCCCAGGACCCCTGCCTAAGCGCTAACATGTCCGATTCGGGAGGTCACGTGAATTGCCTTATAAAGCTAAATTATGTCGACTGAAATGGCCATTTTGGCCGCTATGGGAGGTCCGGCCAAAATTCAATCGGCCATTTATGGGGCATGTGGGTCGCAGACAAACCTTTATAGGACATACGCACATGTGATGCTATTTATCGCACTTTATGAAACTCTTGTGGAGAGTTCCAGAGTCATATCAAGGGAGCTATGATTAAACCAAATTCTCCTACGACATGAATCGGACCTCTTAGCGCTTAGGCAGGGGTCCTCTCCGCCCCCGCTTTGCTGCGCACACACACCTCCATGCTCTTCAATGCCCATTGAGTAAGCGCCACAATATGATAGTATTCACGCGCAAAGCGCACCACACCCGCAGCAGCGACGATCTGGGACAAACCCGCCGTCTTTGGCCCGCTTGGGCCCCGCCCCGGCCTCAGCGCATCCCACCCTCGACCGCCTTGTACAGTTTCCCGTCGCGCGAGCGCTGGTGCCGACGCAGCTCCATCACCCACCCGATAACGCTCGCGACAGCCTGGGTGCCCCACTGCTCGAACGCCAGCGACGCCAGCACGTTGATCACAACTGCCAGCAACAGCGTCGCACGCGCTAGCCCGGGCAGCGTCATCAGCTCCAGCACGTCCGCGATCCACCCCGGCGGCGCGAGCAGCACGACAAGGTTGAACACTGACAGACACGCCATCGACGCCATGAACCAGCCTGCCACACATACGTCCCGACGTCAGCGCCCGCACGCAATATCCCGTGAGAAGGGTGGTTCCCGTACCGTTAGTCCACATCTGCTTCCGGAAGGGGGGCCCGATGCTGAATACCGCCGCGACGAGGATATACTGGAAGCAGGACACCAAAAATAGCGTCGAGTTCTCGTAGTTCAGCGACTCGAGCTTGTCGTCGTCCCCACCCGGGTCTTTCTCCGCCGGGGGCGTGTACCTGCACATTCGCACATCATGTCAGACGCCACTCGTGCTGCCTACACTCAGTGCACATGTCTGGCTCACCAAGCTTGCGACCGGACCCAAAAGAAGGCCCAGAACTGGACGGCAGACGTGATGACAATCTGTCCGACGAGACTCGCCAGCACCTTCTTCGACACCAGGCTTGCCGTCGGCCGCTTGGGGTGTATACGCGGGAACGGCAGCGTCCGCCCCACTGCACGCACGTCCATCATTCAGCGACAATGCACATTTCGGGAACGCGACGGACTTACTGGTGACCGCAATAGGGATGATGATGAACAGATCAATGTACAGGAACTGTGATTTGCGTTGATGGTTGAGCAAACGCCCTCAACCTCGCTGCTGATCGCTGCAGCGCCCGATGTGTGCTCACCTGGAAGTCGCCCAGCGACGACGCAAACGAATACAACAGTGTAATGGTCGTAAACTGGATGAGCGAATACAGCGCCCTGATCCCCCGCGTCGTTAATCAGTCAATTGCAGCCCCACGCAGTGTTCCCCGAGTTCGCAGTAGACAAAACTCACATATACTTGAAACAGCTAAAGCTCGTCACCAAGGCGGCACGGCCTTCCTTGATGACCTCTAGTACGCAGCTGATGTCGGGCGTGCGGCTCGTGAAAGGCGCGGCGACCGACGCCTCTGCCTCTGAGAGCGAGAGGCCCACGTCGGCCGCCTTGAGCGCCGCACAGTCGTTCGCGCCGTCGCCGCACATGAGTACGGTGTAGCCGAGCCCCTGCAGACGCTCGACGACTTCGTTTTTCTCGTCCGGAGACATGCGCGCATAGATCTGCGTCTTCACCAGCATCTACGGTAATCCAGCTAGTGAGTTAGCTTGCAGCCAGCTAGACGTGGGGCCGTACGTACTCTTTGCATCGTCTCCAGAGGTGCGTGGTTCATGATCCAGCGGAAGACGTCGCCTGTGACGGCGAGTGTGTAGTCGTGTGCCTCCAGCTCTTCCACCTCGACTAACCGCTGTGCAGGCGGAGTCAACGGCTTCAAACTATAGTCGTCCAGCTTCCATGACGGCTCTTCCATGCTCGCCCACTCCAGCTTCGACAGCGGTGACGACGCATTACCTATCAACATCCGAACATTAAACGAGGCCCCACGGTAGAGGGAGGTCAAGCCTACCGCGAATGAATATTGGGGAAAAGACGTGTGCGGCGGGGTTGATCAGCCCGCACTCGCGCGCAACGCTGACCGCGGTGAGCGCGTTGTCGCCTGTGATCATGCGGCATGCGAAGTGCGCGGCGCGTAACGTCTGGATCGCGGGCGTCGTGCCCGGCTTCAGTTTGTTCTCGAAGATGATCAGTCCCAGGAACTGCAGGTTCGATTCCGCTTGCTCTCTACGACGCGACTTATATTAGCGCACTATTACCTCTATATATAGGGTCGACGTACCGTTTAAGCTTTTGTGCCTTCAGCCAGGAGAGACCCTCGATGCTCTTGCCTGCCATGGCGATAACACGATACCCGCGCTTCGTGTAGTACGACAGCAGGTCATCGTAATCCGACGGGACTGGAGCGCGCATGAGACACCGCGAACGAGAAAAGCAGCGCGCCAGAAGCACTTACAGGAGCTCTTGTCGCAGATCTCGGCCATGACCTCGGGCGCGCCCTTGACATAGATCTCCATGCTCGTGCTCTTGAGCCGCTTGACGACGACGCTCATCCGGCGCAGCGCAGAGACGAACTCAAAAGTCCGAATGACCCCCAGCTCGAGGAAATGCGCGTGCTGTCAAGTGCCGTTTAGTTTACCTGATATTGGAATGCCAATATAAACTCAGTCATGCTTACCTTCCCAGCACCCTTGAGGGCGTCTTCGATCCTGAACTGCGCGCTTCCCGGTGGACGCACAACCGTCTGCACAAGGGCGGCAGGACGATCACCGACCGCCTTGTTCTTCACGACACCCGCGCCAGCCACAGTCCCCTCCTCGAGCGTCCACTTCGTGAACTCGAACATCTTCACGTCCAACGGATCGCCAATCACCTCGCCCCCGACCATCTTCAGCGAGTGGCACGTCGCGAGCGCGTACAAGAATCCCGCGCGCTCGCCGCGCCCCGGTCCAGGCAGATCGTGGATGTCCTCGAGTAGCTCGCCGAAGCGCGCCGCGCTCCGCTCGGGGGCGCGCACGCCGAGGATGTCAAGCCCGTCCTCGGTGAGCGTGCCGGTCTTGTCGAAGCAGCAGACGTTGATCTGGCCCGCGACGTTCACGCGGCTCGGGGATATGCAGAAAATGCCAAGTTTGCGCAGGCGCGCGATCGCGAAGCTGGTTCCGATCGAGAGCGTTGCAGGCAGCGCGGGCGGGACGACGACGGTGATGAGGTCTAGCGCGCGTAGGAGGATGGTGTGCCATCGAACCTGATGTCTTGTTAGTGATGCTTGCATCGATTATGAATATGGTAGTGGCTCACACCGAGGCGGACGAATTGCACCGCGCTTGCGCAGAAACCAAGCAATGCGACTCCAGCGAGGACACCGATGAACCGCATCGAGTCTCTGTAAAACTTGAATCCTGTCGGCTTCGGGAAGAGCATAGAGCGAACGAGCGCTCCCTTCGTCGTATAGAAGCCTGCGTTTAATGTGGTCAGACACCCTAACGCCCTGAGAATGAGCCCTACTTACCGGTGCGCACTACCAGACCCAATGCCGGCGCGCCCGGGCGTCCATCCAGACTCGTCGCGCCCCGAATACGCACCACGCGCGTCCCAGCGTACAAGAAGCTCTTCGCCATCTCGCCCGCGACGTCCGTGGTCCCCCTCCACTTTGCGAGGTCCTCGCTTTTGATAGGGACCTTGCTCACCGGCACGCTCTCGCCCGTGAGCATGCTCTCGTTTACGATCGCGTCACCCGAGAGTAGGAACATGTCCGCGGGGAGCGTGGCGAGCGGTGGCTCGAGCAAGTCCACGATGTCCCCAGTGACGAGGGAGGACGAATCGCATTCTGACCCTGCGCGTGTATGTTAACCCCGTTCTCAGCGCGTGGATAGGGGTACGTACATGAGCCGTCGCGGTACACTCGCACTGTACAAACGAACTTCGACATTTCGCGCATGCGGGCGATTGTCTGACGACAACGTAGTTGAGCATGGCAAGTTCATGAGGTAAAAACGGTGCGGCACGTACCTGCTTGGTTTCGATCAAGGTAGTAATGATACTAATAGCTGAGATAAGGGCGATGCAGAACGCATAGTAGTAATAGTCGTCCAGTGACCAGAGCACGATGCTCGCAATCTGGAACACGTAGAAAGGATGGATGACCTATACGCACCCCACATGAGACACGCTTGACAAGAGTCGGGCAAACGCATACCTCGTCGATCAGAAGGGAGAGCGTGGATTTGCCCTCGATGTCTACTAAGTTGGGTCCGAATAGGGTCATTCTCTGCTCCTGTATATCTTTTCTAAGCCCATTCTGCACGCTGCTGACACCTGCCCATGAGGTGTCTCTCCAGTCCCTGGAAGATACTCAGAGTGTGGATACTATACGAGAGGATGGGTGCTAACCTAATCATGGCGAATAGACCTGTGCGCGGGTCCAAAGCAAAACGGTTATAACGGTAATCTACACAAGTCAACATGCCAAGGTTGCCTGATACCAGACCTGCCCTTGCTGATGGTAGCAACTGGGAGGGGTCTGGTGGGGTAGAGACGAGTGTCGACACAGGATATGGGTAGGATATACGCGATATCGGAAAAAGCGCGATATCCCTGTATGCAGTCTTGGCATTGATAAGTATTCGGGCTTTACGCGAGAGCTAAGTAACAGCGCACCTCGACGACGACAAAGCCGTGGTGCATGTCCACGAACGCACGTTCGCGAGTGACCCAGCGTAGCCATAGCCGAGGAAACCAGCGCCCGAGAAGACCCAAGACGCCGCAAGACAGTACGCAGCAAGTCCACCAGAGCCACTGTCTCCAGGGAATAGGTTCGTAGCCAATCATTCGAATATGTGCGTCTTCGTCGGCGACATACAGTGTCTGCCGGCTGGGAGGACCAGGTGGAGGAGGGGACAATTGGTCAAGCTCGCCCATGTCTATACGCGCTTCGGAGCCGAACACAGGGTCACCAGCTAGCAGAGGGTGCATCCGGCTGGGAGAGGGCGGCAGAGAACCGTAGTCCATCTCGCTGCCCGAGCGCCCCACACTCGCAATGTCGGCCTCCGACCCGGAGTCCTCTTCGTTGGACGTGTATCCCCACCGCTCGTCGCCCGAATCTTCCGTATCGACCGCGTAGTCAGACCCGGCATCTGACCGCCTGCTGCTGTGTCTTCGGAGCAGGCGAGACCTAGACGCGCGACTGGACATGGAGGGGCGGCGACTACGCGGTGGCGAGTCGGTGACGGCTGCGCTCCGGCCAAACATGCTCACTATGTTTTCAAACATGTTTCCTCTAGTTGCGTGGGGGGATGTAGAGTCCTTGCGGCCGCGTGAAGGCCTTCCACGGTCTTCAACCTCGTCCCCAGATACGTCGGAGTGTTCATCTCCTGTTACGTCCGCGTCCACGACACTGTCGCGGCTCATTCGTCTGCTTCGTGAGCGGCCGCCACGACTCATGCTGTCTTCGCTCTGCCTTCGGCTGCGGGACGCCCTCGAGTAGCCGCTGCTTCGGCGACCATGGTCTTGAAGTGACATGCGCGACACGCTACTTGGATTGACGGCGTGGCCAGGGCCGTCGAACATGTTGTCTCCATCTTGTCCATATCTCGAGTCCCGACGCGCTCTGTTCGCGGTCGCGATAGCTTGTTGTATGTCGATGGCGGAAGCGCCCTCGGTGTAGTCGTGTGCGCTCGGTGAAGACGAGGAGGCAGCCATGTTGTGTAGTCAATCAGCACCGGTAAAGCATGGCAAGGCGACAGCGCGCAGTTACAGAGGAAGGGGGCTGGGCGTACGGAGGAGGACGTGGGGACTCGAGGGCGAGTCGGAGTCGAAGGAAGAGAAGGAAGAAGGAACTCTGCAGGGCCAGTCGGAACCGAAAATCCCGCAGCGGGCCGCAGACCACGGGCGCCTACCACCAGCGTAACTTTCCTCTCGACCACCACCGGCCGCGGGATGCTGGACGAGGCAGCACGACGAGCTACACTGTACCTTGGGTTGCAGCTGCGCCTACACCTTGCCACCATCTTCTCTGGAGGGTCACCGGCACCTATGCCTCGCCCTGCGTGTAAATCGTAAGGTCTATGACAGGTCTGTCAGCTTCACCAGTATTTCGTTTTCTCGTCTAGAAGTGAGTTTTCCTACTCCTGTATATCATAACAAGCTCTGGTATGGTGTCCAGTGACAAAGCCAAGGGTACGTATTTATTATGGCGCTTGCATATCCGGCGTCAGGGTAAAATGGCTCCAAGACTTTGGCACATCGTCCGACAGTATGCATGCAGGGAAGTACTCATACACATATCTCCAGTCGGAGCGCTCGGGGACGTATTGAATGCGGTCCAATTGGGTAGTGCATGGGTACAATAAAGACTGTCAAGAACGTCAATTGTCGAGGCAAGAACATACGGCGTCGCCTCGCTGGTAGTCCGGCCTTGTTGTCGCCGGGGACGCGCTAGTCCCTCCGGGTGTTGGCTGCGACCCGCTCCAAGTGTCTACGGCAGCGGCGATCATGAAGAAAGGCAGCAAGAATTGCGCTAGCGACGACGTCCATTCGATGGCTGCCGCGGTAAGCAGGGTCTCATGTATTGCCGTCTTACATCGTCCCAATGCCTTGCGTCGTCCCAGGACCCCCGCTCCTAATTCTCAAACTTCATGAGAACGCTTGAAGTTTTTTTGGCTTCAGGCCAATACGATATAAAACCTCGCATCCACGACGACGTAGTCTTGCTAATCTCCCTCGCCGTGATTTCGCAATGTCTTCGGAGGGATACCCTCGCCGCACCTTGCAGCTCACTCATAACCATCTTTTCTCTACTCGTGTTCATTCCATGGCAGACGTTGATCGGGCCTTACTATCCTACAAGAAAGCCAAGGCCATCGCTCAGACCTACCGTGAGTTGCTAGCGGCACCACTTCAAATCAACAACGTCTGAACACCTGAAACGACCCAATGCAGACATGACTATCGACGATATTCAATCACTCACACCAAAGTTCTGGCAGCTACACAGTGACCCGATCGCATTGCTCGATGGCGCGACTATAACGCTCCTTACTATCCAGTTCAACTTATGCGCGGGGACCATCGCGCGCTACGCACGCCAGCGGCCCGAGCTTGTTGCTGTGGTGGAAGACCTCTTGCAATATCGCAAGCAGTTCATGTCTCTCTGGAATCGAATGTAACCCCATTGACCATGATTTTACAGCGGCCAATTCATGCTGACCGAGCTCGGACATGGGCTCGACATTGCAAACATCGAGACAACCGCTACCCTGCTCCCGACAGGCGACTTTTTGTTGAATTCACCGACGCCAACTTCCGCGAAGTACGTCTACATCCTGACGAAGTAAACATTTACTCACTGCTGCATTGTTATAGGTTTATGCCCCCGACCGTACCTGCCGGCTTGCCATGTGTCGCTGTCGTGTTTGCGAAGTTGATCATTGACGACGAAGACCGCGGCCACCGGCCGTTTATTGTCACTCTCAATGACGGTAAAGAAATGTGTACAGGCGTACAGTCCAGGTACATGCTTCAATTGAAAGGACTAGTACTTCAGTCTTGACTAGTCTAAGTATGCTAACGTATCCTTCGCAGCCTCCTCCCCTTCCGCGGTGGAACCCACCCGATCATGCACTCTCTCACTCGGTTTCGCAACGATCGGCTGCCCCGCAGCGCTCTACTGGGATCGCTCGAGAAGCCCTCGAACGACCACGCAAACCTCATGGACGTCATCCAACGGGTCGCCATTGGCACCATCGCCATCGGGTGCCTCACGCTGCCCGCCATGCAATACACCGCCACCATCGGTGGACTCTATTCCCTCCGGCGCCAGGTCGGAAGCGGTGCGAAGCGCATGCCCATCCTCGCCTTTCGCACTCAGCATGCCCCCATCCTCGCTGTGGCGGCGAACGCGTACGTGGTACAAGCGCTGCAACGGTGGGCCATCGGGCAGTTCTGCGACGCTCTGTTGGATGTGCGTGTGCGCCACGGCATTGCGGCGGTCTTCAAGAGCGTCGCGGTGCAGCACGAACAGCAGGGCGTGCTCGCAGTCTCAGAGCGGTGCGGTGCCCAAGGTCTGTTTGCGCACAACCAGCTGAGCTGCCTTCATGTACGTGCATTCAGGACGTGTTGTCATGCAAAGTCGCGTCTAATCAGAATTTAATTATATAGGGTGAAGTGCGCGGTCTCGCTATAGCGGAGGGGGACGTGCTCGGGCTTGCCATTCGTGAGTTTCCTCACGTTGAGGAACGGGCATTGAATGGTTAACCGAGCTCATGCGCAGGCCTCGTGAACGAGCTGCTCCTCGGCCGATACACTCTCCCGCCTCCGTCCAATCCGACTTCGCTGCTCGCCCTCCACGAAGCAGGCCTGTTCGCAGACCTCCACAGGATCGTCAAGAGCGCAACGCACCACCGAAGCGACGAGGTCAACCGCCGTATCCTCCCGCACTGTCTCCCCATGATGGAGGCCATAGGCCATCGCATGGCCTACGACGCGGCGGTCGCGCAGGGCGTGCGGCCCGCGCTCGTAGACCTGTATGTCGCGAACGTAGTCAAGCTCGATGCAGCGTGGTACGTGGAGAACACCGAGCTCGCACGCGCCGCGCAGGAGGAGATGGAGACACGGGCCGTGGACGCTGTGCTGCCTATGCTGGGCGAACTCGTGCAGGAGATGGATGTGTTCGCGTACGTGAACGCGCCTATCGTGAGCAACGAGCGGTGGGACGCGTTTGCTGGCGGATTGGAGACGTATGAGGGGAGTGCACACGTGGATTTCTTGGAGCCGCGGATTGCGGCCAATGGTCAGTCGGAGATGTCGAGGTCCCATCTGTGACTTGGTCGGTTCTCCACAGTTCATGGTCGATTTTCTCTTTCTTGATTACGATACTTGTACATCCCTATCACTGGTCTACAATGGTCATCGTAGTTACATCACAACGAGCGCCGAACTACGCCGATCCGTGCAGAGTCGGCTACCCTCTACACGGCCACCCTCACGTAGCAAGCAAATCTCCGCGGCTGCGATGCGCTCTGTGGATGCCGCACTGTGGAGGAATCAGTACTTGAGAGGTTGCACATGATTAGGAAAGATTAGGAAAGACGTACCTCTCACCCTCGAGTGTCTCGACCGGAAGAAAATTAGATGCGGACACCTTTGCTAGAACCTCGCACATGTATGACCGGGCTTCTCCCGCCAGCTGGCCGATGCGATTTAGCTTCTCTCGCCAGCCACAAGGAAGAAGAACCCATACATTCGCCTCAACATAAACACACGTTACCAACCCACAGGGCCTCCCGCGCGCGCCTCATTATCGTACAGAAGGTCGAGACCCGCCGCAAACCGAGCGCGGACTGTGTCTGGAGCTAGGGAAAGGTTGTCGTCTATGTCGAATGACCACTCCGGGCTGTCCTGGGCGCGTGGAAAAGTCGTCCGTATCAGCTCTCCTTCGCGTGGAAGGAGAGAGCCCGGGATCGAAAGGATGCCGGTGAGCTCCATGGGCTTTATGATGCGGACGGCGCGACAAACCACCACGCGGCGCCCTGCGTGCTCGGGGCGCGCCGACTTCTCGAAGTAGCACAGCGCGGATCCTGGACGCACACCATCGCGGTCAGTAGCGGTCTTCTATCCACAGTACACATGGCTCGCAAAAGACGCGGGACGGCGTACCTCTTATCGTGGCTAGCCATGAGCCCCTGTTACCACGAGAGATGGCCACAGGCTCGAAGGTCGCTTGCCGGACAGTGTCTGCGCCTACAAAGTAGAACGGCTGGCGTGCTCGGCCGAAGTGGAGAAGGAAAGGTTGGCCGAATGCGTGAATTACGCGCGTAGAGCCAACGTTGGCCTGCTGGGCCTCGGGAGGTAAGCTTGATGCGATTTGCAACACACGTTCGGATACAAGCCCCTCATCGACTAAGCGATGCAACATGGCCGTGTAGTACTTCCGGAGCAACAGAGAGAGGAGCGGCATCCTCCATGGAAGATGGTCGGAACGGAGAAGGTCCTCACCAGAGGAGAACAGCGCGGGGTCGTTGATTCCGGTGACGCGGAAGCGCACCTGCCCGGAGAGGGCGGGGGCGTTGTGCGCGAGATAGTAGTAGAGATATCCACGAGCGTGCGGCGGAAATTTTCGGTTGTCCATGCCGGAAGACCTTATTTTTGTGAGGAACCGCCAATGTTCGCCGCCGCACCGCGCTTCAGCTACCGAGGGGAGGTATGCTCGAGCAGTGCCTATCACTCGACCACTGAGGTCGAGAAAAGTATCCGAGGTGAGACGGGTGGGATCGAGTGTAGAAACCTTCGGGCGTAAAGCGTGCGGCGTGCGATTCGGCTGGTGGCGACGACCCGTGTCTAATGAGTTCGGTACGGCGACGGAAGGCGACGACGTGGATGGAGTGCCGGAGTGCGTCGATTCTGTTCGACACCTGATTCCCGCTTTCTTGGACGCAATGGCACGAACTGCGTGTCGGAGAGCGGACGCTGCACACGAGATGGGACGCCAGTGAACAGCTTGAAGTACGGGCATTGCTACCAGTAAGACTCTGAGAGTGACTGATGTAGTAGTAGTCTTCATGAGAGATTGTAGGGGCCATACAATAAAAATGAGACTACACATTACCTCAGATTCAAATGCCTCGCGGTGACAACTGCCGCGAGTCGCAGTGGTTCGGTTTCGGAGAGAGTCCTCGTCCTCGAGCGCCCGGCTCGCTCGACCTTGACGTGATTCGAACGAAGGGCAATGATTAAGCGCCTAAATAGCACCCGTGATGGATAGCCTTTCCGGGAAACTGCCATTCTCTCGCATAGCGAGAGTGAACAATTTGAATCGCGTTCCATGTCCGTTCACGATCGAGCCAGGAGCCTGGAGGAATAGCGGAAGGTGAGAAGTTCGAGATATGATAGACGCAGAAAAGTGCAGCTTCTGGAGTTGAACTGGCAGCTACAGGCGGGCGCCCAAATAGGACGGGGTTCGACGGATCCGACTCGTCCTCGCCGAACGTCCAAGGGGTCCAATCGTTCTCTCCTTTCACCACCAAGCTCGAACTGCTCGAACTGAAAATTCTCGCTGCTGCACTTACTCATTCTCAGCCGGTAGAGGACTGGTCACCGCGACGCCGCCAAAGCTCGGACATTCGGATCATCCCCGAGACTTGGTCAGATCTCTTGGTTAAACCTGAACTATGTGCATCCTGTTAACTCCGTATATCTCGCACTATGCATTTCTAAACCAATCTAGCAGATCACGTTCGACATGTCATCTAATCGTGAAGACTCAAATATTAGCTCGATTGACAGCGCGAAGAGACCCAAGCTTCAACGAGCGTGAGTCACGACTCCACGCAGGTTTTAGACCACAACCTCCTCTCACCTCTACGCTTACCACACTTCCAGCTCCCTATCTGAGCCAGGGTTTCGCGCGCAATATTTTAACTAGCTTTCATGAGACTTGGTCTCGTGAGCTATGCCGGCCTTTTCTGACTCGGAGTCGCGTTTAAGCTTTGGGAGTCACTGAGCCTCAAGCTCGTCAACCATGTACCTGGCTACATTACGGAGATACAATAGGTGTGCCTCAGATGATTAAGGATTCAAGTGCACGCGCTCCAGCGTCGTATTAGCGGCGTCCCATACTTATGGCTCTTGTCTTGCTTCCTCGCCAATCGAGTCGAACTGGCACAGCTAGCAAGAACAGCATTTTGCACGCCAAGTAAGTAGTTTTTGATCATTCAAAATTCTCTGGCTACTGGTCACTTCAATAAAACGGTTCATCGTTGGTGCACAACATACAAGACGATGACTATATGGAATGTGTCCCTCTCGCCTTCGTTCAACGCGCGGCCGGCATGCCTATCCGATCGCGACGCCGTTGGCGCTACTGGCGGCGGCGGCGGCGACGGCAATGGCAGCGTTGGCGGCTTTGGCGGCGGGCTGTTGTCTCGCTACGTGGGTGCAGATGAAGGAAAGCACGATCGCATCCAAAATTGGCAGTCCGTCCGAGCCCACGTCTATGTTCATCCCCTTGCCCGAGGACCGAGTCTTTCTGTGCGCGCTTGCGACGAGCTCTCTGGTTTCGCTATCAAGGAGCTACACCCCCCAAACCATCCGACCCGCTGGGACTGCGACTTTCCGGCAGACTCTGGCAGCCGGCCCTCGGCGCCTCCTCTATACCGGTGGCCAGATAGTAATGTAAGCGCCGTGAACGCCCTGATATGGTAATGCCTCCACTGGGCGCCTCGCGTTCATCCTCCCGGCGAGAACACTGTAGTATCTACTCCTGGCTAGTTAGACTTCGTAGAAACAAGCACAGTGGTGCTCGAAATCTCATATTATAATGTTTATGTACGTCTTCATAATATTTGGGACAAGTTTGAAGCCATAGAGAGGTACTAGGATGTAAGTGTACGCGAGTCCCACGACTCCCCGAATCCCGCAAGTACTCTGGACCGGGCTTGATTGCTCGGCGTACTCGCTGGATGGTGGGGGGTGGTAGAACTCTGCCCCCACCAGGCGCCCGAGGCCCGAACCTTCGGGCGCCGTACGCTTACGTACGATACATGAATGGCGGTATCTAATCTACGGGCGCCTAGATGCGCTAGTTCTCCGCGATTCCCGGAGAACACCTTCTCCTACTGAAGTGGACGTTCCCGTCCAGGCACTAGGGAGTGCCGGTAGTAAGTAAGAACCGCCGGGTTCTTACACTCTCCCTCCCTAGACCCGTGCCGGGTCTCCAAATAATAATACAATGGAGTAAGGGTCACAACTTGGAGTGACGGTGGCACAGTATTTACATGGGTTCCATGTGCTGCACACACATGGGCCCTATAGTACAAGGGTGCGGCGTTGAAGCCGCTATGATACATCATAGCCCCGTCGGTTTCGACGCGCTACGAGGAC